TGGGAAAATGAACAAAAAGAGATTTGGTGGCGTCTTGCGGTTGATGGGGTGCCTATGTTAGGAAATTCCCATCTTAGGATGTCGCGCCCAACGATATGTGGTTGTGGAGGTTATCCAATAGGTTCAGTGGGAGGTGTATCCCCTCGCTATCATCATTTCTGGGCCTGTCCGGTGGCACAGGCAATAGCAGATCAACTTACTCTTTCAATAGGATTGCCAGTCTCAAGGGAGCAACTTTGGCTTATCCAAGCCCCACAATCAGTGCAACAATGTGTTTGGGATGTTGTGGCTCTTGCTGCGGTGTCAGCCATGGAGCATGGGAGACGTTATATGGCTGCAAACATGAAAACCAACCCGGCACTGTTACCTGGTCCTTCCCTTACGGAAGAAGCAATTTGTCGAGTTATTGTTGATTTTTGGGGCCGCATTCAGGGTTTCGCAGCTTTAGGAATTCCACGAAAAGGTTGGGAATCCGTTGGCGCACATCACCCCTTTTTGAGGATTATATCTGGCAAATTGATTTGTTCGCGAGAGCGGTTACCGATGAGAGGTTAATTATCTGAGATGATAATCTTTTGGTATATTAGTCTCTACTGCAGTGCACGGCCAGCTGGCCCGATGGCTCTACTCTTCGGGAGTCTGGAGCCCACTGTAACAACCACACACACACATTTTGCGTTTCGCACGGCGTGGGGCCATCCAAGGTATAGTACAGTAAATGTTTATTAGGGGTCTTTTTCTAGAATAATGTGTTCATAGTTTTTTCCACTCGGTTTTTCAAGCCCTTTACCAATTGCAAGTTTTTACGCCTTGAACTTTTGCTGAAATCTTGCAGCATATGCGGGCCTTTTTTCCCCCCGCGTACTGTTGTGCGCGTGTTTGAAGTCGCAACCCCGATCCGTTCCAGTCCCTCCCAAGAACTGTTGCACACAAAGGCAAACTCCATAACGTACACAAGCACGCACCGCTCTGATCCCCATTGCATCCGAGACAACTACCGCCCGAGGCCCTCACAACCCCCATTATATGCCATGGAACCTCCCGCCCCAACCATCACAACCGCCCCAACCATCACAACCACCGCAACAATCACAATTACCGCAACAATCGCAACCACCGCAACGATCACAACCACCGCACCAATCGCAACCACCAACATTACCTTAGGATCACGACCCTCACGAGGCACTTGGCATCTGATCTGCTGCATTCTAGAACCCAATCAATCATCTCGGCACCCACAACCCGCCTTTTGGATCTCCACCTCGGCCACCTGCCGACTGGGACATCTACATTTCCTACGGTACCTAATACCACTGACGGAATGACACGTCCGCTCCCACTATGACTTCCCTCCCGCCCTTCCGGCGGAGGCGTCACACTGACAGCACTGCCGCAGCGAGGGGCGCTATGAGCGCCAACCGAGTCGCACGCGCCTCATCCTCCAGCCAGGGCGGCCTGACGCCTCCGCCTCCGCCGCCGCTAGCGATGCGCCAGAGCTGCTGGTGTTGCTGCTGCTGCTGGTTAGAATGGTGTCCTGACGCCACCAGCAGCGGTGGCGGTGGCGGTGGCGGGCGGGGGCCTTGCGGCCTCGGCACGCAGCAGCCGCCGGTACTGCCGGCGCTGTAGCTGGCGGTCCTTTCTGTATTGCCGCACCGGCCCAGCAGGCTCTGCAGGACGGCGCGGAGTGAGCGCGTCCTCAGTTTCCGCCGAACCCCCCCATCTTCACCAGCGGCGACGGTGGTGGTGGTGCCGGTGTCTCCTCGTAGGGAGCTGTGGCACGCATCGCCGTCTCGGCCAGCGGCGCCTCTGCCAGGCTTTGCGGTTCCCAAACCCACTTCCGCTGGTACGCCAACAACCGCTCTGGCGGCAGCGGCGGTGGCGGTCGCCGTACCCAGGCCGCTGCCGCTGCCGTCGCCGCTGCACTGCGCAACTTTGGGTTTCACCTCCAACTGCTGGTCGGCGGAACTGAGAGCCGCCGCCGCCGCCGCCGCTGGGCCGTCTCCATCAGAGCTCCTGGCCTTGCTGTTGCGGCCACGACAACCGCTGCTGCTACTACCACTGGCTTTACTGCTGCCGTACGGCTCCGCACTAGCTACAGCGGCAAGGTTCGCGCCACCATGGCCGGTCACGACCTTGACACAGTCCAAGGCTGCCTTCTGTTCATGCCGTACACGTGACGTACCACGCCCAAACGGCCTGCAGGTATCGTACGCAGCTTCCGGCCTCATCGCGACATGAGATCCAGCTCCCATGCCGGACGCAGGTCCGCGGTCAGATCCGGAGCCTCGCTTGGATTTTTTACGGCTCTCATTCGCACACTCCGCCGCCGCCACAGCGCAGACGAATGGTGACGAGCCGACGGTGATACTGCCGACTGCAGCGGCGGCGGCGGTGGCGGCGGCGCCTGTAGCCCAATGTAAGTCATGCCAGGAGGCCAGCGCGGCGGCGGTGCCTGCAGGGGTATCATCAACCGCCGTAATGGCACCGGTCGCGGTTGTGGCGACGCCTTTTTCGGCGACGGGCGCAGTCTGACTGGTAGCAGGTTGGTTGATTGCAGTGGCCTCCTCCAATGAGTATGATGTGCTTGGGCTGGGAGCCGTGACGGCGGCGGCGGCGGTGGCGGCGGTGGCGGCGGTAGCAGCGGGCCTTTCATTTGGACGCCGCTGTTGCTGTTGTTGCTGCTGCATAGTGGGGCCTAACCTCGTGATAGCCTGCGGCAGCGACGGTAGGTCCCTCCCGTCGCCATGACTATTGCCGCTCACCCCGGTTGGAAGCGCTGGCGGCGCCGCTGACGGCAGCAGCGCCACCGCCTCCGCCGCATCATGGGTTCGCCGCTGCTGCTGCTGCGGCTGCTGCTGCTGCCATGTCTCGAGTTGCGGAGTACGGAGATTCCCTGATCCGTTATTCTCCGTGCCGCCCCCGCCGCCGAGGCTGCCCTGGCCGCAGCCGCTACTGACGAGTTCCGTCTTCCTGCCGGTGAGCCCCCTGGTTAGGTGCTCGTCCGCGCGGAAATGGTAGCGGCAGCTGATGCGGCGCGGGCGGCGCAGCGGCAGCGCCGCCGCCGTCGCTGCCGCCGGCCCGGGAACCGCCCTGGCAGGGAAGTGCCGCCCAGAGCGCTGGGCTGAGGAAACACACAGCAGGGAAGGGAGGTCGGGGCGTGACTGAGACTGGAACGTGCTTGGGACGCGGCGATGGGAATTCAATTTAAAATGTACGACAGCTGGCAAAGGGATCATACATATAAGTTGAAGGCCCGTATTCCTGCAGGCGGCGCCGTATTCACCTTGCGCCCTGACGCGCCCTGCGCATCGCTGCATGTACGTCATGTCGTACGCCCCGCTGCGCTCTACCAAGCTGCCGGCGGCGGTGGCGGAGGCCAGGGCAGCGGCGGAAGCTGCAGAGCCACCGCCGGCACCGCCGTTGACGGCGCCAGCGGAGCCGGGCGCCGCCGTCACAGGTGGCTGTGACGGCGGCGTGTAATACCCAGTTCGCGGCACCACTCTCTCGAGCATGGCTTCTAATGCAGCACCCCACACGCCGTCGCCGCCGCCGCCGCTGCCGAATACGACACGGACGTCGCCGTCGATGGCTCGGTCGTTGGCTTCAGTGGCGCTTCGAACCGCAAGCCGGTGTTGCGGCTTCGGATTTCGCGGCTGTAGCAGTGGCGACGGCTTTGACAGCCGCAGCTGCTGGGGCTCCTGCCGCGGTACCTGTGTTCCCAATGTATTGCATGCGGCATTCAGTACCGGCGAACATCCGTCACTGCCGCTGCCACTGCCGCCGCCGCCAACAACAATGCCGATGGAAGACGCGAGCGCGATGCTGTGTTTGTGTACTGGCCGCCGTTGGCTGCCTGCGCAGGAGGAGGAGCCAAGTGACAAAGGAACTAGAGAGCCAAGGGAAATAAGCAGAATGTGGGACGCGAAATGCTGTAACCCTGATGTCCAATGTTTTTTGTCGTACCTGACGTGCCCCGTTGTCGTACAACAAACGCCTGACTGGGCCCGGGTTGCCCATCACCCTTCCGAGATTCCGACGGGGTTTTCCTCGGGAGGGGTAGAGTATGTCCCTCCCCCACGTTTTGCTCTACCCCGCGCCGACCAACCTGACAAACCGGCAGAGGATGCAGCTCTAGATGGCGGAGGAGGAACACTGCTGGCGCCGGCGGCGACCTCTTCCCCTCGGGCACCGCCGTCGTCGTTGTCGTACATATCCTTTGACTTAAAAAGCTCGAGAAGGGCCAATGCGGCGGGGTCTACGACAGCCATCGGCGTCGGCGGTGCCTCTGCACCAGTGACGTACGACAGGGTGCTTTCGGCGGAGGTCCTGCCACCGCCGCCGCTGGTGCCGCACCGGCGCGACGACAAGCTAGAGAGCAGCAACGTGTCGTTGATGTCGTACAGCTCCGTACAGCGCCAGCCCGCGCTTGATACGAGCAATGAGCCGTACCGGTCGACGATGGAGGAGGGTGCGCGGCCCGTCAACGATCTATGCTGTCGTGCCTCGCCACCGCCGCTGCCGCCAGTGCTGCACCCACCGCTGCTGACGGCGCCGCCGCCATAACAGCCCGTTCTACAGCCCGCTTCGGAAACCACTTGGCTTGGTGGTCGATGGAAACTGCCAGCGGATGCGTCCTCTCGCTTTCCCTGGAGCCGTTCCCCCTCCAGATCCTCGACGGGCAACTTCTGGACTTCAGCAGCAAGAGTTCCCCCCCTGACTTGCCCTTTCAGTTGCTCCTCACTTCCCCGGGGTCCATGTCGCTCCTCGTGCTGCTGCTGGCCCTCGTGCTGCTGCAGGTGTAGTTGCCGGTGGTGGTTCCGGAGCGGGGCCGGTAATGCGGATATGACGTTTCTGCCGGCGGAGATGTCCTCCCTCCACAGGGGGCCCACGGAGGCAGTAGCTTCGCCGCCGCCGCCCTTGCTGCTACTGCTACTGCTGCCGCATGTAGCCAAGGTGGCGGCGGCGCCGCCGCCGCCAATGTAGGATGAGGAGGAGGTGGAGAGGACGGGGTAAATAGGGCACTCGAGGGGGACGGTTGGCGTGCCGCCTCCAACCCCGCCACCGTCGCAGCGGCGCCCGCTGGAAAGGTAGTTATCGCCGACGGTGGCTGCGGCGGCGGTGCACTGGCCACGGCAGCGCCCAGCAAAAGCACCTGGCCGACATCCGGCTCACGGCGCAGATCGTTGACGTCATCGTCGTCACTACCTGTACATTTACAGTTACCGTTACGATCGTGGGTGTCGGCATCGAGGCCTTTGTCCCCGGCATCATGCCGACGGCCGCCAGCAACCCGGGTACGGCAGGAAAGCGGTTGTGGTACGGATTCTTTGCATTTGTTGGGAAGTGGTACTCTTGTGGTTGGGCTGGTGGCGGCGGCGGCCACGCCTGCTGCCGGCGGCGGCTTGGCACTCGCGGGGGGCTCCGGATCCACGACATTTATTAGCCGTACGACCCCGCATTTTGAAAATCTCGAATGTAATCGATTGCCCACCGAGTGCACTTGATTCGGGTCGCGGCAATCACGGCGACTGGACCATCCATCTTCTGAGTCCGCTGTTGTCATGGATGCTACTCCCGCTGCTGCTGCTGTAGGTGCTCCAGCTCCAGCTCCAGCGGCAGCCATAGCCGGTGGAGGACGCGGCAGCGTTAGTTGTGGATTGATGGAGGCAGCGGAGGCAGGTTCATATGGCTCCTCATCTCGCGATGCATCGTCGCAAAGGCGGCGGCGTATGGCAGCTAGGAGTGCCTCCTCGGCCGCCTTTACAGCCGCGCTTGGGGCATGAACATCGAACCCGGGGCTCCGAAACTGCGTTATGGGATGCGAGGCGGGAAAGGAGGCGGAGCGGGCCGGGCGGCCAAGGTGCGGCCAAAATTAACAGTGGCCGCTTTGAAGGGGCTCTTCTGAGGCCGTGAGGCTAGCTTACACCGGAGGATGTTTTCTACCATTAAGCGAACGCGCTTCTGACTAGGTTGGTCACTTTGGCCTTTCGACTAGAGGCCGTGTCGAGGAGGTGTGGATTGTCAGGGCTGGTTGTAAGGCATAAGGGACTAAAAGCCATGAGTATTTATTTTAAATGGTTGCGCACATGCAGACTACAGGATTTTCATCACAGTGTCGATTCAGCAATTCACTTTCAAAATCCTTTTTGGGATTTTGCGTTCACTCAACGCAACTCGTTGTATGCGTCCACTCAAATGGGGGCCAGCATATGTTGCACAAATCTTGCAAAGCTTATTGTGAATTTGAAGTTTATTATTGTGGTCGAGATCAAGTTGCTGTCAATAGCAACAAACCGGAAAAAAAGTGACGATCTGTTAGACACCACGCCTTCAGCCCGGCTGCCCGCGATTGTGACCCTCTTCCCCCCCAAACACTGCACGAAGCGCCAAAGCAAAGGAGAACATGTATCAACATACATTTCCTTCTTCTTGGGGCATCTCTCCTCGTTGTTCGGCTTTTTCGGAAATCTGCGTTTGGAAACCGGCAAGGGGAAGAGGCGCATATGAAAACCCATTCTCCTGTACTAGGATTCCAGGTTGTGATTTAGGAATAGTGCTGCAATATCTCACCTGTTTCACTCATAGAAGTAAATTAGGCCGTCTTGTAAGGTTCATATGACTGCGTTTAACCCGAAATGGCAACCTTTGGATGCGTGAAACAACCTTTTATCACAGCTGTCGGTAAATTCATGTTACAATTGATATACATTACCTTCATTCCAGATTGAAATTACCAGCCTGCTAAAGTGGCAGTTTTCGAGTCCTGGGAGGTTGCGGCTGACTCGGTTTAAGCTTTGAACTATTCATATGTATGTGTGACAAATTCATAGTTACAGGGCGTGTCGGAGCCTGCGGCGCCGGCATATAGTGACAGATGGTGCAAGTAAACGAAAAGTGTGTCATAGCGTAAGCCGTACATTACGTGATAATTGTCAGCTCTACTATCGAAATTGGGAAGTGCATATGACAGTAACCCGACGTCATAGTGCGTTTTCCGGCATAGTGTGTATCTTGATCCCGCCGCAAATCCAGCCCTAAGGACAAATCGCCTGTACCTACCCATCCTGCTAGCCCTACACTCCCTACACATCCTGGTTGCTCGTCAATTTTGCATGAGCGATGCTATAATAACGACAGGTACCTCTATGGTTTGCAGGGATGCTATTATGCAAGATTCATATACGTTTATGAAGCATGCCATGTAATGTCAGACCGTGGTGGTGTCAGCCATGGGGAATCCCCCTGTTGTCCCACTTCACATCCCGAACCCAGTTGTCCAAAGCTCAAAACCTGCTGGTGTCTCAGTACCCGAGGCACAGGATCAGGCATGATCCAGGAAGTCCGATAGGTTATAGCTTGTGTAAGTATGTCACGCAAAGCGCAATATATTTACGCAACCAGCAGGCAACCTGTGTCCCTTAAATCCCCATCAAAGACCCATAATCCTACGCTACCTGAGGAAAACAGCCTAAGTAAATTTCCCAGAGGCATGTATGACTATATTGTCTCTCATCAAGAGGTTGATTTGCTTGAGACGATTTGCTGCTGAAAGCGTTTCCATACTTGTGTCTTCTTCTCGTCATGTTTTAGTATACGAGTTTTCCTCGAGGCGCAATTCTCTGCTTAACAGAAAGCAGGGCTTAAACAGTTCGCGGTGTTTAAATGTGGTGCACGGAAAGCGAAGGGATCCAGCAATGGTCAGCATTTGCAAATGGCAACAGCTACTAGCACGTGTATGCCGCGGGTCACACGAGGTCACACATCATGATGCGCTACCGGAGGAAGGGTAGTATGGGAGACACGTGGCAGCATGATTAGTCTCGTGGAAAGCCGGTGGAGCGGCGCCGGCGACATTGGAAAATGTCTTTCATGGACGACTGAAAGAACAATAATCTTGCAAAAGCGTTACATGAAGGAGTTTTGCGACCGGAGATTTCCGATTGCGTCAGATAACGATTTGGACGACATTGCGATGGGCCACCAACGCCAGACGGGAGCACGTCCTTAGTCCTTCGCTGGGAGATTAGTCTTCATATGAATTTCATATACAGACAGGCTTACGCCAGACCACAACCGCTGACACGAACTTTTATTTCTGGCGGGCTTCTCATGCTCGGGCAATGGCGTTGGAAGCGCCGAGATGTGCGGCGGTCAGCAGATTTGCCCTATGCAAACGGAATTCCAGAGTATTACAAGCTCAGCCTTGCTGCGCGTGCTATCCGTGCTTGCGTGGCTGCCACGGCTTCAACATCTGCCGTCATTGTCACCTGTTCACTTCTTTCGCCAGTGCTTCTATTGATCCCCTGGGCATATACTATTTCTGAACTAGTGTTTGCGGCAATTTCCTGGCGCCGATGGTGTCGTTTCAGCAGTATGAGACACGACGCGGAACGCGCGTCGCCCGCTGTTGCAGCAGATACCGCAGCAGCTGCATCCGACCGCTTTGACGCAGTTGCCACTGATTTAGCACGGGGTGGCTCTACACAGGTCGAATGCTTTCTACGCCTCTGGTTCCACGGCAGACCGCTTGCCGACATCGGTCGCGGCAATTTGAAGGACCTATTGGCATATGCATTCTTCTTTGCTAAAGACAGGCAAGATGTTACATATTTCAGGATTGCATATCTGCATATGATGTCCTCGCTTTATTTTTGCCAAGCTGTCGCCCTGGGACGCGCAAGGTTCACCTTGCAAGTCGACGAATTTCTCTCGTTTACCTGCCCTCCCGGAGTTCAAACCGCCATGAAACGTAATGGTGTCGCAGTTATCGTGTATTTCCCTGCCATACTGAATCGGCTCATAACCCGTCCATCGTCCTCTCGCGCACAGCTCCGTCGTCGCCGCACAAGGCAACGAAGCGCTACTCGATGAAATGGTCGACCGTATGGAGCAGCTTCTCCACCCCGAAATCCAACAACCCAGCACCAGCGGCAGCGCAACGACAGCACCCTCAGCGACGGCCAACCAGGCCATCCCGGCCTCCACAACCGCCGCAAGTTGGTCAGGAGGCACAAACCCGGCACAGGGTCAGGCGCTCCAGGGAACACAACTCACAGGGATTCGACAACCCCAGGACTCTCTGCCGAGCTCGTTGGCTGTACAGGACATCACTTCCAATGAACACGTCCAACACGCCTTATTACCCCAGCCCGAAAGCCCAGCCCTAGCCGCACTTGAAATGGCCGAGGCATCTCTGCCTGAGGACCTCACCTCACATGTCACTACAGCAGACTGCATCCGTGACTCGATTGCGTCGGGTACAGTAGCAGCAACAACGCCTGTAGCATCAAATGTAGCGGCGGCGGTGGCGGCGGCGGAGCCATCATCGCGCCGTGGGCTGTCGCCTGGCACAACCCCCGGCCTTCGCTTCATGGCTCACATGATCGAGCCAATAGCGCACTTTTACCGCCCGCTTGCGTTCTACGTGGCAATGGAGGCCATGTCCTGGATCAACCACTGCATGCTGGTAGCCGTAGGGTTCAAGAGGATGGCGCTGCCGCCCTCGCGGCCGCCGCAGCCGCAGCCGCAGGCGATGGGTGCTGGAGGCGCGCGTCAGGAGCACGACAAGGAAGGCGTTCATCCTGGCGATCATTACTATTACATCGCGAACATGCCGAGCGCGAACAGCGGCACGGGTGGCGGGGAAGGGGGAGCTCCGGTGCCCATTGTCTTTTTGCACGGTGTCGGCATGGGGCTTATGCCGTACCTCCGGCTTCTCGTGGCGCTAGCGGCAACAGGTACGATGATTGTTGGACGGGGTAAATGTCGATCATCACGACATCAGAAAAGTACAGATCGGCGGATATCCGATATCCCGTTAGGATACACAGCCTTAATGAAGAACGTCTCGAGAGCCTCGTTGGAACAATGTACGGACGGCAGGAACTGAGGGGTTTTTGCAGTTGTTGCTGGAGCCTTTGTTTGATTAGTTGTGATGATGAAGCACGTGCTTTGCATGTGCATGCTCCGCTCGGCATGCTCCGCTCGGAATCTTTCGCCTTGAACGGATTCAATTTGTGTTTTAGCCGCGCGACCACAGACATATGCAAAGGCGATGTGGGTCAGAAGCGCAGTAGCTCGGAGCTTTCTTGCGTGAGCTACAGCTACTGCTCGTACAACAGAATTTCCCGCTTATTTCGCTGTACTGGACTATTTTCTTCTGCTGGTTCGTCAGTCGTGTGCCATTCTTACCGGCTCCCACCCGCGGCATTCATGGCTTTTATTTTCAACCGACATCCTCCAGCTCCTCCTGGAATCAATGTGTGCAAATGTGGTGAAAAAGTTCAGGGCACGTGTAGACGTGTAGATGTGTAGATGTGTAGGTACTGGTACGCTCTATCAACTGCATACTGGCAACAGCTAAGTGCCCCGGTAACGCAAAACGGACACGCAGGCGCGCCCATCCTGGCCTTTGAGCTAAAACACATTTCACAGCGCTGGACAGGGGGTCATCCCCCCAGCATGCAACAGCTGGCTAGGGATGTGGTTTCGGCGCTGCGACGGCACGGCTGCAGCCAGGCTGCCGTGCTGGCGCACTCGTTCGGTACGGCGGTAGCGTCCGTGCTGATGCAGACCCACCCCGGCATTGTACGGCACGTCACCATGCTGGATCCAATTTGCTTCAACATGTATATTCCGAGTCTGCTGCGAAATTTTATCTATCGCCGCCTGGGTGCGGCGGCCGCCTCGGCGGCGTCGGCGACACGCGCCGCCGCCACCGCTACTACCGCCATGACGGCCAAGGGATCTACGACCACGCCAGCGGCGGCGCTGGCGAAGGTGGCTTGTGAGCCTTCCAAAAACGAACCTGCCGGTGGCGGCAGTGCCGCGCCGGCAGGCGTTGCTGGCGGCGGCGGCGGCTTGCTTGGGGGCGCTGTGGGATTGCTGCGAACTGCCGCTGGCCTTGCCCTGGACTTGCTGATGCTTGGGCCGGCAAGAGAGCTGCACTGCACATCGCTCCTCTGTAGACGCGTGGTGTGGAGTGAGATCAATCTCTGGGCACATATGGTTCCGGAGCACTGTACGGTAGTACTGTCAGGTAAGATCATTTTGCGTGTTGTTTATGGTTGTGCTTTCTTTTTATTTCGCCTTTGTCGTCGTCCTCGTTTTTGTGTCGCAATATTCTGTGGTTGCCTCGTGTGCGTGCTTGGTGCTCTTGCAATTTGCATGGTGCTGTTTATTTGCGATCAGATTCGGAGAGTAACGCAACGCGAGGTGAAACATACACATGTTTGCTGCTACATGGGAAGTGCGGAGAGTTGCTTCACCACGAGACGTTTAGGGGTTTATCGGATTACTAACTCTTTTTATAAAGTCTTGAGGTTGAGGGTTGGTAATAGAGGTTTAAGACTTGATTTCGGTAACGACGACAAGATTTAAACCGATACCTGGCTTCCCGCTCTTCGGCCCGCACACAGGCCGCGACGACCTGATGTGCCCTCGATATCTAGAGAACTGGCTCCGAGACCACACACCCGCGACCGTTGTCGTACACCCAGAGCTCATGCACGCACAGATTTGCGTGGCTTGGACGCGTCAAGACCAAGTACTTGACCGCATGCTGCGCGCTGTGTACGGCAAGGGCGGCAGCGGCGGTGGTATCGCCCCGACGGACTCGGCATGCACGTTGTACGGCAGCGGCGACAGCGCTGACGCGGCCGTCGGCGCGGCGGCGGCGCTGGCGGAGGCTTCTGGATCTGGCATGAAGGCTGTGGTTTCGGAGGGCAGCGGTCCGGAGGACCTTGACAGCGACTCTGAGCTGCTGTCGCTAAGCCGGTGGTGTGACGGTGCCGCCTCCGCCACCGCCGCCAACGGGGACAAGGGATTCCGCAGGCGTGGCGCGTCCCTGGACAGCCCAAGAGGCTGTTGGGGTGGCGGCGGTGGTGGCGCATTTTGGCGGCAGCAGCTCGGCAGCAGGCGGCGGCTGTCCGCTTGGGAAAACGGCGTCGAAGAGGAGGCCAATGACCTGGCGGCGGGGGTGGCAAATGCGCCGTTGCGGCGGTTGTCGGTTGTACGGCATGATAGTGCGGGGTCGTACATTCGGTTGCCGTCGAGTGGGACGCTGCAGAACGGTGGGGTGGAGGGCGAGGAGGATGGGTCGATCTGACGTCGACACTGTGGGCTCCCGGCGGCGGCGGCGGCGGCTGTTGTGACAGCCGGCACCCAAGCTGACCACAGCCTTGATGATTTGTTTGTTTTGCAATACGACGAAAAGCTCACTAGGCTTGGTACACGACTATATGACGTGGCTTGTAGTACAGTACGGCACACTACGGATGCCTTTTGCCTCACCTTCCCACCTTACCTGATGTCTCGTGCTACTAGTAACAGCCCAGGTACACTTGCGTGTGCGTGTGCTTTCCACGCCTTGTATCATGTCTTGTTTTTTACATTTTGGTTCACGTCTTGATTAACGAAAACGAATCCCAGGGGCCAATCCTCGTGAAGTGGGTTTTCTAGGTCGTTCATTCAGACCTGGTTGGACGGTTTATAAGAACAGGAATATATGATGTAATTTTGGGCGTCACCGCCACCCTGGCATAGCGCTGAGGGTTCGCCGGGAGGAGGGAATAGTTGCGGGGGTGGGGTGGGGGGGAGAGCGGTTGCGGTGTTGATGGGCACTATGTAAATGGCCTGTAGTGAATGCACATACATACAGGTGGACGCCTGTGATATAACTGCAACAGGGAGAGTCGTTGCGAGTGGACGTTTGCAATCATGCAGTTGGTGGTTGGCAGTTCTTGTTTCGAAGGACGATGAGAGTCCCGCAAGCCGTGAGGATGGTGGGAGGGCGGACAGCCCCGCAGTGCTGATGTGGTGGCAGTGATGGTGTATTTTAGGAGCATGGGGTTTGCGTGAGGGAGAGATGAGCGAGGGAGATCTTGAGATGTCTTGAACGTCATGGGAGAGGGGGGTTCCATAGATATGTTGATAGAAAGATGGAGCATGGAGGTGGGGATATTGAGCGCGTTGGAGCTTGCGTGTGTCTGTATGTGTGTATGAGAGGGAGCGGGCGAGGAAGAGAATGGTTCGTTTTTGCCTGAGCCTATCGACGGAAGCTTTGGAGGATGAGCAGTTGAGGACTAGGTTATGTATCGGACCCGCTTTCTGGTCATGCTTGTGACGGGTGGCATAACAGGCATGATCATGAACGGCATTCAATTGTCGCCAACTGTAATGTTTGTCCCATTGCGAAGGGGGGAATCTAGCATATTGCGTGTTACACGTTGGTTGCCATAGAGTGGGAGTCAGTTCGTAAACAACAACCGTTCGGATCCGCCGGACTAACCGAAGCCAATTAGTTTGCAAACGCAGCACTCTACCTGGTTATACTGTAGTTATTACGACTAAGAGATTTTATTGCAAAGGAAATCTTGTGATTGAAACGAAAGTGAGGAATCGGGGACCATACATGCTATCGGGTGCGACCCAACTCCTTGCCGCTCACGCACCCTTCACCCCCAACACATCAACATAACGGAACTTTTGCCATCACCAAATTTACAAGGATATTTTAATATTTTACTTCTCCAAACCTAAAGTGAGGCATAGCAGGTTGCGAACATGCAGCAACCAAACTTGAAACTGTACGGCTGTACGATGAAGCCAAACGTTGAATGCTGCTGATTAAGGTCCTGGAATTTCTGATTGTCCATGTGTCACGATGGCGCCCGAAGGAAGTCCATCATCGCTCCAAGCGATTAGGTACACACGCGGCAGCTTGCAGCTGTTGGATCAGAGGCTGCTGCCTTTCCAAACGGCGTATCTAGATGTCCCAGATGTGAAAGCAGCATGGACGCAAATTCGCGATATGGTCGTGCGTGGAGCGCCTGCGATTGGTTGTACCGGTGCACTTGCGATGGCGGTGGAGCTTCAAACTCATAAAGGCGCTGGAACAGAGTTTAGCTCGGTGAAGGAGGCAACGGATTATATTAATTCTACTTTGGATTATCTTGTTACCAGGTGTGGGACCCATTTCACCTTCCCCAAATCGTCCAGGGCAATTATGGCATGCCAAAGCGACAGGGAAAGGGGTTTCGTCGGGTGCCTAACCTATATATTACGCGTGATTTCACAACCTCAAAATCGTGGCCCCATGGGCCTTCAGATGCCATGCGTTCACCCTTGCCCCTCTGCCACTCTGGCCCCGTGGCCTGGCCCCGCCGCCTCCAAGCTTTTGCCACCTAAAACTTTTTCCTGCAATAAAATCTTGCATCTGCGCTAATTCATAGAAAGATTGTGTAAGAAAACAAAGATTTATGTTGTCCATGCGTGGTTGCCTTGGGGCAGCCCAGCCCAAAAAATGTATTGCCGTACGAGCGGCCATCTACACCATGCGCACACGTGGCCTGCACCCAAATCGCCCTGCCCCACATCCTCCAAAGCAGGCTTCACAATCCGCCATTCCCCAAGCACCCAATCCTCTGGGCACTTTGTGTCGAACTACTATCCACAAAGACTTCATAGTTATTAAACAGACTCGTTCAAAGACAGATCCTATTTTGGCCTAGTTACGTAAAAAGTATTCAAGCGCAAACTGCGTTGCTCATACGTAACCTTTTTCCTTTTTAGGTTCTAAATGCAAAAGGATGTGCATATGTCCCCGACCACCCCAGCCGCCCCACGGCAGTGAACCTGGCGGATGCCGCCAACAAGCTCAAGGCCGCAGCTGCACTTGCCGCCGCAGCTGATGCTGCCACCCCCTCCTCGGTCTGCTCTGCCGTCATGGACGCAGCGGAGGCATACTTCGTAGAGGATATTGCATCCAACAAGGTTAGCTGGTTCGGTGGTGGGAGGGTGGTTTTGATGTTGGAGGAGGGAGGTGGAGTAAAAACAAAAGGGGATGGAAAAGAGCATGAGGGGGGAAAGGGGAAGGGAAAATGAAAGGAGAGTGGCGCATTTGCTTTTTGGAGTGTATTATTCCATTTTTTGGGTTATCCTCCCATCTTCCTGGATGGCCCCAACCTTGACGCCCTCACGACAATGCAACCATTAGCGCCCTCCACCACGCCGCACGCACACGTATGCGGACGCACAGCCACGTACGGTCCACAGCTTTCCTTTTTTCCATTCCAAACCCATCGCTCCCGCAGCTGTTTCTGTTCCCCCAACAATGCCATGCCCAAACTTCACTTAATCCGACTTGATTAAGGGATCACCCTGATATCCCCGCTTTCTTCAGGCAATGGGTGCTACAGGCGCTGCTGCGTTGCTGGCGGCCGCTCATGCTCGGGGTCGGGGGGTTGGGGGGAAGCTGCGCGTGCTGACGCACTGCAATACCGGCAGCTTGGCGACGGCAGGGTACGGCACCGCGTTGGGAGTCATTCGGGCATTACATGAGCAGGGCACCCTGGAGCATGCGTTTTGTACGGAAACGCGGCCGTACAATCAGGGTGAGTATTTGGGTCTTGGTCGGGGGTTGGTGGTCAGGGGTTGTAGTGGGGAATTTTGTGGTGAGGATGGTGGTGATGGTGGGGGGGTGGGGGAATGGTGGGTTGGGGGTGGTGCTCGGTGGAGGTAACGGTGGTGGGGCGATGTGGGTCTTTATCCAATAAATCAGAGGCGTGATCAAGGGATTTACACGTCCCTGTGCGAGTGGGGGTCTGAGGGTCAGGGATTTAGGATTTCTTTTACAGACCGACATCCCTCCAGGCGGTCGGGATGTCGCCGGGGGCGAGAGGGAGGCTCTCTTCACTCTGCTTTACCGTCCATATCCCACCGTGGATGGTTGTGCATTTGTGTGCACACGCGCGCGCGCGCGTGCGTGTGTGTGTGTGTGTGTGTGTGTGTGTGTGTGTCTCTGGGTGGTGGTGGTGCGGTGGGCATGTAGTAGGTAAAGGGGATAAGTACGTCGCCGGGATTCCTCAACGATCCCGATGATGAAATCCAAACACCTGGTTCAGCTCGACAACATGCACCAGCATTACGACCTGCACTTGCCGCGCACGCACGTGCGAGATTCATGTCACATAGGAAATGCTGTTTCCATTGATACATGCTCACTCGCAAAATCGTAAACTGCCACAAACTGCTTTTTTTGGAGGCTGGGCGGCATTTTATCCAATGCTGCTTCTATTGGTGGTGGTGGCTGCGATTGGTGGTGAATGGTGGTGGTGACCTCCGGGGGTTGGGTCCGGGTGTGTTCTGCTGCAGGTGCTCGTCTCACCGCCTTTGAGTTGGCTCACGACCAGCTGCCCGCCACGCTCATCTGCGACTCCGCGGCTGCTGCGCTGATGGCATCAGGGCAGGTGGATGCGGTCGTGGTGGGGGCAGACCGGTGAGTGACCGGACCGTGGGCCGCCTGTTTGTGTGCGCATGCGTGCTTTCATCTGCGCTTGTGTATGCAGTTGTGTTTGCGCGCGGGTGTGTATATGTGTGAACGTTACAAGAATCTGACCGCGCCTGACACAGGCCAGGGGCTGCTGCCCAGCCCCAACGGAAAGACTGCCTAAACTCTCTCCCGCGGACGGGAGGTGTGTGTATGTATGTGTGTGATTTAGGATGTCAGCTGGGAGTTCATATTGGGGACGGCTGATTCCCTCGGAAGGAGGAGGGAGAGGGGGGAGGTGTGACTAAGCATAGACGATCTACGCTAAGGAAAACCCTAAGACGAATGCTCCAAAATGCGAAGACCAGACTACCTTGGTCACGAGTTTCCTCGCCCTTCTTGTCTCGTCTAGGTGCGTGGGTCTGTTTGTATGCATGTATGCATGTATGTATGTATGTATGTATGTATGTATGTATGTATGTATGTATGTATTATGTATGTGTGTATGTATGTATGTGTGCATGCATTTAAGTATGATGTTGTTACAGGGTGGTATAGCTTCACCAGCGGCCCCCTTTCCCGAGGCAGTTCCCTGCTCTTCCCTGCGAGAGGGGTACCGTAATCCATTCACCCCATCCGACTTCAGAATGGGTTCAGCAACTCACCACCAGCATCCAACCAAATCTAGCGGATCAACGGCGCCACAACTTGGTTCCTGGTCAGCTCGCAAATCGATGTAATCACGTCCTACACCGTCCACAAGATGGGGGCCCACCTCCCAATTCACACAACCCGAGGGGTCGGCAGGCGGATTTGAACCCGGAACCTCCGAGAGCAGAAGTGATATGAGTATGCATGTATGTATGTGTGTGCGTATGTGTGGCGCACAGTGTTGTTGCCAACGGCGACACGGCCAACAAGATCGGCACCAAGTCGCTGTCCATCTCCGCCGCCCACTTCAACATCCCCTTCTTCATCGCCGCCCCCACCACCACCCTCGACCCCCACCTGCCCTCCGGGGACCACATCGTCATTGAACAGCGCACCCACGAGGTGAGGTAGGGGGCCCCCCAGGGGGCCGTGTGTGTATGTCTGTACGTATGTCTGTGTTTTTACGGACTGAAAAGTCGTCCAGGATTGGAGTGGGACCCCATGATGATGGGACGGAACACGCACACATACATACGTACATACACACACACGCACTGGCAGCAACCTTACGCATTGCCGAAAAGTGTAAGCATTCCAGTCAAGTCCAGCAGCGAAATATTGGTTAGGTTTTGGTAATCTATAGGTTTTGGAGTTGATGAGAAGAAGGATGTGTATGTGTGCCCATCTTACCATCTTCTCGGCCCTGCACCCTCCACCGGCAGAGATGGTTCCTTAGGGTTTCGCATTGTTCGAATCTCCCGCCTCGCCCCCTGACGTCTGCAGTTGATCCACTTTTCTGTTGCATGCTTGGTTGCACCTCCCCACCCCTCCCTCTTTTTTTCCTTTTCGTCAATCGTCTGTGCTTTGTCCTGCCCCTCCCCTCCCTGCCCCCCTTCCCCCCCCCGTTGCATATACTCCCCCCTCCCCCCCGGTAGGAGGTGACCCACTTCAGGGGCATCCGGGTGGCGGCTGAGGGAGTCAATGTGTGGAACCCCTCGTTCGACGTGGCGCCGTGTGAGTACGACAGCGCCCGCAGGGAGGAAGTAGGGTTTAGGGTGTCGATGTTGGTTGCAGGTGGTGTTGAGAGGGGGGCCCAACGGAAGGGAAGACTGGGTGGTATCGGGGGTTCGAGGCAACAGGTGATATTGTCGTGTTTTGCATTTCCTTTTCTTCCCAACGCCTCCCTCTAATCCCTTGTTGTGCCGGGCTGCTTTACAAACCCCCCACCACCCACTCACCCACACATGCATACGTATCTGCATGCACACATACACACATACACCCTCACCCGGCCCCCCTCCACCCACCCCCTTTCCCCCCTCCACCCACCCCCAGCTTCAGCTCCAGAAGTTTCGAAATTTGGACGCCTGCAGCCCGGTCCTTTTTCCTTTTTCAAGTGTGGCCATGATTACTTCCCTTCCCTTCCCTTCAGGCGGCCTCATTGAGGGTATCATTACGGAGCGGGGCATGATACCCAAGACCAAGGATGGGGTGTTTCAGGTGAGTAGCAGGGAGAGGGGAAAGGGGGGAGGCAGGGAGGACGGTCTGCTGAATAGCCTCTGGGATGAAAATACGGAGAGGGAATACGGCACACGAGTAGGCTAGCTGCCGTACGTTTCAGCTGAATCAGAGCACCCATCCCAACCCTCCACCTCGTCCCAGGTCCGTGCCTTCATGACCCAGCTCGGCCTCTGGCAGCCGCCGCAGAGCGACAACCAGACGACCGCTGCGACGGATTCGGAGGCTGCCGCCACCGCCACCGCCACCACCACCACCACCAGCGCCACAACTACAGCCCCCGGATTCCGTGCCCTGGACTGCGAGTCGGTGAAGCATTACGTGGCCGCCCGACCTGCATTGCAGCAGAGGGTGGGACCTGCGGACAGTGTGGAGAGCTGGCGCGTCAAGGAGGTGCGGATATGGGGGGGAGGTTGGGGGTTGGGGTGGAGAGGGGGGTTGGATGAGGAGGAGGGAGGAGTGGGAGCCGTGTGCAAGGGGTTCTCAGCACGGGCTGCTGACGTACATACATACTTACATACATGTTTACATACTTAATTACACATGCGCGTTCCGATCAAGACGGTGCCAGGTGCCAGCCAAACACATGTGTTCAGCATGCATGTCGCGGCTTAGATCCTTAAAGCACAACACCGTAAGCACGAGCGCAAGCACCCGCAAACACATCGTACATGCACATAACACTCACCCGCAGGTGGGCGACGGCAACATCAACTTTGTGTTCATCCTGGAGGGCCCCGCCGGCTCCCTCTGCGTCAAGCAAGCCCTGCCGTACGTTCGTTGCGTGGGGGAGTCCTGGCCGCTAACCCAAGACCGCGTGCGGATCGAAGCAGCGGCGCTGGCAGAGGAGGCGGCCTGGGTGCCCGCGCACGTGCCTGCCGTACACCTGTACGATAAGGACATGGCGTTGATCGCGATGCGCTACTTGGCGCCGCCCTTTATCATTCTGCGTCGGGGATTAATGGGTGGAGCGGTGTATCCTGGTTTGGCGGGGCATCTGGCGACGTTTTTGGCGGGAACGTTGTTTCACACGTCGCTCATTAAACTGGACAGCAGCACGTTCAGGTACGGGAGATGTGAAGGACTGTGGTTTTTTTCCTTGTAAGGTTTAGAGGAGTAGGGGAGGGAAAGGAAGGTTCGGAGACGCTATGAGGGGCAAAGGAGGGGGTAGGAATGGGGGTTGGGGATGGGGATTTTAGGGGTTGGCCAGAGTGGCGGGAGGTGAAACGTGTATAGGAAGGGGTCATTTACTTGGCTTGGCTTGCCGCTTGATTTGCGTGCAGCTTGGCCTATTACCCACGTGCATGCATCCTTTCCGCTCTGCTGCTCTTTTGCCTGCTTTTAGCTTTCTCCTTCCGTTCCCGGGTCTGTCGTCCTCCTTCCCGCTATTGTGCATGAGCACCTGAAACGCAAGTGCTACTTCAGTGTGCTATCTTCGCCAGGTCCTGCCCCTCTGGCTCACCCAGGTCCTGCACGAGACTTGTAATTGAAAAAGAATATTTTCTTTTTCAATCGAACGAAACACGCATACTGATGTCAGTAACTCGCCGCCTGCAGGCGTAAGGTGGCTGAGTTTGAGAATGATGAGATGTGCCGCTTGACGGAGCAGGTCATATTCACGGAGCCGTATTACAAAGCGAAGAACAACAGGTGGGTCCGGGGAGAGCGGAAAAGGGGGTGTGAGACCTGTGTGGATATGGTCGCTGCTGTTGGGCGCACGCAGAAGACACACAAGCGATTGGTGGTGGTAGTGGTGGAGGTGGTGATGATGCCGCTGTTGCTGCTACTCGTTGCGCGACATGTTTTTTTTACCACAGATGTCATTGCTACTGGGCCATTGCTGCCGCTACTAATGCTACTGATGTTGCTACTGATTTTGCAGGTGGACCAGCCCTCAGCTCGATGCTGATGTGGCTGAGCTGCAGTCTGACGTGGCGGCTCGCGTGGCGGCCTGCGAGCTCAAGGGGCTGTTTTGCAGCCGACCACAAGCTCTACTTCACGGAGACTTGCACACCGGTTTGTGGGGATGAAGGGTGGGAGTGACGGGGGTGGGATTTGGATCGTTTGCTGCGGGCCCAGCTAGCGTCCTCTTCATCTTGTTTATAGGAAAAGGCTTCTGATGCGGTTCCTTCGGTGTTGCACCCCATGCCCCACACCTCCGCACGCCCCGCCCGGTCCCTCCCCCTTCCCCACGTTCCCAGGCTCCATCATGGTCACTGACTCCGAAACCAGTGTCATCGACCCGGAGTTTGCATTCTATGGACCCATGGCCTTTGACGTCGGCAAGGTACGGCACTTGCACGGCTGCTACTGGGGTGGCGGTAACTGAGTGACGAGGGTTATTTGTAGCGAGCAAGAAGATGGACGGGTCGTGTTATATTCTGCTGGATATTGCATTTGGGTTTGAGTCTTGAGTACGGCTAGAGTGCTGGGTGCAGTGGGACTTTCTGCGGGCTGCGGGTCGGAACCGATTTAGCGGTGGGTGTTGTTTTAGTAACCGTAGACCCACTTTGCTCTTCCCTCCCCCCTCTTTCACGCCCCCTGTTCGTCTGATTTGGGCTCCAGCAGTTTGCGGCTTTGGATGTCGCTCGGCAAGTGATCCCTTATTTCTTGCATTATCATACAATTACCTCCTCCCCCAGATTCTGGCGAACCTGCTTCTGGCGTACTTTGCATCGGATGGCCAGGAGAAGGACCCCGGGGAGAGGGAGGCGCAGCGGGGTGAGCCGTGGTTGGTTGTGTGTTGGGATGGCGGTATCAGATGGGCCAACACGCAAAACAAAGAAGGATGTGCTCACTTTCTCTTCCCCTTTCTCTCACACACACACTCTCCGTTCTACGGGTAAGTTGCGTAACGGCTTTGGACTCCAGTTGGTGAACTGGGCGTCTGCAAATCCACGTCTAACCGTTTGCTTTGTTGTCGTGGAAAGCTTTGACGAACGTGTCATCCTTAGGTGGTCAAGTATCCAGTCTCATTATCCAGCCTCATCTGTCAAGCTTATTGCTCTTTGCGACTGCTATTGTCTTCCCTTCTGATCGTCCAGGTTGGTTGTTGTCCTGCATGGTGGATACCTGGACGGGTTTCTCCACCGCCTTCACTCAGATGTGGTCGCTTCACGGCGCCCGTGGGGACTTGTACCCGGGTGTGCTGACGGAGGCGCCAGGTGGGGATGGTGTCGGCAGCAGCGGTGCGGAGGAGGTGTTGGCGGCCTGCCAGGAGGGCTTTATGCGGCAGCTTTTCCACGAGACGGTGAAGTTCATGGGTAAGTGGAGGGGCAGGGAACAGATTGCGGTTTGGGTTCGGGGTGGCAGGAGAGGTGTAGGGGAGAAGTGTTGGTAGTGTGCATGTAGGGGAGGCATAGCTTGAGGCGTGTGATGGGTGCAGGAAGAGTGACGCGGGCGGAGTGACGAGTGATGTGGAGAGAGGAGGGGTGTTTTCCATCCAGGTGTTTTCCACTGAGGGAGACACATGTGTTGTCCGTAGCCTGTTCTTATTTTCTTATCTTCACCAACACGCATCGCATTGCATTCCTAGGGTTGTTCCCTTCTAAACCCCCGCAACCGTACCCTCCTCGAATTGCGTTCGCTTGACTCGCCCGTGCTCTCCGAAATTAACCCAGCCAACCGAAACATGAAATGCCTTGGTCAATGGACACTTTGCAGGTGCGTTCCTGATCCGGCGGCTGGTGGGTATCGCCCACGTGGCGGATATGGACTCCATTGCGGACCCCGACGTGCGGGCGGCGTGTGAGCGGCGTGCGTTGCGATTCGGACGCAGGTGTGGCAGCGTGGGCAGCTACTGGAAGGAAACGTGACTTTGTTACATGACGAGGGGATGCATAAGGCATCAGGGCGTTTAGGGCGTAAGAGGATCGGGGGAAAGGAGTGAAGGGTGTGGTGATAGTCGGGGCTGAATGGCGTTTTAAAGCAATTTGTCGCTTCGCCAGGTCTCCTGCTGCCAGTCCGCGCCGCGACATGTGCCTAACTGACCCGTGGGTCGGTCTGTTCTTGCAGGTTGCTTGTAGATGGAGCCAAGGCGGAGCTGTCCACCATCCATGGCCTGACTGAGGCGGCCGCGACGTTGCGGACGGCGGCTATCTGAGTCTTCCTCTTGCCTTGGCTCTTACGCTGCTGCTTGGCTCCGTTTCACTTGTTCACCGTAGACGGCTGGAGGAGGGTTGGTGGGGGGGGAGCGGAGCGGGAGGTCTTCTGGTTTGGCACGGCCTGGAAGGCTGAGAGCCGCACCGGAGTTGACAGTCCCTCTCATCAATGCGTTTCTGTATACAGAAAATCAGACAAGTATACAATCGGAATTGCTGCCTGGGATGCACGGAGAAAAAGTGTGGAATAGGGGGAGGAGATGGGAAAAGTGTGGGAGGGGGAGTAGGGAGACTGAATTCGGCAGTGTAGCTGTGTACAGTGTGCAGCTGATGTTTTGTTCAAGGCTTAATTTTAACCGACAAGGGTGACGGAGTGAACACGATATGTGTGCTGTTTCTTCAAAGCTATGAGTGACTGTAAATCGCTTGCGCGCTCTCACCAACGCTGTCTATTCCCTTTACTGGTGAGTCGACGAGCTCCCGTTGCTTCTATTCTCTTGGACATGGAGAGGAGCTTGATGAAGCTGGGTTGCAGTTTGGGCAAGGTTGTTTCCTTGGAAGGAGGTTAGAAAGCCATCGACTTTTGAGCTTAGCACAACTCTCCCCATACGTTACACAGCAGCAGAGCCGTCCTCAGCCTTGCCCTTAGTCTTCTTGGGCAGTAAAACAGCATGGATGTTGGGCAGAACACCGCCAGCGGCGATGGTCACATCACCCAGCAACTTGCCCAGCTCCTCATCATTCCGGATAGCAAGTTGGATGTGGCGGGGAACGATGCGGTTCTTCTTGTTGTCGCGTGCGGCATTGCCAGCGAGCTCCAGCACCTCGGCAGTCAGGTACTCCAGCACAGCAGCGAGGTACACGGGTGCTCCCGCACCGATTCGCTCAGCGTACTTGCCCTTCTTGAGGTAGCGGGCTATGCGGCCTACAGGGAACTGGAGTCCTGCCTTGGCGCTTCGGCTGACAGCCTTCTTCCCAGCAGTCTTGCCCTTGCCACGGCCGGCCATTTAACTGTGCGTTATCAACGCCGGATAAAATCAAAAGAATTGAACGTGTGCTTTGGAAGGACGTCACAGCTTATTTATCTTTGGTTCATTCGTACCGAGGCAACGGACAACCGATAAATTCAAACTCTTTATTCCTATATGGAATATAGACTAAGGAATAGCTCCTTGATAAACCATTTAATCGTGTAGGAGATGTAGGAGAATCAAGGAGAGGGTAGCATCAGAAAGGAGGAGAAGGTAGCATCAAAAGAGGCCGCCAAGGCGCCCGCTGCAGGTAGAGACAAGATGGCCAAGAAGAAGGTGAAGGTGTCAAAAAGCGAGACCTACAAGCAGTACATTTACAAGGGGCTCAAGCAGGCGCATACAGACACGGGCAATAGCTTGAAGGCAATGTCAAGGAAGGTCGCCACTGAGCCTTCTAAGCTCAGCCGCTACAATAAGAAAGCCCACTGTCACGTCTCGCGAGGTCCAGAGGGCGGTGCGGCGGGTCCAGCTGTGCGAGCTGCCCAAACACGTGTGAGAGGGAAACCCAAAGCTGTAACCTCAGGTTCACCTAGGCGTGTGACTAAGTCCGCCATGATGCGGTCGAGTGCAAACCGGAGTATTAGATATCCTAACTTGTATTGCGCCGGTGTTTTTCAACACCACCGCATCGGTGAGGTAGTACGGAAATGCTGTAACCTGGGTGCGCCGCTGGTTTGTGCATGTCAGCCTTGTCAGGTACTACACTCAAAAAAAAGAAGATCGCAGCAACCTTTGACGAGATTGTATTGACCATTTCTTTCGAGGCCAGGTTGCTGCTCACCTCACAATGTCAGGTATTGCATTATGGGGTGTTGCCTGAGGTGTCTGCCCTATCCGGATTTCGCCCGTTGGATGAGTGTCTGTGGGGACCAGGGGAGGGGGACACCTTTTCAAAAGCCCCTCACCCTTGTCCACACTCCAAAAGCCATCCACCAAACACCAACGAACCCGTCCTTAACCCGCCCGACATTTGCCGTTTCGCCCGCAATAAAGGTGTCAAGAGTATCAGCGACTCATCCACATAACGACCTGCACGGTGCACAAGAGCTTCCTAAGGAACGTCATTCATGACTCGGTCAGCTACACGGCCATCGCTTGCCACGAAACCGTCACAGCCATGGATGTTGTGTCCACGCTCAAGCACCAGAAAGGCCGCACCCTGTACGGGTTCGCTGGTTAAAAGGCTTAAGACGGTTGCGAGCCCATTTGCTCTCCACCTGCTGTTCAACCATACCCGGTGTTTCGCAATACCACCATAGACGTTCTATACAAGTTCCGTGATTTCCAAAACATGCTGTATTTGTATCTTCTCGATCTTCGAACTAGCTGGGACCTAAAGACTTGAAGTCATAAACATGAGCAAAACAGGGACCAGATTTATGCCCTTTCCAACCGCCGTGCCACGCTAGTGTGTTCCCAGGGATTGGTTATTTCAAGCGTCGTGCGCCGTACCTGCGGCAACTTAACCTTCCTAGATCGCACCTCCTGGCGCTTGCTTTCTTGGATTTTCCCATGGGGGAAAAACGTCCGAACTGCCCGAGCCATTTCCCATCCTCCACGCACATTCGCACTTTACTCCTCTTCGTTCGAATCTATCGCTCTTTCCCCTTCCTTCTTACGTTGCGAGAGGAGCTGTAGAAATTGGAAGCAGATTGTCGTGGACCCACACCATGCCCCGACTGTCCGACTACGTCGCCAAGCAACAGCTGCAGCAGCAGGTGGTGTGGATTTTCCACTTTTATGGAAATAACTATGATTTACCATCCTTCGATTTTCCGCAGCAAGTCTACCGTCTCCCTGTCTATATGTTTGTCCGCCAGCCGTTCTGTCCATAATCTTGTGTTCCTCTGCACTGCTCGGCTTTGGATGTGCACATGTGTCTGAGTCTTCTCAATTACATGCGAGCGGGTGAGCATAACCCCCGGGGGGTACAACCTGCGGGTCTGCGGCTCGATACCAGCCACGAGAACGCTCAAGTGCTTTCCGCAGCTTGCCTAACGACGCATGGTCAAAAACACTACGCAACAAGCAAAGGATAACACGACAAGGAATCGACAAGATATAAGAATGACTTAGTCACGTGAGATTACATGCGCATGCGTCATTTACAGCGGCAATTGTCTTCCGTTTAATTTAGCCCTTGTGCGGTTCCTGTGCCTGGAACATGCAGGCAGCCCCAGTGCACCGTCATAGCTCAAGCAAGGAAACTGGCCTGGATGCCGCAGCCGCGGCCCCAAAAGTTGCTCCCACCATTGCTGCGACACCGTCTCCAAAACCCGTCGCTGCTGCTGCTGCAACAGCTGCATCTGCGCCAGCAGCCCCTGCTGCAGCTCCGTCTTCAGGCGCCGGGCCCTCAGCATCCGCAGCCGCTGCACCGTGGCAGCCGCTGTACGAGCGTTACGTGGAGCAGTACAGACGCAGGCATGTTGCCGTGGACGACTGGTGCTCCCTAGTTAATACCGGGGGTGGGGATGTGATGGGTTGGGAAGCGTGCGCGTACATGCACCCGAGGTGCGTGGAAGGGAAGGGGGGTTTTCGATGGGGCATTAAGTGAGAATCCGGGGAGGGATAACCCCTTAGTTAGCTGTCAAGCTTTCAGGCGGTTGAGAGTGGCGTGCGCAACTGACTGTAGCGAAGGGTGAAGGGTTCATCTTGCAAGGTACTCTGTGTGTGTGTGTGTGTGTGTGTTACATGGTCGTGGGTTGCGTTCCCCGTACCTGCAAACCGCCCTGATACGAGCCGAGGGCTCAAGGGCTGCCAGATCGCCTATAAGCACCATCCTACCTCGCACTTCAAACAAAGCAAGTGATAAAGGATACTAACGACCAAAGGGAACGATAGAGTTGCGGTGGGACCATATACTTTCCAGCATCCTTGCCAGGCCTTGCAAGGTACTGAACGCGCGAGTAGTGTGGACGGGGAGTTGAAGAGGGAATGGCCAAGGGATGTAGGAGGGCTGGCGGCGGTTGGGTCTTGATGCTCTTTCCAGTCGTGCTGCCAGCTTACTGCTGTTGCTGTTGCTGCTGCTGTGCATTGTTCCGCGTCGGTCCGCAATACGCCAATTACACATGTCACCGACATCCGACATCATGACCCATTATGACCCTATGGAACAACCGGCCACCAAACCTCCCCCCGAGCCCAAGACCTACCTAAATCTCGTGGATGACCCTAACTAAGAACTGAACCCGTCTTCAGAATCCACACTCCCAACCCAGCTCCCAGAATTGCCCTCTTACGGCCACCCCCATCCCCCCCTCCACCAAGGGTCCGTGACCGGGGTCCCCGAACCTACCGCCACCCCGACGGCTCCCTGCGGCCCGACCCGCCGGTGGCCGACATGTACTCTCAGGTGCCGTACAATCCGCCGTACATGTAGAAGGCATCAGTGTGTACTACTCGCGTGGGCATGAGTCATGAGCAGGCGGCAACTCAGTGTACGGCGGTATCCTGACGTGTAATGAATGATGGCATCCATCCTCCATTGTCATCATCTTCTTGTCGGGGCCCGGGGCAGCTTTGCTCTTAGTAGACTTGATCGGACTGATGCCCTGTCTCCGGCGGTTGTGGGAGTTATGGGATTTCGACGGCTCTTTTCCTTTTCCTGCAGGCCAACCGCGCGCACTGGGCAGAGCTTGTGGGCTACTGCCGTACACACGGAGGCGACCGGGATTATGATACGCAGGGTAGGAGCTGCAGGGGTTGCCGTTGCGAACATCCCCTCCACCTCCTCTCTGAGTTCTCCCTCCCGGGGTGGGTTCTCCCTTTTTTTGGTCACGGCGTGTGGGCTCAAGGTGAAAAGCTCGCAAGTGAGTGTGCGGCGTCTTGCGAACCCGGCGTGGTAAGGATGTAACGCATGCACGTGCGGAACACAGACTGTTCTACGTAATGCGATACTTTTGCGGTTGGTTGGTTTATGGTCGGCAATGTGGAGCGCGGCCCTCCTCCTCCCCCTCCCTGTCCACCTCCATGCGCGATGACCTGGCATCTTTCCCTCCAGGCTTTTCCCTCAGGTACGGCATTGGCGTACCGCCGGAAGCACATCAGAAGCTGCTTGAGGCGCTGGGTGAGCTCACCTTCCCTGCCTGATGCCTGATCTGCCCGGTTCCCTCCCTCTCTCCGTCCCCCTAACCTAACCCCCCCAATCCTAACCTTAGCACCACACGCGAAGAAAGGCCAGAACAGCAGCTAGGACCGCAGATATGAACGAACACCGCTGGACACAGCAAAGAAGACACAGGGTCCTCCCATCCTTCGCAAACCGTGGGCAGGTCAGCTGCCCATGTGTGGCGTACGACGGCATGTATACAGTGTACGGCAGCCCACGAAGCATCTCCTCTGTACGTTAGCTGCAGAGGCATGCAGTCTATCTATTTGGCCTGCGGATAGACTGTCGCACAAAGTACCTCGCGGCCTACGTGGCCTTGGCCCTAAAAGCCCTGGCTGCCGTGGCCCTAGTCCTGACGTGTACATGTGGCAGATGGTCTGCCCTGTCGAGCCCTGCCTACATGCTGCTGCTTCACACCGCACGGCACCGCACCGCAGACCTCCTGGAGGAGTTGACGCCGCCGCCCGCAGAGCTGCTGCAAAACGAGAGGCGGTAAGTCCCGGTTTGACCGCATGCGGGGACAGATAGAGGCCTCAGAGACAGTGAGAAACAATTCCCCCCCCACGAATCTCCCTCCCCCAAAACTTGAAAGGCGCTTCGTTGATATAATTGTGTGTGTAACGAGTCGCCGTGGGTTTGTTTCTGCATACACGCTACAGCTGCTGCGCGGTGTGCTGATGCCGCGTCTTGAGCTCTGTGATGCTCGAGCTGTGTAGTGTTAAGGTCCAAGTCCGGGTTGGGGACCCCAGCAGATTGGAGCAGTACGGCGTTCTGTCCCCCTGTCGGACGACCGACTGGAGGGCCGTTGCCGGGGGCACGCATTTCTTCGTTCGTACCCAGAACAGAGGAAGGGGAATACGTTTTTCCTAACATACACTCCCTACCCAGCTCCCATATTTGCCCTCTTACGGCCAACCCCCTCCCCCCTCCACCAAGGGTTCTGTTCCACCGAAGTGCGTATACGAAACACACACATATATATACACACGCGACACACACCCTTCCCGGGTCATCGCTCCTTTACGACAGAGGCGACCCGCTGGCCGACCCGGAGCACCCCTTTAACCGCGAGTGGCAGCAGCTGGCCGAGCAAGGTGCGCCGTACCTCGAACCGTACGCAGGCGGTACGGGAAATACGTCATTCATCCATCCATCCAGCATGTTTCGTGCCACACCGAAACGAGGAAAACGGAATGGGAAACAAAGTGCACGCTTCTGTTGAGCGAAAAGACCAATAGACAGTGACGGCAAACTGCCACTGCCTCCAAACGTCCCTTACCCAACCCCCCTCCAACCTCCCCATCTTGACCATCTTCATACCCGCAACTGCGTCCACCTCGCATGTCTCCAACACGACGACACAGTGTTCGCCGCAGCATCGGCCAGGGGCCAGATGAAGGTGTACCAGACCGCTCGTTAAGAACCCGCCGATGAGGAACGCTACGAGTGGCTGCGGCGGCAGCGGCGGCGACGGTTGTTGACCGTGCTACGGCTACTACTGTTCCTGCTACAACTAGCCTACTTGGATGTGGGTCCGGGTGCGGGTCTGGATGTGGGTGCGGGTCCGGGTGCGGGTCTGGATGTGGGTGCGGGTCCGGGTGCGGGTCTGGATGTGGGTGCGGGTCCGGGTGCGGGTCTGGATGTGGGTGCGGGTCCGGGTGCGGGTCTGGATGTGGGTGCGGGTCCGGGTGCGGGTCTGGATGTGGGTGCGGGTCCGGGTGCGGGTCTGGATGTGGGTGCGGGTCCGGGTGCGGGTCTGGATGTGGGTGCGGGTCCGGGTGCGGGTCTGGATGTGGGTGCGGGTCCGGGTGCGGGTCTGGATGTGGGTGCGGGTCCGGGGGCGGGTCTGGATGTGGGTGCGGGTCCGGGTGCGGGTCTGGATGTGGGTGCGGGTCCGGGTGCGGGTCTGGATGTGGGTGCGGGTCCGGGAGCGGGTCTGGATGTGGGTGCGGGTCCGGGTGCGGGTCTGGATGTGGGTGCGGGTCCGGGTGCGGGTCTGGATGTGGGTGCGGGTCCGGGTGCGGGTCTGGATGTGGGTGCGGGTCCGGGTGCGGGTCTGGATGTGGGTGCGGGTCCGGGTGCGGGTCTGGATGTGGGTGCGGGTCCGGGTGCGGGTCTGGATGTGGGTGCGGGTCCGGGTGCGGGTCTGGATGTGGGTGCGGGTCCGGGTGCGGGTCTGGACGTGGGTGCGGGTCCGGGTGTAAGGCCTGCAAGAGAAGAAACGTATGGGAGAGGGTGGGAATGAGTGCGTGAGTACGGGCCCGTGGTGGCGAATACTGCGATGAAAGGAGACGAAGTCGAGGAATGGGAGGAGGAGGAGGAGGAAGAAGAAGAAGAGAACGAGGAGGAATAGGAGGAGGAGGCGGGGTACTATCGTTATCTCAAGGGCCAGGGCACGCACACCTTACAGTGATATGTCCTCCTTTCCTAACACCCGCACGGTGGCACTACTGCAGCCTCACTTGGGAGGGGTTGGTTGGCAGGAGATGTGTGAAGGTGGGGGGATGAAATGATGATGTGGCGTCCCGAACGGGAAAGATATGGAGCAGCAGCAATAACGGTACCAACGTTAGCAACGGCATCAGGTCGGTCAGGTAGCCGGGTGTGGTGAGGCTGTTCCTTTCGCTGACTCAGCTGCTCTGGCGCCAAGTTGAGGCTGGATGTTAATATGTTGGCTGTTGCTATTACGTTTTAGTATACTGACTTAAGGCCGGTTGGTTGGCTGTCTCCCAGGTGCAATCAAAAAGGGCATCTTTGGGCGTCTCTTCGGGTTCAAGAAGAAGAAGAAGACCAAAGGGCTCCCTCCCAATATTGATAAAACCCAAAGTTGGGACACACCAAAGTTGCATGGAGCTATACCCTAAAACAGAGGACTTTCCAAGAAGGAACCCCCTGAGGAATTCTTCCCCTCCGCCCTGCTCCGCCCAACCGGGGGCTCGGCCTTTGCAAGGCAAGAAAATACACCCATTGAAGCCTTTCACGTTTGTTGCTCGGAGGAATAGAAGTAAACGCAGGACGCGGCCAGGCGGGCGTCACATCTATCACGGTCATGTGACCGTTGCATTGAAACACATTGCATTGTCATCATAAGGCCCTAGGCTTGTGCCGTATGTACGGCAATATGGCAATCCAGTGCACGTCAGATCAAAGGAGGCCGCCAACAATATGCCGCGGAAGCAGTAAGAATACGACCCGAAATGAAAAGTTACTGTTGAGTTGTGGTGTTGTGGGCAGTAGGTGACGGACGCACACTCCTATACATGTGTGTGTGTGTTTGGCCCCCCCACTGAAATGAAATGAACGGGGGAGCACGTCTTCCATTCACCTCTCTCGGTCGCCGTCGTGATGATGATGCGCCGTCAAATGACGCGCCACACACCGCCACAGTGTGACACAACCCGCACAGCCAGCCAGCCAGCCACCCAGCCAGTCAGCCACCCAGCCAGTCAGCCAGTCAGCCAGCCAGCCAGCCAGCCAGCCACCCAGCCAGTCAGCCACCCAGCCAGTCAGCCAGTCAGCCAGCCAGTCAGCCAACGCCAACGCCAACGACGGCAATAATAATAATAATAATAATGATTCAGTTCTCCAGAGCCCTCTTGCCGGCTGACACTTTCAGACAGCTTAGAGTCAAAGCCATACTGCGCTGCACTCTGCACTCCCTTCTCCACACTGCGCCATCCTCCTCCTCCTCCTCCTCCCCCTCATCATCATCAGTCCACCTGGCCCCCACCTGGCTGCTCACGCACTTGATATGATGCTGAGTCAAGAGGAAGAGGAATCCACACAGACACACACAAAAAAGCAGCGCAACGCGGTTAGCAACGCCATGAACGGCACCTCACACACCGCGGCGCACAACCCCCGGCGGCGCCCACCCATAGTAAAACGGTAGCAGTACAGCAACATACGACCAGTAGCATAGCAGCTGCTTCCTTTATTTCATCCCTAGCTACCTCCACCACCACCTCCACCCACCGCCACAGCAGCCGCAGCAGCCGCAGCAGCAGCAGCAGCAGCGTTTGTTATTCCCACCATCGTGGACCATCCAAACCCAAACTACCTATCAATACCCGCAGCAACCAACAGCACCTGCAGCACCTGCAGCAACGCCCAACTTGCACTCACTCGCCGATACACCCAAAATCATCTGTACACCGCCAGCAAGTCCAAGGCCTTAGGAAAACGCGCCTAAAAAAGGCGGCGGCTCCACCACCACCACCACCACCACCGCCACCACCACCGCCACCAGCTGACGAGAGCCCCCCGCTCCCCCCTCCGCCTCAACCGCTTCAACCGCTGCTGCTGAAACACCAGCGGATGAAGCGGTAGCTGGGCTGTTCGTTTCCATACTCCGGGGAGCGGGTAGGGAACGGGTCAAGCCGGCGGCACAAGGCGTTCACCGAATATTCCCACTCAGCCCCCCCCACATACATACATACATACACACTTGTGGGGGGCTTGTAGTCCCCTTGTAACTTGGCGCATGGCAATTGAAAGGGCCACTCGGGATGCCGTACACCGAGATCTGTCTACCCCAACATGTCGTACCATCTTGAACATGTAACAACTGCCGCCCGGGTTATTACACCTCCTCAGCAGCCCACTGCTCCCTGTCGTACACTGCCGCCGCTGCCGCCGCTGCCATTTCCCGCTGCGCCGCCAATCCCCCCGACGCACCAGCGCCAGCGCCCACTCGGCCGGGCTCCTCCACTTCAACCGGGTTGCTACCGCCAGGTCGGCCGACCAGGTCCTGGCCAGTGGCCTCGCCGCCAGTGGCGGCGGCGGCGGCGGCGCCGGCGGGGGCCAGTCCAAGCGACAGGTCCTCGCTGCCTGTGCTTCGCCGCAGCGCGGCAATGCCGCTGGCGCCGCCGCCGCCGACTAGCGAACCCACTCGTAACCCAAGAATTCCCGGCGCCGCGGCGCCGCCGCCGCCGCCAGCGACACTGCCGCCCGGGCGACCGGAGCTGGCGCCGCTAACGCTTGGCAGCAACGTTCGAGATGTGAGCACTGCCGAGGAATTGATCGCTCGTACCAGTTCGCCAGGGCTGCTCGTACTCGTCGAGGTCGACGATGGTGGCCGTCCATCCTGCAATAACTCGATTGCCGTACCTGTCGACCCATGGGCCACGCCGCCGCTGCTCGGCCTAGCCATAGGCCGATCCGTAAGGCTGGAATTGCGGACCAGACCGGCCGGTGGCGGCAAGCCGCTGCCGCTAATGGTTCCGGCGGCGCCGCCGCCGGTGGCGCCGCTACCGCTGCTGCCTGCGGCGGCGCCGACGATGCCGCTGCCGGGGGTAGTGCCATTGAGCCATGACCCTGATTCGCCTGAAAAAGCGTGAATCGGCCGCTGCTTTGCATTGAAGAGCGGGTACAGTGTCGGAATGACACTTCCCGGGTTGTGGCTGATAGATCGGCCGCTCGGGCTCCTAGGGGGGCTGACGGAGCGCTCCCTCCCGGCGCTGGACCTCCCGGCGCCGGCGCTGGCCGTCGAATGTACACGCGAATGCACGGAAGATCGCGCGTCTAAAGCAGCGGCAGCCGCCGCAGCGGCAGCAGCGGCTATGCCGCCGCCGCCGCCAGTGCCGCCATCCAGCAGGGACGACGCGGCGTACACCGACCCGCCACTGGGCTCAACGCCGCCACCACCGCCGCGGCCGCTGAAGCTGCCGCCGTCGTCCGTGAACATCGGATCGTACACAATGCCGGACCGGGCGCTGGATTTACGGGCGGTTCCTCCTCCGCTGCCTCCGCCGCCGCCAACAAACCGGCCGCTCATCGGCGGGGTCGTCGTACTCAGCGCCTGCGCGAGCCGCGACTCCAGCATGGCCTGCCTGGCGGCCGCGTGGCGAGCCTTCTGCATCGCCAGCCGCCGCTCGCTCTCCAGCTGCTCCGTCACCGACATGAGCTGCATGTCCAGCTGCATGGCTCGCGCCTCCGCCGCGCGTGCCGCCTCGCGCATCTGTCTCATGTCGTGCGCAATGTCCACGCTGCTGCCCGCGTCCTGCGGTGCCGCGATAATGCAGGGTTGCCACACACACCACCACCACCACCGCCACCACAACCACAACCATATACATGGTGATCAAGAGGGTCGACAACATATCATGTTATTACTTTTTTTTGGTGCCATCACCTACCACACTGTATCACCGTGTTTGAGGCGACGTGAGAGAAAGGTGACGGGGGGGGGGGGGTAAAAGGGAGTGTGGGTGGAAGAAAGGGCTGTCGGTTTGGGGGGAAAGGAGGGGAAGTAGTATTTTTCAACCCAGGGCGAGGTTCCCTGAGCTGGTGGCGTACGGGCGTACGGATTATACCCTTCCCCCGAAAGGAAATCTCTCTGCAGCTGCCCTCCACGATGTCCCTCGCCGCTTTACTCCGGTCCGCCTTTCTCTTTTTCCGATGTTTCCTTTCCGTTCTCTCAAGTTACATGATAACAATACACCTCATGTATGTATGTATGTATGTGTATGTATGTATGTATGTATGTATGTATGTATGTATGTATGTATGTATGTATGTATGTATGTATGTATGTATGTATGTACACAGCAAATTGCCTGTTTCATGCCGATGTGCAAACCCAGCATCACCCCCTCCCCAGAACCCCCGGGAGGCTGAGACACAGACACACGCACCCGGAGCGCAATGCCCAGCTGCAAGTTCTCCGTCTCCAGCGCCGCTGCGCGCCGCTCCGAAACCTCCAAACGCGCCTCCGCGCTCCGTAGAGAGTACTGCAGCTGCCGTACTTGCTCACGCAGGATCTACAACGAAAAAGCGGCCCGGGAGGGAAAACACGTTGTAATTGAATATTCCCACAGGCGGCGGGATGATGGGAGGGCAAAGGGAGGGGAAACATGCGGTGTGCCTCAAACCCTCCCCCCTTCATCCCCCTCCGAAAGGGGCCTCACCTCCTAGCGTCCATCACCTCCTCCCAAGGGAGGTCTCTTGATGGGGAGAACACCCCCAGTCTGCACCCCACTGTCCACTGCCCACCGCCCTCACAGAGACACGAACGCAACCGCCCTCACCCACGCGTGTATCGCCCATGTTGACCACGCCCATCCGTTCATCCGCAAACACCCCCCGCAGCAACGCCACATCGCCATTTTCCTCATCGCGGCTCAGACCCGATCAGAACCTCTTCACAGCAACACACCCCACCCCAGCTCGCACCTGGTTATCTTCAAACAGCGCCCTCAGTTTGTGGGGGAGGTCCTTCACCTCCGTACTGCGGAAGTCGATGGTGTGCAGGGGCTGAAACTCCTTGGCCTTCTGGTCTCGGAGCTCCTGCATGTAGGGGGGTGGGGTTGGGGTTGGGGCATCGATCTATCTATCTGGACATACATACATACATACATACATACATACATACATACATACATACATACATACATACATACATACATACGCACCTTTCTCAGTTCGGAGCGCTCCACGTTGAACACCCCTAGGTCGTACGTCTGAGCGTCCACCTTGTTCTCCAAACCGACCAACACTCCCTGTATGCATTTTGTGGGTGGTTTGTCAATGTCACTTCGTTGCCTCGCAAGCTTTACCCCGCGCCCATTCCTAACTTTTATGAAAAGTGCTTGACGGCCGCACATACAGCCTAGCCTCGTACACCCAAAAGGTGGCTGGAAGGGGGAAGCGACCTTTCCGTGAGAAGGGCTTCAACACATGCTCCGGCTCGAAGATACACGTTCCGGGGGCTTTGTTCGGCCGGTTGTTTGGACAATGTCGGACGGCGGCGCGGCCCGATATTGCGTGGAGTGGACACAGCGCCCTGGCCGGCTGTGCACCCGTGCCGTTCCCCCAGTGCACTCTGGGCATCTGAGCCGCGGGCAGGAACTGGCCCGAGAATGTCACACGTGCATGCCCTTTTTGTGCGTACGTATGTATGTTCGTATACTCCTTTTTGCCGTCGTTTATTTCTTCCTCCGTCAAGGACATGATCGCCTCCCGAATGGCATATGTAGTGGTGTGGTAATGCGCACTGAGTTTGTCCCGGCCCAACCGCACCTGCACTTCCCGTAGAAGCACCATGACACGCGCTCGCGCCGCGTTGCCTTTGATGCCTGTTTCCTTGTTGCACACCATGAGCTGAAGCCTGCAGCGGAGGGGAACTTTTGAAAACGTCATATCGGGCGATAGGTTGCAACGCTTTCGGGTTCGGAAGGGGGTTCAAGAGTAACAAGGACATGGTTTTTATGGAAAACGCGTTCACTTACTCCTGGATCATATCGTATCCCCGCGTCCGTTTGATGTCCTGCCCAATTTGTAGGAAGTAACGTGGAAACTCCGTCCCATCGCCAACTTTATAAGTACTGTTGGTGGCCCGCCTTTCCCGGCTAGGGCTTGCATGGCTCTGAGTAGAGCGACTTGCGAGCGCTGAGGATTGCCTGCCGTCGGTCCCAGAGCTGTGGAGGGGTCGCCCCGCATCCTCCTGGGCCATGTGTAGGTTACGGTTGCCTAAAACCTCAGGAATGAATTCATAAATATGAAAAGGTGCAAGATATCGATATGGTCAGATATAAGTCCTGATTGTGCGCGCGATGGCGGCACGCGTTGCTGACGCGCACAAGAACCCGAGTGCAAAGAGCCAGAGCAGGTTGGCCGCTTGTAGCGCAGTAGTAAATGTAAAGCAATATCTAGAGGTTAAAACCTTTGTTTCCTCTAATAATTCGTTTTGCGTGTCCTATAGGTGAGGCTACGACCCAGGGCCTAGCCTCGAAGTGTTGTATTGGGCCGTACTCATATCTGCCCTTCTCAATCTCAGCCTTGTGGTATCATACCTAGTTACATACATGCAGCTTATGACACCGCGTGATATAGGTTACTCCCTGCATGACAATGCACCAGCCTAGCCGCCTAGGTCGTTGGCCAGGCAGAACTATCTATGATACTGATGCATACAATCTATTTTCTCATACTCCCTTACAGCATGGCGCTGTGGCGTTACTGATAGCCGAAACAGCAGCTAGGGTCGACGTATGTAGATGGGTGGAGTAGACCCGAAAGCTATCAAAATCTTGCAAGGCAGCCGTTGGTCATAGGATTGATTGTTTTATCACACTGCACCATCGTAGGAATGCTGCCGCGTGGGTATTTCGGCCCGAGCGCTGCCACTTCCATGCCTTAGAGCGCTGTCTACAAGAGCTGCCATTGACAGCTGTCAATGGAGAGGGCGGCTTGCAGATTGGCTCGTTAGCGCAGCTAGGCATGTCCAGCCTGAAGGTTGCCGAGCAAACCTGACCGGAGAATAAGAGCGCGGCGACCATGAGAGGAGGAGCCCTGGGGACCTGGACAAGAAAGGAGACCGGACGAAAGGACGAAAGGAGACCGGACGCAAGGAGACCGGACGAAAGGAGACCGGACGCTATACGTTTTTCCACGGCTCTGTCGGTACCGTATACACACACAGGCACACGCACATACACACAGGCACACACAAACCAAGCACAAACAAACAAATAAACAGACAAACAAGTCACCTGAAACTCCACCGTGGTCGAGAGAGGTCGCGTCTTGGACTTGGGGACTGCTCAACCCACGGGTTGGCAGAAGACGCAGGTCAACCCCCATCGCTTTCGTCGCGCGCACAAGGCAGGATCGACGCTGGTCAGGGAAAACCATTCTGCTCGTGCTCGAGGCGAAACACGCGCAGGATAGAACAGAGAGAAACCCAGCTCGTTCCTCCTCAGCAGCCAGGCCCTCGTCAGGGAGAAGAGCAGCATTACCTCATCTTCCAGACCAAGTTTAGCCATCACCACACAAGACCTACTGCCTTCGTCAACCACAAGCTAACCACAAACAAGGCTCTGGACCCCACTGGGAGGGGCTTTGCGTTTTGCACAGATGCATACCGATGACCGACTACGACGACTACGACAGCATAGACTCCGGGGGAAGTCGCGATCGACGACCTAACACAGCACAAAAAGATCAAACCAAACCAGAAAGGTAGAATTTCCTCGCTTTTTGGTACACCCTTCCCTTCTCCATCCCTGCTTTGTTTATTACCGCCCCGGTGGGGCAGTGGTGTGCATTGCGTGTAACGGAGACTTTGCGGAAAACTTGTCCCGTAGTCGTTACCGCAACGGTTTTCCAGGTAAAGAGAGGGCGCAGGGCTCTACCTGTCTGCATACGTAGCATACACGGGTCCATCTGCATCTCAGGAGGTGTGACTGGCTGGGTGAGCTGCAGTTAGAAAGGCTAAGTAAGGGACAGTTTGGGTCAGGGGTCGGCAAACGCCGCTGGTACAGCGGGTCCTTCCGTTGTACCCGTTGCAGAAAATCATCATCGCTGGTACGGCAGCCGTACGGCAGGGTGCAGAAATTCCCCCCAAAAGGCAGGTTTGCGCAGTAATTGGGCGCAACAAGACAACTGTGGCTTTAACAGCGATGGTGTAACGTAGTAAGTTTGGTACATCGGCCCGCAGACGCTCTTTCCTCGGCTTTTACCAAAAAAAATTTCCATACAGTTATTCGACCCTGGCACCAGTACCCGTGACAGTTATTCAGGGTTTGCCGACCTCTGGTTTGGGTGCATGAAGGTGGGTGCAGCACGCCGTACATCAGATTGTCGTACGCTGCCATCGCACTTGGCTTATTCATTGGTAGAGTCAATGAAAGCGAGTACAATATGCGGTAACGTAAGGATCCATGTCGCGGTTGTTAGTCCGTGGGCATGTGCCGTCCCTCGCCCTCAGGTGGTAGGGTCTTTACCTGTTCTTCCTGCCTTTGTGCAGTCGTAGACAAGAGGCCTGCCCAATCCTAATCGCAGGCGATCTGGCCGTGTTTTAATTCTAAAAAGTAGATCATAGGGGGCACAGGTCCCAGGAGCATGCCGGTCACGAATGCAAAAAAAGCATAACGACAGAATAGGACGCAGGACGACGACGCCCCCTGCTGCACCCATGTATGCCGGTACCGGAAACCCAAATGCACAATCTTGACGTAAAGTGAGAAGCATACTCGTTTTAAGCTCCTATCCACAAAGCTAGAGAGGATTGCCGTCAGCCAACTTGTTCATCGTCAGCGGTTTTGTTTCGTACGGCTGTTTGGTAGCGTATCGCTTCCTGTAAATTGACAAGGCCTTCGCAATTTAACTCAATATCATTCTTTGTTTATGTAAGTTAATTAAAAACCCATTTTATGCATTAAGCAATCCGTTGTTAGTCCAGGCCAGCTTATTGTGTATGATGGCGAACCTGGAGACTTGCCTCATTTGCATAGACATGCAAAACGACTTCTGTCTTCCAACTTCTCCGCTGTGCGTTGCCGGAGCTATGGGCTGCCTTCCCAAAGTGAAGCAGGCGATTGATGTCGCTCGTGCTAAGCAGATGCACGTGGTCTGGGTTATTCGTGAACACGACCCTTCAGGTAAGCGTCGTCTACGTGATTGCTCGCATACCAATCTCAACAACGGAAGCCAGGTTGGGTCAAGTGCTACCCCTCGGGTGGCGCCACGGCCATGCTATGCCCCGGAGAGGCTCCGGCCGGAGCCGCTGCGCCGCGGCGCAGCGAGTAAGATCAGGGCTTTCGTCCGTCAACCAAATCGGTCACCAAACCGGCGAAGCTCACTTCGGGTTGAGCATCCCAGCGGCATGCACATTAACGCCAGCACGCCAACGACTCCAACTGTACCTGCTTGCCTAGCCACCACCAACACTACCCTTGAGCACGCCTCCACAACACTACACATTCATAGCACAATCCTCAACGAAACGCCTCAGTCGCAAAGTTTGGTTGATCTCCACTTCTACGGTTTATGCGCCTTAACATGTTAAAACGTGTCTTTGGGAAAACAAGTCACCACTCACACCGGAGCCGCCGTTGTGGCTCATCACGCACGCAAAACCTTCCCACTGCCAACCGCGCAACGCTGCTCCTACGCTCTCACCCCTTGTTTCCTTCTCACCAACCTCCCAAAAGGCGTCGATGTCGAGTTTACCCGCGCGCATCTGTTCAAGGATGGCGCCGGGAGCACGGTCCCGGGCACGAAGGGTAAGTCGGTAAGCCTTACCGCACGCCAATGCTTACCGATCTGCTGCTCCAGGTATCCCCGCACCTAGGGGCACATGCTACCCTGTAGTTCTCCATGCTAATTTCGATGGCCGTCTGTAATGGTTTCTAGGGATCTCTACCGGCTCTTAAATGGGTCAAAAGGATGTAAGCGACCTAAGACGTAGAGCGGTTGCCCACCAGGGGCGTGGGAAATCGCAGTATTCGCGGGGAATCCCCTCTCCGACTCGATTCCCCACTGGGCCCGGCACGCTGAACAACCTTTGCCATCCTCCTGGCTACAACTATAAACGCGTTCTCCTGTGGCTTCACGGGTTCAGAGCTCCAAATTGTTACAATCCTGCTACTCCAACAGCAAGCCTGCCTGACCTGTCCGCGCGAAGTTGAGGCGAGAATTTCAGGCGCTAACAACGCCTAGATGGACGACTGATGGTGTGATCACGAGTAGTAGGAGGCGAAGGGTAAAAGTGCCCTTGGCGCGTGCGGTGATGTTTTTTTGCGGTCATCAGATGGAGATAGGACAGCCATGCAACTCAAAAGCAGCTTACCTGCGAATTGGATGGTTGGTTGCTTGTTGCGTTCCGTCAACGTACAGCAACAAACAGAAATAACCACCTGGTTGGCGACTTTGGCCATCGCTTGATGCCTTCCCTCCGTGCGCCGGCGGCATAAACCACCTGCCACTTACCTCTAAACAGACATGCCTATACGTTTTAGTACTGGGTTAGACGTCATGTTTATGTGTTGATTGATTCCCGGCTGGCGACGCCTTACCAAACCTTCAGGCGCCGAGCTTGTGGAGGGTTTAGAGGTGCGCGCTGGGGAGTTGGTGATCGTGAAGAAGCGGTTCAGCGCCTTCCTACACACCCATCTGGACTTGGTGCTCCGGTGAGACTACTACTTCCCAAGCACAACGAAATTATATGCTGGATGCGGTATTACTGAAGTATATCGGCGCGTCTTCAGCTCGCGCTCTCGAGGTCTCTTGTGTTTTACGTACCGAACCGTTATATATAGTAACAGACCTGCTGGGCCGCGCCGGAGGGAGCTACGTTTTGATTGGCTAATGGATTCCCGGGTGTATGTGGATGGATGTCTAATTTTGCTCATCCGCACGTGCCGTGACTTGTTTTTGCCCATCCGCACGTGCCGCCGTGCACTCGCGCCGCGCTGACGGAGGAATCGCGCGTGTGCTGGAACTCTTACACTGCAATAGTGTTTGTTTATCAGGGCGAAAGTAGTAGGCGCGCGTGCATGCATCACATCACAGTAGTGCGCACATCTTGGACTTCCGTCCTCCTTCCTCGCTCGGCCACATAATCCTTGCTGGCCACCTCTTCCAGGCGACTCAAGGTGCAGCGTGTGGTGCTATGCGGCGTGCAGACTCCAAACTGCATCCGTGCCACCGCGGTAGACTCGCTGGGACACGACTACGAGACGCTGGTGCTTAGCGATGCTACCGCTTCCAAGAGCGAGGCAGTGCAAGATGCCAACTTGGAGGACATGCGCTGCATGGGCATTGCTACACCGACGGTGGCAGCCTGGGCCGCAGCGCTGTGAGCCTGACGTTGTATATGTGTTTGACTGCTTGAGCTATTGTGTTGCTGCTATACTTGTTGACTGTCGTTTTTGCGCACATATGGGGATGGGGACTTGTGATTGGGATACAGGAGAGTGCTAATATTGCCTGAGCATGAGATGAGTACTGCCGCATACGCGAACATGGCTTATTCTTGGACCGGCCTCTTAACTTTGTGGTTGAGGCTGCAGGTACTACCTAATTCCGATAGGCAAAGTAATAGGACCTTTCGCTTGCTGGGTCGGCCGAGATGAGCCGACAGGCATAGCCAAATGCAAGGAACAAATGCACATGTCCTGGGCGCTGTCCTGGGCTATGTCCTGGGCACTGTTGGATGTCGTTCGGCGCGTGCTTGTTTTGTTTGACTTTTAGGACAGGAGTTGCTGTAGTGCAAGCGTCCGAAGCATCAAGGAGCGGTAACGACGAATGAACTTCCAACGGCAGACGCGTGATACTCGTACCTCGTTTTGACGCAGTACGATGGCAGACATGTATATATTTTTAACAATTTTCCCAGATATTTCTATCAAAATTCGTGAGGTCCAGAGTGCTTAGACTTGACATAGCCAGGCCAGTTGGACGAGCACGCCACCTTTAGGAAGACGACGTGTTGAGCACTTCAGCAAAATACTACCTCAAATTTTCGTAGTTGTGATAAGCGTGTGTAGGCGGTATAATCGTTCGCTATGGCTCCTACTTCGTCTGTCGACGCCGCTTTTGGAGCTATGCTTGGCGCATTCGTTGGAGATGCAACCGGCGCGGTTTTAGAGTTTAACGAAAAACATATATGTCCCGAGACGGTAAGAACAAGCTTGGAGATCGCGCTTCAGGCGCTGCTCGTCGAGCCGGATGACAGTTGAAAAGAATGTGGCGGCCTTATCATCCCCGAAATGCCAGGTCGAGCGTGCTCTAACCATGCCAGGCGGTGGTGTTTGGGGCGTCGGGCCAGGCCAGGTAAGAAATTACCCCTGACTTACGGTGGCCAGCGTACCGGAATGGCCGTTGGCAAAGGAAGTTTTGCGTTATGAAGCACAACTGTGTGGCGCGACGCGCCAATTCCATGGTCTCATGAAAAAAACGCACTGGTATTTTCCTTGTCAGCTGTGTCATGCGCTGGCCGGGTCTACGGTGCCATGTCCCCCCACCCAAGACGGCAGGAGTTAGGGCCTAAGCCTGCCAAGGGGCTCAGATGAGATCTAGGAAGAGGTAGGGGCAACGCGATGCAAGGAAATGGCAGCTTAGCAGGCACCAGCACTAACATGTGATATGGATGTACCACAGCACACCGGGGCGGGGAGTGGAAACAAAGTCGTGCTCCTGCTTGCCTTCCCATCAGCCTCAGCATCATAAACAACAGAAAACCGGATATCATCGTCAGATTTACCTAAAGAAATGGTTTCCCTGGCTACTCCACGCCAGATTACTGACGATAGCGAGCTTGCAATGGCGCTGGCTATGGGCTTGTCACAACACGAACCCAGTGCGGGCTATCCCGCGGAGGCCGTGGCGAAACAGTACGGCGCTTGGCTGGCTAGCCACCCCTTTGACGTGGGTGAGTCGGCGAGTATAGTAATAGCACGCCTTCCGGGATCAGGGATCCACATCACACATAGCATAACACAGCACACAATACACAACACAACGCACCACACCACAACACATCACATCACATCACACCTCATCGCCACACAACACAGCACGCTAACGTACCCGTCCTGTCCTGCTCGTGTACAACCCCGCACCTACAACAGGCAATACCTGCTGCACGGCGTTCTCCGCAGCGACCCACCACGATGACAAGGCGGGTCCCCTGGCGTCCGTAATGCGTAAACAGGCGCAGGTGGGAGATGACCTGTATGCGCTGTGATGTGGTGTATTGGTGCTGCCGTTGCCACTGCTGCCGTCACCGCCTGGGACTCCCAACCCCATACTGAATACCCATCGAGCAAGGCCAATGCGGGTACTACTCCGCACCTAATTTTCCACATGCGTCGCAATGCGGCGTTTCTAAAACCCACATCACCCACTTCACTCTTCGTCGCCGACAGCCATGGCCTTATCGGGGTTGATATGCCGGTCTCTCAGCTCTCTTTCGCTTCACAAGGCGTTGACGCCCTTCTGCACCCCCTCCTCCGCTCCGGCGGACAACCGCAAGGCAGGCATTCGCACGTGCGATCAATCCACGTCTGAGTAACACACACACACACACACACACACACACACACACACACACACACACACACAAACACCCTCGCTTCCCGCCTAAACCCCTCGTCAATCTGCTGATGCTGAAACGACACACTAGGCTTTCCATTGTTGCACCTGTCTGTTAAGATATGATTTCCCAATGTGGATTGGACCCCTAACGCCGTCACGCAGTTTAGCCGTGACTCCAAGTCCAACGGAGCTCTCATGCGCATTACACCGCTGGCGGTATGGGGTTGTCGACTAAGTGACGATGCACTCGCAGCGGCTGCCATGGAGGACGCTAAGCTGTCGCACCCCAATGATGTCACGCTCCACGCCAATGCCATTTACTGCGTTGCGATCAAGCATTTGATCGCTCACCCGGGAGACGCGGAGGGCGCCTTGGAAGTGGCGGCCAAGTGGGCGCGTGCGTGTGCGTGTGCGGAGGTGGCCGGGTGGCTCCGGGAGGCGATGGGTAGTGCTGCTGGGCCGGCAGCGAACCGGTTGATTGGGTTTGTGCGGTACGGCTTCTTCTACGCCTTCCGACATCTCAAGTGAGCACACAGGAGGTCTCCGCAGGGGGTTATGCATTGCGGTGTGTGTGATCTGCGGAAGATGGCTTGAATGGTGATTGAATGCTTGAAAGGTGAACGTTAGCACACCGCGGCGCCCCAAAGGGCATATATGAGCACCGCGCTGTGGCCCTGCAACCCGTTCCCGCTCTCCCTACCGCAATGTATCGCGATTGTTTCATCATTGATAGCAGATGTCCCTGCTTTCCTCCCACGCCTGATTGCGCGCAGGCTGCGGACCCCGTACCTGGATGCAATTCGGGAGGTGCTGTTGCTCAAGGGTGACACCGACACCAACGCGGCTATTGTGGGCGGCTTGGTAGGTGCGCTCCATGGCGCTTCCGGCATTCCGGCGCACATGGCGGCGGCCTTACTGAGTCGACTGGGCCAGGCGGACTCGAAGGGTCCCAAGCGACCCGACTGGTTACAGCCAGGGCGGATGCCGAGCCTATTTGCGGAGCTGTACAGCAAGGCCACCGGCGATACGGTGGACCCGAGTGCATTGCCGGGTGTGATGGCGGCGTCGGCGGCGGGCGCGGCCGCCCGTGCGCCGTGCTAAGCGAGTGCTACAACATGTATGGTTGTGGGACCTTACTCGGGTTCGATTTCGACATTTTTTGGACGTTTGGCGTCCGGAATGAGGATGTTCACGACCCGTCTCGATCGTAATAATGTTGTGAGATGGCGGCCCGATTGATCACGGATTTTGGTAATTACGTTGTTATACGTAGCAGTAACGTGTCGGCGCGCGGGGATTGACGATAAGAAAAAGTGATGAAAGGGATTTTTTTGTGCGGGTAAAGCATATATACATACGTACTAAACATTTGTGGACGTGAGCAAAAAAAGAAGCATGTGCCACGAAAAATAATAACACGAGTCCTGTTCATTCTTCTACAGTTAACGTAGTACGCCCATTCATATACCATGCTGCATGTGTTTATTATCCTTGTGAAAGGTGAAGGGGGTATGTGGAGTGAGGCGTAGGCGCCCGTTAAAAACCGACCAGGACCACGTCTGTGGGTCCTTCGCTGCCATACTAGTTACTGTTGAGGAAACAGAGAAGAGGATGCAATCTTTCTTTAGGGTTTAGGATTTTTAGGGTTTTAGGATGCTGAGGATCCCTGCGCCAGATTTGTTTTAGTTATGCAGGAATATGGTTGGGAGCGAGGGCCTAGTGCCATTGTGGTAGTACTCGGACGCCGGGATAGGGACTCCTCTCCCAGTTACATGATACAGCCCTGGTAGTCTGTCGGGTCTGTCCCGTCTCGCCGTGCAGAAGGGGGAGGGATGCTACTCGTTAGTAGCATCGTCGCTTCCCTCCCCCGACAAAGGTTGCCATACCGTCCTCTTTACCTAATGTAACGATCATGCAGGCATCGCCTTAGATGTTGTTAAAGCCTCGAACAAGCATATCTTCAACAAGGACTCAAGGCAGGTTGAGTACCACCCCCAGCTCCTTCACTGCCCTTTTCCGTGCCTCTACTACCTCATTTATTGCCCGCAGGTTGCCTTTTAACTTAGGGTTGTAAGATAAAAATCCAAAGTTTTTTTGAAACACCGCATCATGGCATTGGCTGCAGTTGGCAGCTGTTTTCTTTCATAGAATAGACCCAAGAACAACGATTTTATAAGCATGCAATGGCAGCAGGTCGTGACTTCACTCCATCCTTCACTTCACCGCCTCTGGCCCATTCCCACGCACATCCTTTTTACTATGCTTGCCAACCTCATAAACCCAGTTTACAGCGTTGCGGTGCGGAGCCAAGCTGCCTGTCTGCCGACCTCTTCGTTGACGCCGTACCCAACGCTGCAACAGCAATAATGGCATATACCGCATGGAGAAGCCACCACAAGCCGGCCGACCCCATCCCAGACAAGCCCCCATTTTCCAATCCCCCAACCACGCCGGCCAATGCCCACTCCATGCTTCTTTCCAGATACATACTGCGAGCTGCATACATACGTCTTTAGACTCACGACGTCATCGCTTCTCTCTCGCCCTCTGCATTCCTAACGTGCGCTCCCGCGCTTGCTTTGTGCGTGCACTTGTGCGTATGTATATGTGTGAGTTTGTCACGCCGCATATCACTGATATTGTATAAGCCCCTGCAAAACGCGCAAAACCTGCGCATACGCCGCCCGCCGGGTCATCCATGCTCGGGGCACCCCTCCGTGCCGCCCACCCTCCCACCTGCCAACCAATCCTGCTTTCAGCAACCCCGCCCCTTCTGCCTCGTCGTTAGCTCCATGTTCTTCCCAACCGCAACCGGGCTGGGGCCCGCCGCATATTCTTGCCTATCCCTACGCCCTGCCTCACGCCACGCGGTGCACAGCAATGGCGCTGTCCAGCGGCGTGAACTTGAAAACCGCGAGATCCTTGTCGAGGTAGAGCACCGGGAACACCGCCAACTGCGGGAAGAAGGCCGCCCGCCTGCTCGAAAGCCAAACCAAGCCAAGCCGGACGGAGGGAAACGGAGAGCAAGGGCTACGGTGAACACACCATAATCTATATCCACGAGAGGGGTAAAGGTAAAAGCTGGAGCCGCACGCGCAGGGAATCGTGGTGCGCAGGATAAAGTATCGGCGCACCGGCACATTTGCGTTTCATGGCTTTGTATTGCAGCAAGTCTACCTACCAAAATTACGTGTAACCACATCATCTAATCCTAATCCTAATTATCATACTAAATCCAATTCCGCTCCTGCGCACCACTTACGCGCAAGAAGCCTATGCGCTGCCCTTCTGTCTCTTTCCCACTCGGTACTAACCCTCCGGATTGTACTTCCTTGCCGGCACAAATAGGCAACTAGTGTGTCTGTGAGTAACCTGGGGGGGCTCTGGGGGCCAAAGGAAAAAGCCAGAGGAAAACCAGAACCCAGACAACACCTCACCCCACAAACGCGATCATCCAGGAGGGCCTGGGGGACTCTCACCCCCAGGAGACTCACATAGTAGACACCTAGTAGAACATGATCTTCACAGGAACACGATCGGGCCGACAGGATATATCTACTCCACTATCACCCCATGACTCCATTCCCCCCCTCGAGACCCGGCCCCCGATCAGGTACCCACCCCAGGGCGCCGATGATTCCATCCGCCGTCAGCAGCGACGAGGAGGCATCTGCGCGAAGAAGGGATCCGGAGCTCAAAACCTTCGAAAATCCAGTTTTGGACGTGCAGTTTAGGGAGAATGAACAAATGTTCCGAATAAGGTGGGGCCTGACGGCACAACAGATTCGCACCTGGCGGCAGGTCCGCGCGCAGGCCGTCCGCGCCCACATCCACCCAGAACCTGTCAAACGTGACCTCCACCGCGTCGTCGTACTTGCGGTCCATGGTGCCTGTGCATCCGCCGGAGATAAAAGGTGGGGAGGCCTGAAGTCAGACTGGCGTGGCTCACGGGAGGCCCTTCCCCGCCCTGGCAACGAACAACTCCGCGAGCAAACCTCACCAAGCAGATTTAAACAGATTGCCAAGGTGAGATCATACACTGTAACAAACGCGCTTCGGCATGCAGCGTGCATGCTCGCCCTACCTAGCTAAGCGTGTGGGGCGGACCAAAATGGGGGGCTAATGCAACTCCAAGATATTTATATGCATGCGTTGTGCTCACCGCCGGCGCTCAGCCAACCCTCGCCCAACAGCGGGTTGCTGTATTTAACGTTGGACACCAGTGCGTTTCCGAACAGGCGGTACTGAATGGGCTGGAACTTAGTGCCCAGCACGGAAGACATTTGGGCGATGTGCGGCGCGTAGAACACCTGAAGGCAGCAGCGCGTTGGATCCGGATGAACGGATGGGTAGACGAGTGGATGACTGAGTAGGCATGTGAGTGAATGAGCGAGGAGCAGGCTGTTTTATGGCTGGCAAGCCAGTCCGCGGGGAGGGAGGCGGGGGGCCCGGGAGGACGGGCGGGAGGGGGTGACAGGGAGGGGACACGGCAGGAGAGAGGATGCCATCCGGCGCCGGAGGTTGCAGTGTAGGAAAGCCATTCTAAGCACGGAAATCAGGCGTGGGGGGAGGCGTGTAAGTGCAAGAAGCAAAATGAGAGAGGTCAGCAAGAGGTGTTACGCCGCCGAGGGAGAGATGGACCGCGGCCCCCTAGGGAGAACTCTGGCCCCCTGTCTGTTTGATCTGGGTGATGGCTATGCTGTTCAGCACCGTATTATGCACACCTGCCAGGTGCCTTGGCCCAAACTAAGGGACTGGCTTCCAGGTTGCGGAGTGGGGTTTTCTGCGATGAGTTGTGCCACAGCAGGCCCGAAAAGCTCGCCATCGTACGTACTGAGGCCCTCCCCAAGCAGCTGGAGAACCTGTGGCCAGTTCGTTAGGTTTTGAGTTGTTGGTGCAGACCAATTAGGTCACATGGGACACGTTTGTCGGCATTTGGGCGTAGGCATTCCGGGGAACCTGCGCGTGGGGACCGTTTACCTTCGTTCTGCCTGCTACAGGGACAGTTGAGCTTAAGCCGCCGGCAGCTCCGTAATCCTGATACGATTTCGTGTGGATTTGCATCACTCGTGCAGGCCGTGCCTTAACGGGAACGAGGCGCCCCGAAGCATATCTGGGGTTTCTCCAAGACAATTCCTTTGATGCTGTTTGGAAGCGGGCGTTCATTTTAGGTTGTGCTTAGTTTTAGACAATGATGAGAGCAAGCCACGTATGCTTGATTCGCGGTCAGAAGAGTTACGGGTCCACTGAAGGATCTATGTTATGTAGAAACGTTTACGTACTAATTCAGCGCGCACAGGCATCATGTGGCGACGGCTGTGCTAAGCTCGGAGTATCGGTAACCGTATGGATTTCAGCTGCCGTGCAAGTTGACAGCTCCGTCAACTTGTCCTGTCCCGGGACCCGGGTGCTGCCACCAAGCGCTGTTACGAACTTCGTATGAAGGATGATGAATACCTCTTTCCGCATGGGGTTAGGTAACAGCTTATCATAATCCTGGTCGCCCTGGTGGGAATGTTGCAAGGGTGCAGGCTGACAGTACGTATAAGGAGACCGCTATGGAGGAAACTCAGCGTATCTTAGGAGGCTGCTCTGTCTTATCGTGGCAACGAGTCGATGGCGACGGTCTGTCGCTGCGAGGCATTAGCGCAAAAGTAAAGGAGCTCGGCGGCAAAGTCGCCACAAGGCTCACCAAAGGCGTGACGCACATCATATTCCAGCGTGCACTTGGAGCATCCCCAAAGCAAGTGTTAGCCGAGGATGAGGAACTACGCTTTATTTATCGCAAGGTGTGTCATATTGCAAGCAAACTCGTTCAGATCAAACAACTCCTGAATCGCCAACATTCTATGAATCCCAGGTTCAGGAGTCACAAGGTCGACTCTTTGTGGTGTCGCCTCTATGGCTGCGGTCTTGTGAGACTGCGCGGGAACGGGCCAAGGTGAGTACCACGCGGTACTCAGCACAACTCCCTGTTCGGGAGGGAGGAACAGGGCCTTTCCTAATGGGAACACGCAGATGCACGCATTCCCAGGGGCTACAGCCACACGAAATGTTGCTATCATCCGCAAAGGTGTGTCCGCAATAAGTCAGACCCCCGGTCAACCTGCGCATCTCTGACCACCTGCAGGAGGCGAAATTCATTGTTCCGCGGCCCACAAAGAAGATTTTCCTGGACAAGTTTGGGCCAGGTACGCTGCCGGGTCAGTGCAGTGTGCGTAGAGGGGATTAAGACGCAGTTGTACCTCCACGGTGATGCGGTAAGATAGCCTCGTTAAGATTTGAGTCCGCACCGTGTGTCCACACATTACCCTTAATGACTATGTTTCCCCCACCCGATGTGGCCTGGCTATTGCCTGTGCAGGCGGGAGAAAGCGGTTCCGGAAAGCCTTCATCGCACGGCCGCGTGAGCATCTGGACTTGCGGGACATCAACGACCCGCTGTTCAGCAGCAGCCAGCAGATCCGTGAACTCGACGCACGCATCGGCGGGAACAGCGACCAAGAGGGCGTCGAGGGGGCGGTCGACGCGCCGCCGCGGGTGCTTGCGGACATTGAGGAAGGCGGCGAAGGTATGAGGGGATGGGTGGGTGATTGATGTGGCGTCGGCCACATATCCTAGTCTGGGCTGATGTGCGGTGTTTCCTGTTCTCCGTGGCTTTTAGGCGTATAAATATTTCCCTTGGGCCTTCGGCTCGTATGGATAGTTTTACAGGTATGGGGTCACGCATCCCCAGCCATGTAACACACACACACACACATATCCTAAGCGGATACGGGGAGAAGGAGGCAGCTTCTGCCAACAACTTCTTCCTCCCTTCACACTTGCCGCTGTTATTGATGCTGTACATGCGTAATACAGCCGCGCATGCGGATCGCGAGCAGACATGCCATATGCAGGTTCCCTGCAGCACGTCCTCGTCGTGGCCCTGTTCGTTAAAGCTCTGTGTGGATTTGCGTGTTCCGCGGCTGGTGAACGACCGCTTGTTTTGCTCACCCACAGGGCCCACAGGGGAAAAGCAACAGCAGCCATCCAATGAGCAAAATGCGGACCCGCCTTCTCTTGCGCACGTACGTAAGGTCGAATTATCTGATTCACGCGGTCGAGCAGCGCAGCCACAACCGGGCAACATCAAGCGGGGCATGCGTCAGCTGGAGCTAAGCTTGTTCGTCCGTCCTAAGAAGCCGAAGCAGTCGCCCGCACGGCCTGACCTGTCTTCCGGAGGTGCGGCAGCAGCAGCACTGCAGCCGCCGCAGCAGCACCAGCAGCAGCAGTCCATGGCGGAAGTTGAGCCCCGGGAGCCACGAGCCGAGGACAAAAGCTCTACAGCTGAGCCAGCAAAGGTGGCAGCTGCAGCGCCCGCACTCAGTTCACTCCTGCTGAAGGACGCGCCTGCAAACCCGAACCCGAAGAGCCTCAAACCTGTTCCCATGCCACTCCCTTTATCCGCACCAGCAAAACAGCAGCAGCAATCCGCGAGGGGGTCTTGTGCAGTAGCGGCCCACGGCGGCGCTGAACACAAGCGTCCTACACATGTCCCGCAGTCAGAAACGCTTCGTAGGAACAGCACTGCAGGCGCGGCACCCGCTCCGCTGGCTGCTGCAGCTGATAGCAAGGTAGATAGCGCCTCCAAAGCTGCAGTGCAGCTAGAGAATCCTCGTCGCACCTCCACGCCTCCGCTTCCGGCAGCTAGTAAGCAGCAGCGGGCGGGAGCTGCAATGCAACCGCGAACAAACACGCCGCAAAACACCGCGCCTGTTTTGGGTCCGGCGCCACCAGCCGCTAGCGCCGTGCCAACAACTGCTGCCGCACAGACGGCGCTGCCTGTATCCGCTCCTCGCCGGAGTTTGCGGTCACTTTCAGGCACACCTGTGGCTGGGTTTGTTGTGAAGAGCATCGGCCGCCTGACACCCATGGCGATGACACCCAAGAATCTCACTCCAGGCAGCCTTGTCATGCCCAAACTCAAGTCACGAGGGTGCTTGGCCGCGGGTGCTGTCGTTGCTGCTGTTCCGGAAGGGCCCACGGACAAATCCCCTGCGGCGCCACAAGCTGACGAGCCAGCGCCGGAAGTGGATGGGAAGGCGGCGGGGAGCTGTACGGCGGTGGCTCTGGAGGTAGCAACGGTGCCGGCGGGTGGTGCGTTGGGAAGCTGTGATCCGGGCCCTTCAATGATGGACGTCTGCCAGGGCATTGTCCCCGAGAGCAGGCAAGGACAGAAGCCAGCCGATGTACTTGGACAGGCGGCTACTGCGGTTACAGCATCAGCACGCCGAAGCGCTAGACTCTGCAGGGCGCCACCGCCGACACCGCTGCCGCTGCAAACCATGCAGATGCGTATTCAGGAAGCCCCCAACGGCTCCAGGGTTGCCGCTGCTGCAGGAGGAGCAGTACCAGAAAGCCCAGTCTTGGGCTTCGGCTTTGCTGAGGCAGAAGCGGAAGGGGCCACGGACTGGGCCTGTGATCCTGGACGTGGCGTGGAAGTGGACGAATCAGCGAGTGGGCAGCAAGGGGAGCCGCAAGGGGCTGCCGATACGCACCAGCGGCGCTTGCGATCCAGGAACCATGCTGCCCCTGTGAAGCCACTGCCTTTGTCGCCTGTGGTCCACGGCAACATGCCTGCAGGGCCGCCAGGCGGCCAGGAGTCCACAATCGCACCGTTGCCGGTGCCAGCGTTAGCAGCCGCAGCAGGGCATGGAACTGCGTGCAAAGCGGGTACAACCACTGTAGGTGTCGTCACCGCCGTTGCAGACGAGTCGGCCAAGGGTTGGCTGTGTGGCGCGGGCCGGACGCCAGTGTCCACCCTTCGCCGCTCCACACGGCTCAGAGGCAGGTCACCACTTGCCTCCACGGCTCTCGACCGCAGCTGCGAACATGAACCTGAGGCGGTGCTGGCGGAAAATTTTGCAGCTCGGCCATTGGGTTGTCCTGAGCAACAGCAGGCACAGCGGGAGCCACAGGAGCAGGAGCAGCAAAGGCCTGGCGGTGCCTGGGCTGGCTTCCTGGTGGCGATGCAGGAGCTCCAGGGTGAGGCTTCACCTCTGCCAGTTCGAAGAATGCTGTCCATGGAGGGGGCTGGTCTGCACCAGGGTGGAGCCTCAGCGGCAGCGGCGGCTCCAGCAGACTGTACACCGATAACGAACTGTAAGTCACGCCGGTGCAAGAAGATCCCTGATGGAGAGGAAATGGAAGTGCAGCCACCGCCACGGCCGCCGCTGCCGCGCCCGCCGCGCCCACCGCCACCGCAGCAACAGCAGGGTGTAGTGGCTCCCTTGCAGCAGCTGCTGCAGCCGCCGCCGCCGCAGGATGCGGCGGCTCCCTTGTCTTTACTGAAGCCCGCCCGCCGGCTGGGTGATGAGTCAAGGCATGGGGTGCATATTAATCTGGTGCGGATTCATGCATTGTCTTGTTGTGTTTGTGTATTGCTTTGCGTTGGGCCGCACATGATGCGAGAAAGGGAACACATGGAACAATCCTGTCATGGATAGTGATTGCCTTGCCACGCTCTAATTCGAAACCGTCGCTGTGTCATCGATGCCCAGGACTATCATTCTCATGCACTCATTCATAATTCACGGAGAAGCATCTTGCCGTTTTGTGTTCGCACCTTCACACATAACGCATGACAGGCGTTAGACGCGCAGAGTAACGAAAACCCTCCGTCGGCGACGCAATGCCGCTATGCCCTGCTTGGAACAGACGCTCACGGCAGCTCCTTCCCCGGCGCTGTGCACCCGGTCGCGGGCACGTGGTAGCACGGGGACCCCTGCAGCGGCGCCGGCCAATAAGGGGCACCAGGGACCCGATGTGCAGCCCGCGGCGGATCCACTGCAGCACCGACTAAGTGACACGTTGCCTGCCGGCAGGGAAGAGCGCCAGGATAACAGCGCGAGCGAGCCCCCAGCTCCACCTCAGCAGCCGCCTCCGGCTGCTGACGGCGGCAAGCCCAGCCGCAGCAGTCAGTCGGCCGGTACATCGGGGCCGTTGCTGGCCGCGGCGGCAGCAGCATCACCGAGTGGTGTCCAAGAGCGTTCGGGCAGTGTTACAAGGTGTGTGCACACGCAATAGGATTTATGGGGTGGGGTGGGATGGACGGGATGCTGGATAGGGTGGATGGGTTGCCCGTGGACTGGACTGCCGTTCTGTGCATGTGCGTCTGGTCTTTTGTTCGGGTAGGCTGACAGCGGTTTATAAATGGGTTTTACACGATTGCGCTGTTGTGAGCAGTGCACGATGCCTTCACGTGGTAATATCCCTGCGGGACAGGGAGAGGAAAGTACAGCAGTCAATAGCGCACACTTAGGCTGCTTCATAAGGGTTCCCCAACCCTTGAAGGACTACTTTTCCTGGCATGCAAGGCTTATCCTTGTGCGCATACGTGCTCTAGGATTGAGTTGCCGTTGCTCGTATGACCCTAAACGGGTGTTGTGGCCCGTTTCCCTGAAGGTCCCGACGCCGTGCACTAGAGCCGGGAGCGGCAGGCGCCGTGAACGCGCCGCCGCCGCCACACAGCACGGCTGCACGGTGTGGGCGCGGGGGATTCACCCACGCTGCGGCTCTCTTGGAAGCGGCCGCAGCGCAGCCAGGTGCCGATACCACGCAGGGTGCTTGCACGGCGGCAGGCGGTGACGCACAGCCCAAAGGTCCGTGTCCTCGGTTTCCAACCGGAGCCACTGGAGAGGGCCCCACGGCCGCGACCCATCCACCGCTGCCGCCGCGCCCCATGCCGGTAGCCCGGGGCGGCTCCAGCAGCGCCGTGGGCTCAAATAGTGTGGCGCCGCCTTGCCCTAAGCCTGCCACACTAATGACGGACCCTGCAGTCGACTCTGAGGTGGAGCGTGCTGAAGCCGCCACCGCAGGTCAGGGACCCGGGGGACCGCAGCCAGGGGCAGAGGCAGCGCCGAAAGGCGCTGCTGTCGCGACTATGGGAAGCCGGAACCCTCCTCACCGGCCCAGGACCAGCGCAAAGCAGAAGCGTCTGCGGGACTCGTCGGCTGCCCCGGGGAAGAGCTCCAAAGACAGTTACACCGCATCCACAGCTGGAGGTGGAGGTGGATCTGCGGACCTCGGCCTCCAAGGGATCGATGCCCCGCGCATCGGCGCCCCGTCGGCAGCAGCGGACAGTGGTAACGGTGTTGTTGTAGGGACCGGTGGGAGGTTGGCGGGTGGGGCGGACGGGGCTGCAGGCGCAGCTGCGGCAGCCAAGGCCACAGCGACGGCGTCGGCACTGACGACGTCACGCCCAGCGATGGGACCTGTGTCGCGCAGCAGGTTGCGACTACGGAAGCAGGCAGCTGCAGCGGTGTCTGCAGCAGACCCGACGGCGAGTGCTGGTTGCGGCGAGCGGGAAGACATTGATATGGCCGCGGCATCCGGTGCTGCAGGCCCCGAACAGTGTTTGTCACCCCAGCGCTCCCCCAAACGACTAAGGAAGATGCCAGACACTGCGGCAGCGGCAGCGGCTCCAGGAGTATCTGCTGACTCAGCTGGTGCGCCAGGAGCTGAGGGCGGCACGGCCACTGTTCCGCCACCGCGTTCACCACCCAGCGAGTCCAAGGCAAAAGCCAAGGTGCCGCCGCAGGGGTCAAGCCAGCCACCGCCGCCGCCGCCGCTGCTGCCCGCCTCCGAAGCGGAGCCTGGATCACGACAGCAGCTCCCAGCAAAAGTAGCAGCCAAGGCTGGCATTTCTAGCGGTGCAGTGAATGCAAGGAAGATTGTCCAACGGAGGCAAGCTTCTGGCGGCTCTGCTGCAATGCAGAGGCCGCTTGACATCCCATTAGGTGTCTTTCGGTCGGTAGTTTTGGTGGGGTCACAAAGCAAGGCAGGAGCCGGGGTAACCAGGCCGGCATCCGTCTGTTTGGGTGCAGGCCCAGGCGTTCACAAGCCCGGTCAGGCCAGCCTTGCGGGGCCGCCAGGTGTTCCGGAGCTAGCGCCTGCAGGGAGCAGTGCAGGGCCCGGCACTGCGGCGCTGGCGCCTCCCTTGGGCCAGTATCCGCGCGGCAAGGAGCATCCCATGCGTGCAGGGTTCCGATACCTCGCATGCACGCAAGTCGGGGAAGAAGTAAAGGCGGCCATGGAGCAAGCGATTAAGAAGCTTGATGGCGCACGGTAGGCACGCATGTGTTGCCAGGGTTCGTTGCCACTGATAACCGCTCACGCCACTGGTGCTGTGCCATACCTCCCAGGGAATGTCAGGCACATTTCGCAGGGCTTGGGTTAGGATGTGCAGGATGACTGTTTGCCTTTCGCCGTGGCGGCTTCTTCTAGCCATTCCCTAACGAATGCGTGAACGGTATTTTCCACAACAGTGCAACAGCCCGTACCTGTCCTTCTGCCCATGCTTTGCTGCACTAGCCACAACTCTCCTTCCTGGCATGCATATGCACACGCATATACACTACCTCCAAACACGGCATCGTGTGAACTCTTTTCGCGACCCCAGGCTTTGCACTCCTGGCTACGAGGACGGCCACATCACCCATCTTGTGGTAGGCGACACGGTGATCCGCACGCTCAAGGTGCTACTGGGCATTGCCAACGGTACCATTTTCGTGAGGCCCTCTTGGGTCACGGCATCCCTAGCGGCAGGAGAATGGGTGCCCGAGGAGCAACACCTGGCGCAGGTGGGGTCGGTGGGCGAAGCACCGTGGTGTGCTGTGTGCTGCGTCTCTTCTTGCCACGTGCTCTGGTTAAACTACTAGCTGGTTAGCTTGCTTGCACGGCAATCGCGCGCCATATCCAAGGCCGTGGTTTTTCACAACATCTTCAAAATGCTTCTGTCGCGAATACCACATCTGGGTGGTTTTGTGAAGCACGGACGGCTGCAGCGGTCATGTGCTTCAGGTGTGTGTACCTGCACACATTATTGCCCTTCCTACCTTATCCTGCCGGCCTAGAGTCAGTTGGCAATGTCCGTTTCCGCAGCCAGCCATTATCACGGTTGCCGCGAAGGCAGGGTGCTCATGCCAGGTCTGGACGCCGGCGATTTGCCTTGTCGTGGCTGCAGGGCGCCTTTGCTGTGACCGCCAATGCGGTGCGCGCGTGCTTACAGTTACAGCAAGAGCAACAGCGCGGTGCTGGCGCCGGGCCTGAGGCGTTGTTGTCGGCGTCGCAGCCAGCAGGGCCTTCCACGGGTGTGCTGGCCAAGCCTCTGGCAGGGCAGATGGTGGCTGTGCACAATGCCCAGTGCAAGGGACTGGGCCTGGGAGAGGTACAAAAGAAGAAGACGGAGTTAGAAACTATTGTGAAGGTGTGTGCGGTATGGAGCGCCGGAACGCCGCATGCCCCTTGCGCCCTGTACACCGAAGCCCCCGCATCCCGCCTGGCATCCCAACCGGGCTCCTGGATGGGGTTAAGCTGTCCCCTATGGGCCTCATTATTAAAATTCGCGGCCCCTGTGCCCCGGCACTAGGCCCACCACAACTGTCATGTAGTATACGGCTGTCGTTAATCGGCAGCAGCTCTGGGTTTGTCCTTGCGGTTGAGGTTCAATTCTGTGTCCTGCCTTGCCTTGTCATATGCCATAAGCGGCTGCGGCCCAAAATCTGTGACTGCTTCCTCGGCTGTCTCGCTTAGTTCTCTGTTCCGATAACTCTTGCAGGCGCTCGGCGGCCGATTAGTTCCCTTCAGATCGGCTGATCTGCTCATAGTTCTGCGCGGCAGCGCACCACCCCAGACAGATCGGCGGCAATGTAAGACGGCGAGCGAGGATTGGCTCCTCCAGCTGGCAGAGACGCACATTTGGCAGGAGCCCTCTTAAGTCTTGACGGCCCGGCAGGATTTGGAGAAGGGCACAGCAAATTCGAAGGTGCATTGCAGGTGAACTGTGCGCGGCCTGTAGGGGTATGGGAAGGATGGATGGGGCAGATGCAGTGTGCACCCCTGTTGCTGTTGCGAATCCTGGTGTGAACGGACGAATGAAGGGTTGGTGGTTCGTGCCCATTCTGTACTTGGCGATGCAGTCCTAAGGCAGACGGAGTCGATTGCGTCGATTATAGAGGAAATTAGACAGCGTTTTGCTTATAGAGGAAATTAGACTGGGTCATGCAGAGGTCTGTACTGGTGCCTGTACTGATGAAGAGTGCTGGTTTGGGCATGGGGTTTCGTCAAGGCTGAAGCGACCAGCGCACGCGCGCGAGTCAGCGGACTTTCCTCAGGAGACCGTAAAGGACGGTTCCGGAACCTCCTCAGGTATACCAGAATGACGCAACGCGCGCTAGGCGTACCGAGGCCTCCAGGGGGGCTTTCGAACATCTTCATGAGGAACCAGGAGCAGTATTTGTCCGGGGCACTGTCCAACGCGTCGGCGTTTCGGCTGTACGGAGCGGTCGTTAATGGATCGTGTTGGTTGGTCCCTGGGTATCTTGGCGATGGCGAGTTATGGCTAGGCGTCTGGTTGGATGGGCCGTGGCGACTAAGTGGACCGGACCTTTCGGCTCGGCGCAGCAGGCGAAGGTGCCTGGCCTCCTCAACACCTCTGAACGGAAGCGTGATTGTGCTTGGTCCGGCGATGCAACGGGCAAGCGACGGAGAGGGCTAATCAAGAGGCGTCCAACCTGACATGCGCTGGAAGACTGAAAGTGCATAGGTCTTGGTGGCGAGCATGCAATGCCGGCCTGAAAGGGCCACTTGAGCACATTTCTCCGCCTTCGCATTTCACGGAGCTCTTTGTAAACATCCAGTGGCGGGGGCTACCATTATGCCCCACCACCTGAAGCTCTTAGGATTATAGTCGAACCTGAGACTCCTGGAAAATTCCGGATAACGTGATATCACTGCATCCGCCAGGCTGCACCGTGTCATGGCAAAAGCCTTTTAGCGGAGCACCCCGGAAATCGACACACAGTCCTCTCTGTCCGCAGACACATTCATGTAATAAACGATACCAAGGAGACCACTAGACTAGGGCACTGTCACAGCTTGAACATCGCCAAAATTTTAACATCGCAATACAGTTTCCAAACGACACCTCGCCAACAGCACCAAACACCTGCTCAACACACCGTAGTTGCATGTAAAAAGAAGTACACTGCATGTTTTGCGTCCATTCATGTATCGCCAATGGGGGGAGCAGTTGCATAGGGGTTGCGCTACCGCATCCGCAGCTGCCTCCCCTCAAGCTGTAGCCCAAAGACCAACCAATCGCGTCGAAACCCTCCTACGCCTTCACATCACTCCGTTCCTCTTTCCCCTGACAGCTGCTCCACCCATCAAATCTTTCAGACGCGCTCTCCAATCTACGGTCTTCCGGACGAAAGCTTCTGGAAGGATGGTTCTCCGGGATATTATCCCTACATTAGCCATCAGCCATCGTTACCCCTGCAGGGTACCGCAGATACCCGACATGGCAGCCAGCCAGCCAAGCAGCCACATCACTGCTCTGAATCTAGGTCTACATCGTACCGATAGTCAGGATCCGTGGGCGGCACAGGGCCGAAGCTGTCCCAAGGCGACTCTACGAAGAAGAGCGCCCGCCGTCGGTTTCGCAGGATGGGTACCTGCAAGGGGACGCGCATACGGCCCCATACATCTATCGCTTTCGTATCTTTAATATATATAATATATAAGCAGAATACATTTAAGCAAATGGTTACTTTAAAAGTAATTAGGCATGATCCTGCGTACTACAACAAAAATGCTAGCACACGGAACTGAACCGGGGAGCAGCTGCGAGGACAAAAGCAGTCAATGGTCGAAGATCGCAGTACCGAGGGGCCCTGCCCAGCCCATTCCCTGCAGACCCCAAGCAGACCTGCACGCCCCGCTCCCTGTACAGCCGCGCCCCCTGCGCGGCACGGTCCCACTCACAGGCTCCCAGCCTAGCTCCAGCCGGACCTGCTCCAGCCTGCGCTCGTTACGGCCCCAGTCAGGTACGCCCTGTTGCCGAGCTGCCGAGCGCACGAGCACCTGCGGGCAATCACCAGTACGAACACACGTACGTACATGTGCCTACATACCTACGCACGAACAGACGTACGTATGTCTCTGCGTTTTTATGTCTGATATATGTAAACGCATGCGCTCGAATGTTTTGGGTGGTAAGAGATGCGATCGGGCGCCTCCCTTATTCCCAACTTGACCTTATAACGGCCCAGGCAGACCTCTCAACGGCACAGAGGTAAAGTAGCCAACTATGCAACCCATGCACCCTCAAGCCAGCTACCCAGCTGAAAACAACATATCCAGCATGCCGCCTCAAACTCAAACCCATCCATTGTGTAACCCATCTAGAAGCGCAGGCCCCAGCCTTTTGCTGGCTACCCAGCCAGCCATCTCACCCACCGTGGTATCCCCATCCGGCAGGAAGAACTCTACGTCATCCGTGCCCGGCCATGTCGTCCACGTGGCGTACACATAGCCATACGAGACGGCATTTTCTACCTTCTGCACATCACCTCCGAGGCCCTGTATGGCCTGCGCTAACATCTGTACAGCGTCCGCGCGACTGACGGAGTCGTATGTCCAAGGCGCCACAAAATGGCCCGGTCTGTCATCGAAGCTCGAGACACAGGAACGCAGGCCAGCGCAGCTGCGGAGACGCATGAGAGCCACGGAGTTGGTGACTGTGTTGTGTAGGAGATGCTCCTAGCAAGTCAAAATGAGCTTCTGGTGTGCTTGTGTTGGACTGTGTGCAGCGGGGCGCCATGCCTTGATGCGCTGCGCCGCGCCGCGCAGGCGTGCACACATTACTTTACGCATTCCGGGGGCATTGGTGGTATCAAACTTTAGGCAATTATGAGGCGCGCACGTGCCGCACTGCTAGGACGGAATGGTACCTTCCCAGCGTTCCGTCCACTGCTCCGACGCCTGCGCGCGCAGTTCCAGAAAGTCCCATGGGTCAGTATATGATTAGCCTGATGATGATCGAGGCCTCCTGGGCGTGTATGGAGTAAAACAGGCAAGCAGCTTTCCAACGTCTACTGCGGCAACAAGCTCGGCCATGATGCTGGGGTGCCGGTCCGGGTGTGGGCTGTTAACGCTTTGCGGGCAAGGTAGCCCCCGAATACATTGTACACATGACAGTATGCCATGGGCACGGTATGAGCAAGTCTGTGCGCTTACACGTCGGACATGTGCCCGCGACAGGCGCTGTCTCTTGGAAGATGCCGGGCAACGAAATTGAAGCAAGAAGTGCTGCCCGCCTAGATAAGGCCTCTTGGAGAATACATGTTCTATGCCTCAACGCTGCGTATCTCGTAGCATGCAGAATGTTTCGGCTTTGGGGACCGTGAAGCCGGACGTTACGGACGCCCAGGGTTTCATGGCACGCCATCCCTGTGCATATTTCCTTGGGGTCCTTATGTATTCAAGAAACTGCTGGATTGTGCTTTACATCTTTGGCGACCCACAGATGAATCGCCCTAACGACCCATGCCGTTGGCCATGTGCTTCCATACAAAGCTTATGGCGGCAGTAAATAATTTTGTGAATGGCTCGTTTCTCAACATTAATACGAAATACTGTACAATAGGACAACAAGCAACAGATACTAAGGGACCCCTGTTCGATCTTTTCCTCAACATTACCGCAAGGCTTGACCAAGCGCCATGAGTGAGCGGCCAGATCGGCCCGTTTTCGTCGGGTACGCGGAGAATTTGACCTTTATTGAATGTAGACATCGCGGGTCTTGTGTTGACCCTCCGGCCCTTCGTCCCCCAAATTTTCACCTTTTGGTCACAATTTTTCTGGTCATTGGAAACCAGGAATTTTGAGGTGAGTTGAATATTCAGTATGCTCGCTAGGAATAAGCAGAGTTATGCGGCAGAGTCGGCCGTTTCGGCGGTGTGTTTACGTTTCCATGTTTCCCGCTCCCGTTCTTGTGGCGTTCTCAGTATGATGCGGAGGAGAGGGAAATCATCAGGCTGATGGAGAAATACGGTAAGCAAGCTCAGTCCATAGGGGATGTCTTTGTAAGCTGAACGGCCCAATCAAGTGCTGTATTATAGGGCTTTTGCTTCTGTATTACAGGACCTGTGGAGAAGATTGATATGAAGCAAGGCAAGGCATCATGGTCAAGTTCGACGTAGTGTATTTCCCCGGTCATTCTAGAGAGCTTTGCGCGAGCCCGATTCGTCTTTCTAGAGGGCGCCGGCGTTCGTCCATGAGAGGCTCACAGGCCAAAAGCGTGCCGCGCCCGTGGTCCCTATCGCTTGTCAGAGGGGTTGCTACGCCCACACCGTCAGGCTGTACCGCGGGGGCAACTAAGTGCATCCCGACTATTTCCACAACATCAAGTGCGCCTGCCTGCCCAGCTCGCCTGCGCCAATCAACATGCCATCCAACGATGCCTACCACCGCCTACCCCCGCATTTTCGTCACGACGACGTGTTGAACCAACGCTTTGCCAACAATTTCACATGCCACTTCTGCTGGCTACCATTGTTTCTGCATGCCACTAGGTTGTAAAAGCCAGGTGTGTAGGGGACACCTTGCTTTGCAATCATCAGCTCTCCAGCCTGCGATCGGAGTGTGTGGAGTGAAATCCCGTGTGCTTACAAGCATTATATGTCGCAGCTCAATGCATGCTCAGGAGTGGTGCCGGCGGCGAGACAGCTTGGTGGTGTAGCTCGGAAAAGCTACGTGGCTCACAGCCCCCAAAGGACCAAATGTCTTGTGTCATTTTTGGCCCGGGGTGATGTGTGGCACGCTGGGAAGTGACTGCCCATTCATGCAGCGGATTTGACGCCACGTGCATACGAGCCCTGGACGCCACCTTTATAGTGCTTTGCGTGCTTGAATCTCATCTCGCGACCTTTCCAGGCTTCGCTTTCGTGTATATGCGATATAAGGAGGATGGTGATGAAGCTGTTAGACGCCTGGATCGGACTGAATGGGGCTACAAGCGCAGGCAACTACGTGTGGAGTGGGCGCAGGTAAGGAACGACAGAGCTGGTCCAGCGATTCTCTGCCTGGCACAGTGCTTCAATGTGAAGGACCGGGCTGGTGTGGGAATATAGAAGTGGTTTTGTGCCGATGTCATTATGGGTTTTAAAGCGGTGCAGGCTGACGTTCACTCGTGTTCATGCATGATGGACATGTGTAGCACTATGTAGATGACTGCGGAGCGCTGCTTAAAGCAAGGATGCATGTTAGAGTGGAGTGCATCCTAGTGATGTAGTGGTGCATTGCTGACGATTTTCCGTGCTGGGCCCTGGATTTCCAGAAAACAGAAGCTGACCGGAAGCGCGACACCCGCCCATCCAAAACGCTCTTCGTCGTAAACTTCGTGAGTAGGGTGTTCGGGGGATGAAAGGGCAAGGGAACTGGTCGTGAAACCGCACATGTGTGGGTTTAGTTGTTGCCAACAAGGCTTGCATCAGCTTGTCTTGCTTTTCATGTTTGCCTGCTTCAACCTGGTGAGTGACGGCCTCCACTCTCAACTACTGACATGCATTACATGCTGTGCTGCGCAGGATGTACGGCGGACGTCGGAACGCGACATTGAGCGTTATTTCTCCCGTTTCGGACGGTTGTCGCGCGTACAGATAAAGAAGAACTATAGCTTCGTGCAGTTTGTGGACGTGGAATCCGCAGTGCGGGCCCTGGAACGGAGCAATGGTGCCCAGATGGACGGCCGCACACTGGCTGTGGAATTCGTGCAGGTGAGAATTCCCTGGGATACCTTCGGCTCCTCGAGGACTGTTATGCCGATTTCCGTTGTTACTCGAGCATAATCACTAGCCGTAAGTTGGTAAATACGCGTCAGCTGAGCCAGGTTCGGACTACCCCGATTGTGACACGTTCATCCAAAGTATCCAACTCCCGTTTCCCTGTTTGTCCTTTTAGAACGAGGACCCGAATATTCGCGTGCCCGACTTTGGCCGTGATGACCGGGATCGCGACTACGGCGGCCGCGATAGGGACCGGGACTACGGCCGAGATCGCGACCTCGACCGCGACCGTGGCGGCTACCGCGGCCGTGACAGGCAAGTCTTCTTGCGTGTACAGTTTGGTTTGGAACTTATGATACTTAGGCTGTTTGTGCACCGCGAAGGATTTCAGGGTGGCCCTAATCCGTGTGACTAAAATCCTGAAATGCGGCGTCGCATTTCCTGCAATCCCTGTGCCCGCTGTGACAGGTCTCGTTCCCGCTCGCGATCAAGGGCCCGCCGGTCCCCCGAGCGCAGTCCGCCGCGCTTCGAGCGCAGGGCCTCTCCCCCTCCGCGGGGCCGCAGCCGGAGCCGCAGCCCCGCTCCTGAGCGTCGGGATCGGTCTCCCAGCTACGAGCGCTAAGCAACTCCTGGAGCCGGAACGCACAATAAACCAGCGACAATTGGTGTGCGGTTAGGTGTATCCGGTGTTTTGTGTTGACACGCTCGGGCGGTCTGCTTGTTACGTGGAACATGAAAGGCGAGGGTGTTGGGCAGAAAGTGTCCCGACAAAGGTTAACATGGTTACTTGTACAAATGACTAGCATTTTGTATCGGAGCGGCATGTGAACGTGCATTGCGTGTACATGAGAGGCCAACGGCTTTGAAACTTCGGAATTGTTGGATGTTTGCGAGCCCCGCGCCCCCCCTTGAGTATTGCTTAGCGACATCAGCGTGCATCCCTGAAGGTTGTTGCACATTCGCGTGTGCGGAGCCGCCGAATTGCCGTGCGTTTATGTTAGCTAAGCTTAACACGTTTTCGGCACGTGTTTGTTGCCGGGAGGTAGTCGATGGCGCTGCGTTGTTAGGTCCTGGCGATGATACTGCTTGTGACAAGAGTTTGCCATGTGTGCCGAGGGACATGTCATAAATGTGTTCGCTAGGCAATAATGTTTTGCATACTGAACAAGATCGCTTTTCTTATCTGCCTAAGTACCTATGCGCTTGGCAGTTTCCCGTTGTCCAGCGGCGTACGACATTCGTCCAAACAGATCTAGATGTAAAAGTATTCAACAATCTTCATGGGCTATGACTATAGCGAGAACATTGCTTTGCTTGAAGCAGGCAATCGTATGCAGTTACCTCAATTGATAAGCACGGCTTGTTAATCAGGATCAATCCCTGATTTCTGAAGGTTCCAGTGAACATAGGATGACAAAAGCACCAGCTCTTCCGGCACGGAAGGCAGCTGGGCGACGGACGGCGGCAGCCCATACTCGTCAACTCCCTATCATTGAAGCGCAAACTGTAACCCTGGAAGATGGGACCGAGGTCCGCACATTTCGGTTGTGCTATAGTGTCTAGTTTTTGGATCTATCAGGAGATCTAGGATTCTCCTTTGTGGCGCCCATGGTTCTGCTTCGCTTGTCATGTCATATAACTGGCCAGCTGCATCATGTCCAATAACTGGCGAGCTGTAGGAGCCGGGCTTGTCTTATGAAAATGCAACGCTCTGGCTAATCGTTTGTCCTGAACATTTGTAGGTGCCCATCAAGATTCCTCCCGGCATGCCAGCAGCCCAAGCGCAGGCGCTCGTAGCGTACCTGAAGTCAAACCCAGCGGCTGCCAAGGCAGCTTATGAGCAGGCTCAAATGATTATGCACAATCCGGCTATGGCGAATGCTTTCAGCAATATGCTGGTGGGTTTTCGCGAGGTTTCAGGTCCAATAAGAGTGGGATTCCGCCCGTGTTTTCCTATTCAAGATCACAATGATGGGACAGTATAAGCGTGGAAAATGCTCCAATTGGTATAAAACCCTCGACACGCGTTGGCATGTCGATTGCTTTAGCCACCGGTGCGATCATATGGAATTCGCCCATGTACTAAACCGGCAACATGCGCGTCCGTTAAGTATCCCCCCGATTCGCGTATCGTCCCGTGCTTAAGGGCTATCTCCTCAAGTGGCATCTTGCCGGAGAAGAGCCATCCTGAGACTACTGGCCGCCGCGCATGGCTCCATGTGGTGTGCCTATGTGTGCCTTCTCTCCTCCTGTCGCTACCTTTCCGCACAGGCCCCCCAGGCCCCCGCCATGATGGAGCGCCTCAGCGCCCTTAAAGAGGATCCCGAGTTCCAGGACATGTTTGAGGACATGAAAACCAATGGCGCCGCGGCGTTCCAAAAGTGCGTGCACGTCGTGGGTATCCGCTGGAGAGGGGGCCCCACTTCGGAAGGAGGGGGAAAAGGAGGCGTACCCACTTCGGAATGAATGGGTCTACAACCGAGCAGAACCGTAAAACGCTGATTTCAGGTTGCTCAGGCCACACCGCCCCCAAAACACTGCTGAGGTTTTAGTGTTTTTTAAGTTCCGGTGATTTGATCTGGTGTGATATAGGGCATTCTGATACATCGGCTTTATACGCACGCATTCTTGTTGCTGGTATCTTATTTGACGTTTGTCATGCATGCTACGATATGAGCAGCTCCTGAAACAGGTTCTAAGGTCCTAAGGCGAGACCTAGCATGGGCGGAATCGAGCCTTTTGATCTGCAATGACCCAGATGGCCGATGCGATAGGACGATAGTGACCCCCGCTCTTTTCCCGCGCTGGCGCGTTGCGAAGATCTTGGCAAGCTGTTTTGTCGCGAGACATTTACCGGACAGGTGTCAATCAGCACTAATAATCACGGCCCGTCTCCGGCGTCCCCTTCACCGAGCGAGCAGGTACTGGGACGATGCGGAGCTGATGCTCAAGATCAGTCAAAAGCTCAGGGCCTTGAATGTGAACAACGACGGTGGGCAAGCGGCGCCGGCACCGGAGGGCGACGCGGCTGCAGCCGAAGCCAAGAAGGTGGGACGCACGTTGAATTCTTTAATCATTTGGTTTTGTTGCCAAGTTGCTATAAATCATTGTGTGGTCTCACGAAACAGAGAAGGGGAACGTAGAAAAGAGAACTTGATAGGCTTATCAGTATGTCCAGTTCGGAGCGTTAGTGTGGCTTCGTGCCTTCCAGGAACGGAAAGAAAAGGAACTTCAGAGCGGGGCCTTGATCGCCGTTGTTATGCAGGGTCCACGGACCTCCTCTGCAAGGCTGATCCACGTGTCGGAGGTTATCCCCTTCTAGAACCTTCCCTCGTCTAATGCGATGGCACAAACATGATACCTTGCTTTGTTGTCTGTTTTCCTTGTACTTCACGTCTACTCAATCCTCGGGTAATGTTGCAGCTCATTAACAACTTGCACGATGCTGCCAAGCACGGAGACGTGGAGGCTGCCACCCGCTTCATGGAGGAGGGCGCTGACGTGAACGCCCTGGTAAGCCGTCAGCGCATTCAGCCCTCGTCCTTATCAACGTGGATATACGCACCCTGGGCGAGTAGCATGTATGTATATTTGTATGTATGCCTACTGCTCCTGCACTGTAATGCGGAAGCTGCACATCTTCCCATACCCATTACGCATATCCGTCCACCTCGGATGATCGACTCTTATAGCACTTATCTCAACCTTATCTCAACCCAAGCAATAGTCCGGTCCGCCCGCCGCCTTCCCAAGTGCTCTGCGGTTGTCCCGGTAGCCCTTTTGCCTACCTCTCAAAGCCTGGAGGATTGGGTCGGCTTCCTTAGGGCTAAGGAGTCGTGTTCGTGACGTCCCCTTTTTCTTTCTTTAGAGAGAGAGAGACCTTACCTTGATTGCGTTGTTATTTTGTTGTTGTTTCCAGAACGATCGCGGGATCTCGGCGCTGGGCGTGGCGGTTGGCTTCAACCGTTTGGAGATCGTTAAGCTCCTGATTGCCAAGGGAGGTGACCTGGCCTTCCGGGACCCCAAGAAGAACACGCTTATGCACTATGCAGCAGGTGAGAGAGCCGCCCAATGCTACAGACATCTTCACTACCTATGCACACTACCACCACTGCATGCTGCCCACCACAGCTGCCACGCCACAGCTATAGCACGATGGTCGTGAAAGCTTGGGGTCAAGGCAGGTGGCTTTAACACCGCCGAAGTGGAATACCTTTGTTTTGCCGTGAGCGCATGAACTGCGCGGTTTAGTGAATGTTGTGGCAAACCTACGGCATGGTTTCCTAGGGCCATCGCACCCTGCCAGCACGCCTCCTTCCTGTCCTGCTGCGCGGGAAAGAGAGCTATCATATTTCGGAGAGTAACGCAGCTCTTAAGTTGTAACACACACACACACACACACACACACTTCGAACGTTCCGCAACGGGGACAAGGACTCGCTCACAGTCTGAAACCCGGGTTGGGCCCTGCTGGATGGCATGGTTCTCAGGGTACGGCCGTCTGGCCATTGCCAAGGTGCTGCTCGCTGCTGGGGCGGAGCTGGACGTGAAGAACGACGCCGACCAGACCCCCCTGGATGTGGCCAAGTTGAATAAGGAGGTGGGTAGCGTCAGTGGGATGCCAACAGGTTCAGCAGGTATGCAGCCCTGCCAAACACACCGTAGGATCCATTGTTGGTCTGTCCAGAGCCAAGGATGAATTGATACCCCTGGATTGCGATGAGAGCGGAGACTGGGGGATTGACCCATAGGTAAGTAACTAACGGTACAAAAATAAATGTTAGGATAGCTAATCGATCTCACAAATGAAGACAATGAGATTTACTAATATCATTGAAGAGCCAGCAGAGAAGACCTGGTGCCTGGTTATGGTGGCGCTCCATTGATAATGCAGTTCTAGGCCCATATGAAAGAGACGTGCCTTTCAAAGGCACAAGAGCGACTAGGAATTTATGCCCAAGCACCCAAGGATGGCGAAGGGGGCCCCGTTCCTCGTCGTGCTTTAGGTCATGCGCCGCACATCGCAGCCTCGCACATGCAGGGCTTTCCCCCTGCAGAATTAGCCTTTTCCTATATGTTCATTAGGCCACGCACCGTGCAGCCGGTCTTCCTTTGTAATTCCCTGCTGTAATGCATTGTCTTTTTACGCCATCCTCGCCCCTCCATGCAGCGCGACATGGTCAAGTTTTTGGAGGAGAAGGGCGGCGATGCCGCTGCAGATGCCAAGCCTGCTGCCGCGGAGGAGGCGGAAGCCGTCGCGCCAGCCACTCCAGCTGCAATCGAGGAGACGGCGTCCGCAGAAGCCGCATAGGATTTACGACTTGCAGATTTTTACGCTAACTTGCTTCGCTCATCCACCCGACGCGCAGCAGACGCGTAGGTTGCTGTCGCGTGCTGAGGCCTTTGCGGGTTTTTCCTAGAGCGTTGCTTTTGTCTTGCGGGGCTGCATGACTTGAGAGCATAGAGCGCGGCGCACCCTTGAGTGAGTGATTTCTGCCGTTAGTACTATGTCTCCCATTATTGGCCGAATCCGTCGGCGTGACGCGGGTACGACTGCAGCATAGGACTGCAGGAAATGAACAGACTGCGGAGGTGGGTGCGGTCAGCTTGCAATGTAGGAAGGTAACGCGATTAAGAGCGTTAGGCAGGGTAGGTAGCTTGCTTGGGTGTTGGAGAGCATGTCAGTGCTTGGTTTGCGTTGCGACTGAGACGCAGCGCTACCGTGCCCACGCGAGGATGTGTTTTTGGGTAGAGCATGATCGCTTCGTAGAGTTAATTCGTAGCCGTGAGGTTAAAATCTCTATTTAAGTCAGATCAGGGTCATAAAGCCCAAATCCGAACGATCATCTGTTTTCCAGTAAAGGCATGGCGACCTCGACGTGTCGATGCCTAGATGGACAGTTACATTTCTGCAAAGAAGCACGTTCAAGATGGACCGCCTAACAGCTTTTAGTAAGTGTAATCATCGCCTTCCAGGTATAGCGAGGTTCGACGTGTTGGATAGGCTCTTGCATGCATGTGTCACATGCACGCACACACACACACACATGAAGTCTGTAAAGCATCATTGAGCATTGTGCACATGAGAGTACATGATGTCCCGCGAAAGGCGCTACTGCAGGCAAGCTCACAGCACACATGCAAGTGCACACACATGCACACATACATACAATACATCACCGGGGACATCGCCATTTCCCTCATCGCGGCTCAGATCATTAAAAAACACAATAAAAGTCCTAGCCAGCATACGTTGCCTGCTTAAATTTAATGGGTAGGTATGTAGGCGATCAGATGATTGCCTCGAGGAGCTCCATCATTTGTCGTATGTCATCATCCCGGAGGGTGCACAATACTTGCTTCTACTTTTTTAACCGCATCTGATTTCTTGCTGTGCAGGTATGTAAAGTTGAACATGAGAAACTGTTCCTTCTTAACAAAGACCTGCCACATCATGGAAATTACTGCCTGCTCGTTCCAACGATAATTAACGACGCCTCCACTCGCCAGGCATAGCTGCACAAATCGGTTCACCTGAATGCACCGAAAATTTGCGAGCAGCACGCAGTCAAGGAACTGGCAGTCGACTCGGCATACCTGACATACATAGAGACATACAGTCATACAAAGGTACATACATACGCACATGCATGCATACTCAGGTTAGGCACTACTGATAAGGCACGGACCATTGCCCCGGGAGATCCCGGGAACGAGACATATCAGGGTCGAAAATATCTTCCGATGGTGGAAGGTAAAGTGCCCCTAGTCGATGGACGGTGGTGACCTGGGGTAAAGTTAATTTGCGAGCCGACCGGGAATAGAATTGGGCCGCCGTCGATCCGGCAGATTCTGTTGGATGCTGATGGTGGGTGCGGAACTTAAGCGATCCACTGAGAAGATAACTAGGGTGATTAGATGCGGGTGCCCCGAAATACCGGAGAAGGCAGGGTTTGGCCGGGTAGCGGCCACGGGTGAAGATATGCCCCCCAGTCCCACACATCATACGTGCGCACATGCATACATACGTACGGGCATGCATACGTACATACATACGGGCATGCGCAGATTGTAATAATATTTGCGCGGAAGAAGGACTCGATCATCAGCAGCGCATGTTGGAGGCCATGAAATGGGAGCCAGCACGTCTGGCGAGGATGTTGGAACGTATGCGGGCTCACCGCAACTTAGTTATCCCCTTTGGACGCTAGTTTTTTTCTCTTCTCCTGATAGCGCGGCATTTCCTCTTTTTTGTGACTTTTAGGCGTTCAGGTCTTGCCCTTGGGGCTTCGGCTCGTATGGGTAGTTCGACAGGTATGGGGTCACGCACCCCCAACCGTGTAACAGATATACGTGTGTAATGATGCAATGATAGTGTACAGTTGGATACGCCACCAATCACAACTTACCTCGGGCTTGAACCACCAGTCGAGGCTCCACATCAGACAGTTGCCGTACAAAATTGTCATGTCCCAGCCTCCACTTTTTGGGAGTCGCAATCTATTGAGATCCTTCGTTTGTTCGTCCGGAAATTCATGCCCCTTGGCCTGCAAGGATTTGCATGTGGAGAGAGTAGATTGTGGAGGCCCACAACAGAGAAAGTGGGAGTCCAGGAGCAGATAGTACATGTATATCCTGCGTGGTGTTAATTGTGCAAGCGATGATACGTAAGGTGCGGAAAACGAAAAGTGATGAACGGCTGAATGTCGTCAATCATACGCGCAACGAATGCCAGTTGGAATAGCACATACAGTATTGCGGCAGGGTGCAATCAATCCTTGGGAATGCAGTTCAGGACGGAGAGCGGATGCTTTCGTTATTAGGTTACAAGTTACAAGCTCCAGGCACAAGTGGGGGGGTGTCCGTAAAAGCCGCGGGAGCCATGGACAGTAAATCGTTATTAGTGCGGTTACGTGGTGGACCATCATCGTCCACTTCAGCACGCAGCGCCTTAGAGCAGCGTGCCGGGTCTCCCAGACTTCCGAGAGTAAATAATATAAAATATATATGCGCACTCACAATGCTCAGCTTCGTGTACAGTCCACTTAAGTCATGTGGCTTGCAATGCTCGAAAAGTCTCGTGGGCACGATTTTATTGGCGACGAGGTAAAAGCGTGTAAGCTCTGGAAGGCCCCATGTCACCGTGGGGACATCCTTCATGATGTTGCGTGCCGCCAAAAGATAGCTCTGCTTGTCGAAGAGCTCCACAATGTTAAAGCCCACAGGACTCATAATGAAGGAGTCGTCGTCAAGCTGCATGACGTACCTGCATGCACCGTCATGCACGGTCATGCACGCCCTTGCACGCACACATCGTCATACCGCCATACAAAACCTAAAGCCCTCCGTCTGCTGCTGGCGCCCAGATCCCACGTTCAAGACCCCAGCCACCAACTGGTCCCATCAGCAAAAAGCCCGCCCGATCTGGGCCTGTACTGGCTCCCCGGCTTGTTTTCCCTTTCCTTCGTTAGTCGCGTCGGCCCTTCCTTTACTTCTATTAACGTCTTCTCAGATGGAACGATTTGAGTTTCCTTTTTCTGGCTGGGCTGGGCTGGGCTGGGCTGGGCGTGTGTATTGGATGGTTGACGGCTGTTATAACAACCCTAACGAATTAGTTAGGGGTAGTTAGGGGTAGTTAGGGGTAGTTAGGGGTAGTTAGGGGTACACGCCCTAGTTGGCTGACTCCGTCTGAACGATGGATCCTCCGTTTATTCTCGGTGCCCTACCCCTCTCGTCGTCCGAGAGGTAACCCTTAGTCCCTGGGGTTCTTACATAGATAGACCATGCACGCTTGCCAACTAGCTCACTGTAGTAGCTGTACATAGTACGGCAGACATAACGTCTACAAATACGCGCTAAGGCGCTGCACCAGCATCTTGGGAGGCCTTTTCAACAGCCAGCTGCTACGTACACTCACCTATGCCCCATGTCCCGGGCAAACGCTGGCATGTAAGTCAGTCTCCATGTGCCCATCAATCTGTAGTCCTGGTTCCACAGGTGTTTCAGGTGCCAGAAGCGATCATCGCTAGAGGATGAGGGGACACGCCAGCTGTCCTCCGTTATTGGTAGCACTAGGACGTTGGGCAGTAACCACTGTCCGAGTTCCCGCTTCAGCATATCGACCTGCAGGTATCAGCAGGCAGCGGCACCGGCAGCAGCAGCAGGTGCAGCGGCCGCAGCAGCGGCACCGGCAGGTGCAGCAGCAGAGAACAGCAGCAGCAGCAGCAGGGTTTGTGGTGGCTCTGACAAGCAGCGAGGTACCAAGCATTTTTTTGGTGTGTGTGTGTGTGTGTATGTGTGTGTGTATGTGTGTGTGTGTGTGTGTGTGCGTGTGTGTGATGGTTGGTGTAACACCAGGCAAAGAGTACTCATGGAGATGCCAAGGGAGCTGAACCCTTCTCACAGTTGGGGGTGCCGTACTGCTCGGTAGTGACTCGCTTTACTCCTCTTCCTAATATAAAGGAAGAATCCGCCCCGGGCCCTTATGTACACACCTGCCTGTACACACCTGCCTGTACACACCTGCCTGTACACACCTGCCTGTACACACCTGCCTGTACACACCTGCCAGTACACACCTGCCTGTACACACCTGCCAGTACCACGCTCGCGCGGCAATAATGGGTGGCAAGCAGGGGACGGATTTTCCCGAATACACACATACATACATAGGGACCAACCCTGAATATTACACCAGGCCACGACCTATACATAGACGATAAAAACTTTTAAGGACGAGGATGGTAGGAGTTGAACCGGCACGCAGGGGTGCCGGCCATGGCGAATAGTGCCGCGAGTGGCTAAGATAATAGAGGGTAGCAACATAAAAGACTATTAATGCCCCAGGTCCCCGTAATGGCACACACATCCCAGGATGGCTGGAAGCAAGGCGAGCCCACTCTACCGATGTCATCACCGCTTGGTGAGTGATCTTGCACGTGTGACGAGTACATGCATTACATGCGTTTTTGTTTTAGCTAAGTAATAATCCTGATGAGCGATGTTCCCTTTCATGCATCACTGCCGCTGTCGGTGCTAGTAATTACTAGCTAGCCAACAAGGGCCAACACAAGATCCTCGCACGCACGCATCCTTACGGCAATGCTACATATATGCTACATAATAATAATAATGACGTTGCCAACGCACCTGTTGCGCCTGGGTGAAGATGTAGACCGTTGATGGTGTAGCTGGAAATAAATTTTCCGAACACTTCGCAATCGAAATCCGTAACGATCTAACTCGACCTTCGACATACATGCACATCCAGTATTACATTTATTTAGAGGATATACGCTTGACCGTGATGCCTAGGCTCCAAGGCACTCATCAGGCAGCAGGGAGCGGACGAAAGCAGTAGCAGGTCATCAGTCGCAAGCAAATAGAAGCGAAGCTCCAATGACGTCACAAGTCCATTTAGCAACCACGCAAGACATTTTCATATGCTTGATAACAAGCAATATGATTCCCAATTTTGCTGGCTGCTGCTGCCAATTAGGAGATGGGATATACATCATCTCTATGGTAGATGCTGATTGCGCGTGCGTCGGTGTTATTGACGCATGTATCGTGCCCGCATACATGTTACACATGCAGGTCGTACCATCGATGGTAGTGATGTCACTAGGCACGATTACGCTGAGCATGTAGGGCGCCTTGCGTGTGCAGTGGCGGGGTCGGGGAGTCCATGATGGCACCCCTCGTAACACCTCTATGTGCATCTGTGCATGTATGTGCCGCATGCGAAGAAGCCAAATGTGTGTGTGTGTGTGTATATAGCAGGGTTGGTCCATCAGTGAAGATTCATTACACACTAACAACGAAGGGATGGGTTCAAGCTGAGTGGCCTAGCTCGAAGACTACTTGGCACGTACAGGTTTCACGGGCCATGTGGCGGCGGCTGCTTGATGCACAAGTGCCAAGGGTGGGGCGGCGACGACAAGGTGGCATGAGGGAGCTGGTGGGGAGGTGAAACACGCATAGTAAGGATGCCCACCACCGGAATATGGATCCACTCTCTTAGGACGCCTGCACGTTAGCTAACCTAAGCACCTAGACACGTCCACGTAGTCTTAGTCATACACACCTCCACTGATCATGCTCGAAGTGAAAAGATACACCACAGCCAGCTTCTCCCGGTTATTAACTTTTTCAAAGTCGCCACTACTGGCGTGCAGCAGCAGCAGCTCCTGCTGCTGCTGAGCTACAGTAGTAGTCGTAGCTGCGTCATTCAAGGCTTGATGTTCCTGGGCGGCTGCTGTGACGTTCTGCTGCTGCCCAGCATGGCAGAATACATGTCCTAGAGATCCAATTGCGACAATGGTGATAACGAAGACGAGGTGCGGAAAGTGCCTCATTTGTTCGCAAGCAATTCTACCACGCGCGTATGTACCGCCGTGAGTTGAACGTGTTTTGCCCAGCACACCATGTATACGCATCTCTGAGTTGTAGTTAATTAGGTGTGCAACCGCACGAACGTTGCTTGCTTGTAAGCATGGGATAAGAAGACGCATTGCTGTAGCAGATAGCATAGGCGCTCAGACGACTGTCTCTTTATCCTATCAAAGTTCCAAGCAAGTTGCAACTTGGTTAGCGAACAATCCAAGAACCCTGCTGTAAGTCGGTGATCTGACCAATAAAAATAAACATATGACTTCAAGTATCTGCACGGTAGCTAGGTTTGATGAGTCATGATCAACACCCTAATCACGCACTTCACTTCACTTCACTTCACTTTCCTAATCACCTCATTTCACTTCACGTTTAGGTATTGCCCTTGGGCCTTCGGCTCGTATGGTAGTCTTACAGGTATATGGGGTCACGCACCCCCAACCATGTAACACACACACACACTGTAGTATCCTGGGTATCACGGGATGTAGCGTTCGCCGATCGGTTCTTTTCCTACGATAAGACATGATACAACACACACACACACACACACACACTTCACGCACCTATTTACATGTATACCCTTGGCCATGCCGCCGCCGGCCCCCTTCGTCTGTTAGATTTAATATCATCTATAAGTCGTGTCCAAGTAAATATAATAGATAAAAACAGTCCCTACCTATTATTGCATGGCGCGATCATAGACGATATTTACAGACGCTGCCGCCTTGCTCGCCACGGCTCGCCCGCCGCACACTACTCCCCACACGTGCTGACGACACCGCGACTTCCACAGGAACCTCCTTTTACATAACTGGTACCGTTCACGCACGCACCAAGCATACATGCATGCATAGCAGTTGGCAATTAATTGCGATCAACCATCCGTATAGTAGCTGGCCGCTGGTCTCTCAAGATGTTGATGGAGCGTCTTAGCGTTTATTTGTAGACGGTGTGTATGCCGTACTGTACGGCAACTACTACAGTCCCGCAGTCCTCTCGGATAACCTAATTATCTGGGCGAACGTACCGCATTCACGCGAGTTGAAAGTGCGATGCGTGTGTCAAGAGCTTAAATAATTATTGATTCAGCAGCCAAGGGGTCGGCAAGACCATACGTATGTATGCATCCGTAAAGTTTCTATCGTGTATAGGTCGTGCCTTGGTATATTAGAGGTAGAGAAGGTCCCTGACTATTGCACGCGCACACACGCTCCATTGGCGCTGAAAAAAATTGTTACAGACGTGCGTCGTCTGAACAGGGAACTACTCCCCTGACGTCTGGGACTTCGTTGATCACGTGTCTGTCCTCACCTTTTTATCTATCTTCGGCCCTATTTGCCGACCCGAAGTAACGGGCAATATTAAACAAAATTTAGGTAGGGCTATTGATGTTGATTGTGTTGTATGGCCGCAGCCAATACACCAGCTGGTGATGGCACTATTCCTGAAACCGAAATTGCTGCTCTCGTGTATGTATGACTTAGATTACACTGTGGGCCGCGAAACTGAAATTGCTGCTCTCGTGTATGTATGTATGTATGTACGTACTCGAAGCTTCCTTTGTATGCGGAGCCTCAACAAAGACTTGCTTGGATAGGACGCCTCTTTGATCCTGCAATCAAGCGTTTTGTTCCTCTGCCGACGGCGGAACCACTGAGGCGTCCCAGCGATGATGCGAACGGATGCATGTGAAGTAGCATCAGTGTAGCTCAGTGCAACGCCGTTGTAGTGGCCGGGCCGATACGGCTGCAACTGCTGCTGTTGCTGCTGCTGCTGCTGCTGCTGTTGCTGCTGCTGCTGCTGCTGCTGCTGCTGCTGCTGCTGCTGCTGCGTGCAACCTACCACGGACCTAGGCCGCTACTACTAAGAACGCCGCCATGCACCGAGGCACGTCTGCTTGGATCGATCGACGCCCATGCATGCATGTGTGGCCTTCATTCCTCCACCAGAAGCATTCTACACTACAACACATTGCGCAATACTTCCTGCTGCTGCAACAGGCAGCCGGCTCAAGAGCAAGCGAGTGACGAGTATCTTGTGCAAAGCGTGAATAATAATATACTTTGCAGATCGGCGGCGCGCAGCGGTCATTACTTCAATCCTTCCATTGTTCAGACAGGGCAGGGCGGTGCCGCCACCTAGTATTGTCGTTTGACGGGCAACATTGTAGGCCCAGAAGATACGCTTGCTTGGTGTACATCCATGTCTTCATCAGCCCTTGCTGCCGCAGCAGGCGGCAGTAGTATCAGCAGCGGTGGCACTAAGGTCGCAGGCGGCAAAGCGTTCTTCAGCTCGCCCGCCGCCCACTCCTTCCTTTTGCCAGGTCGATTGGCACGGCTACTACTGCTGCTTTGCATCGCTGTCGTCCATTTACCTCGCGCGAACTCCCGTTTCACCGCCGCCGCCTCGGCGCTTGATGGAGCCGCAACGGCTGCAGCAGCCACTACCACCCAGCCCATCTCAACCGCAAACGCCATGTCATCCTCCTCCTTGGATTCCAGCCGTCAGCAACAGCGGCAGCAGCAGCAGCAGCAGCAGCAGCCACAACTTCATCGTTACGATGATGCCCTTGTACGCGAGCTAAATGCCAATGGCGCTGAAAACGTTTTCCTGATATGGACGACCAGCGCCAAGACGCTGGATGCTTTGGCGGTGGCTTGTATCGGCTCCGCTGTACAGGTGTACGGCAAACGCGTGTACCTGCTGGCGAACGGCCTGACCTTGGCCGAGATGGCCCGACACGGCTGGGGCGGCGCGACGCTGGTACATTACGACCCAGCTGACGTAATGAAGGCGCGTACCTGTTAGACATGCAGGCAGATGCGTGGTTGCTTGGTTGCTTGCCGGGCCTGAATGCCTGAATTTTCACTCACCTACAACAAGAACGAAACATGATCAGATATATCACCCAAGTGAGAACGAGTGAAGCACGCGGATCTAAAAGAAACAATACTGGATGAGTTATAAATAACACTGCCGGTGACCTGCTGACCTATTTGTTTACTATAGCATAGTAGTGCTCAGTAGTGCTAGCCTTGCTAGCATAGTAGTAGTGCTACCAGCACATACATTGACATGGCACTGAATAGATAGAGCAGCGAGCGAAGCCTGATAATAGTCAAGGTTTCAAAAGCACCCCGTATGTACCATAGCAGCCCTTAATAGTCCAGGAGCCGTAGTCGTTTGTCGCCATTCCTGTAGTAGCTGGCCGCTGAAAAGGCCTCTCGAGATGCTGGTGGACGCGCTTAGCGCGTATTTGTAGACGTTATGTGTGCCGTACCGTGTAACAGCTACTACAATTCCCCTGCTGCTGCCGAGCAACCCCAAGGGGACTTCCGAAGGGGGACTTGCCTGTATGTGCGCGAGGGGCCAATCACCTTGAGCATACCAGCTGTTGTAGTTGGCTTCTTACTAAGATGCCTTATGGCATAAGGCTTTTGCGAGCATCTTAATAAGAGGCCTTTTCAGCGGCCAGCTACAACAGTGGATGTGGTACGGCACACAGTGTGTGCCGTACTATCTGCAGCTACTACACCAACCTAGCTATATTATTGTTATACTATGCTAGTAGCAGGAATGTGATGAAGCTTTTACTGTCCCGCCGGGCGGGGGAGCTTCGCTCGGTATTGCCTATTTATCTTAGATATCCCTGATGCTTTTTTACTTGCAGTGGTGGTATGGGACATGCATAGTCATACACCTTCCCGTGCACGGTCATGCATATACGCTCCCGTCAACCGGCCGCGGCCGCCCTCGGCCCCCTTATGTCGTCACCTTATCGGATTTACCTGTTCACACGTATGTACGTAGGAGACTCCTCTGTTCGACTGGTACCAGTCCAATGCGACAAAGCTGCGCAGTGGTCGCTTCTGGTTTTCACACGCTACCGATTTGATGCGATTTGCGCTCATCTACCGCCACGGCGGTCAGTACCTCGACAGCGACGTGCTCGTCATGCGACCCATAAGGTGCGATAACGATATCGATATCCATGCGGCGATTTTTTTTGTCATTTTTGGTATTATTTTTGCTTGCAGTGTATTTACGCCATGTATGCATCCATGCCCACATACAGATAGGGTTTGGGATGTTACAACGAGATCCTTATTAAGCACTGTCAAACGGATTTGGCAAGGGGGGTAAACAATTTTATCGACGGCGGCGACTCCTTATTACTAAGAGGCTCCGCATATGTCATCATCCGTGTATCCAGCTAATTGGCAGGTTAATAGCCATACATCGAAATGCATGGAACGAGGCTGCAAATAGTTTCACGGAGCCACCACACACGTCCGTTCCCAATTACCATGCGCATGCATGCATGACCACCAGCCGCTAGCTACCTGCTCCTCCTCCTCCTCCTCCTACGAGCTGGGTTAGTTGTTTCATGCATATCTGTAGTAGCTGGCCGCTGAAAGGCCTTTCGAGATGCTGATCACGTGCTTCACGCGTATTCGTAGTTGATATGTGTACCATGTACTACAATATCCCCCACCGCACCTCCCTGGCGCGCACATATATACATAGTGTTTATCAGTAAACCTCATGAGTATATGCACACATCTTCAGGTATGTCCCGCATGCTGTTTAATGGTCTGAACCTTGCTCCAAACACGGCTGTCGTCAATGCATGGAGTGGTATGTATATATCCTGGGTAAACATTCTGATTTGCAGGGCCCGCCTCCACAACGTGCACCAGCAAGCTCGAGAGTCCTTAAGGTTCAGGAAATAGCGTAACACGGCCAGCCCTGCCTGCTGATGAACTCATTGCTTCTGGGACACGTATTGTCTCAAGCTATGTATCCCCCATCCAAACCATCAATTATTGCCTGTAGTAGCTGGTACACTGTACGGCACACATAACAACTATAAATGTGCGCGGAGCGCTTAACCGGTGTCTCGAGAGGCCATTTCAGCGGGAGGCCAGCCACTACACAGCGACATCCGCCAAATTCTCCAACGTTACGCGCCGCCACCACCGACTTATCTCCCTCTCCCTTGTTACCCCACTGCTGCCTATCCTTAATACAGCCCTGACAAAATCAACAAACTTGTGCGAAGCAAGGCCGACTCAAGGTACTTCGAGTGCGCTGTTGTGTACTTCACCGCTCGCCATCCGTTCCTGTACGACGTGCTCATGCACATTACGCAAGTCTACAATGCTGTCGACTGGATCACCGCGGGTCCTAAACCCCTTACCACCATCTTCAACCGCCTAGAGCGCCAGAAGGTCAACTACCTCCCGGGACAGGTGCACCCCGGCGCTTGGCTAGGATTGCGATTGAAACAGGCGAAACAGGTGTTTTGGAAGACGGGCCGCGTTCGTTTGGAAGATTACCGTGGCTGCGAAGTGGTGCATTTATGGGGGTCCGTGGCGCGCGGATATCTGAAGGCGCGTGGCCGCAGCAGCAACAGCAGCAACACAACCGGCGGTGGCAAGAGCGATACCAACAACTTAAGCTTCACATACTTCATAGCTCCGGACAAGGTGCGGCTGGTGCAGCAGCGACTGGACACTTTGCGCAACGTGCCGTATTGCAGGGTGCAGCACCAACAGCAGGAGCCATAGCAAAGCTGCGGCATGACCTATCAACGGCAGATGCAGCAGCCAAAACAACCGCACGCGCGCAGCAGCACAGCATACATAGATGTAGGCTACCCATGCCGGTAGGCTACCCACCCAAATTGAATGCTAGCAGGACCGATCCACGAAGGGCACGCACTGCTGGTAGTATGTTGCGAGACGTCAGCACGTGGAAGCCGACAGCTGTAGCATGAGCTTCTAGGGTCATAGATTCGCATGACGGAGCAAATGCGTGCGTGGCAAAGGTAGCAACATCAAGAGCAACAGCAGCAGCAGCGAAGCAAGGAAGGCAGGGGCAGTAGCCGCCACAACGAGCAACGACACGGGAACAAGGAACACTGCTATGCTATGCGTCTTTGCGAGTGTGGATGAAAATCTCACGATCGTTAAGAGGGAGGATGGACCCCCGCACAGATGGGCGGTGATGGACCCGATTGTTACTGACGCTGTTACCGATGACGACCCGGCAGGAGTTGTTGCCGCCGCTGAAGAAGAACTGGCAGATTCCACTGGATTTAGATTACTCCACTGCTGGATATGCACGGAACTCGAAAACGTTACTGATGTTGCACAAGGCAGCATGGGTGGAAATAGTGTATGTAATAATAATGTAATGACAATGACTATTCCTGTAGCCGTGCGTGTATGATGTGTGATGTGTGGGACGGGGGGTGATATCTTCACCCTGCGGCCGCTACCCGGCAGACCGGCACCCTCATCCAGTCACTCTAGCCAACTTCTCAGTGGATCGCTCAGGTACAGCACCCACCACCGGCATCCAACGGAATCTGCCGGATCAACTGAGGCTCAACTCGATTCCTGGACAGCGCGCAGGTCAGCTTTATCCCAGGTCACCTTTTACCTTCCACCATCGGAAGGATTTTCGACCCTGAAAGGTCTCGATCCCGGAACCTCCGGGGGCGTCAGTGTGTTCTTTACCTGTAGTGCCTGACCTGGGTGTATGTATGCAGCTGCACGCGCCTGGCTTTCGTACATACAGCAGCAACAACAACAAACGGCTCAAGTTGATAGTTATCCTCAGCGATCGACGACGATATTACCAAGTTATTCGGTACGATACCTAGAGAAACAACACATACATGCAATGCGCGAACATGTTTCGGTAGACGCATGTACATACAGATACAATAATTGCTTATTTTCCTGACACTTATGTAGCACCCAGCCATCATCAATCACGTACAAATCATTTTCCAGTTTACTATCATCCCTCGGATTGCATACATGTGCGCGCGCGAGCTGAGGATGCCGCCGCACACCGCTGCGTTTTGGTGTTTAAAATAAGACATGCGGAATGTAGTAAGCATGAATGCAGCAAAGGAGAGAAACTAAATTAATACGCATAGCAGAAGCTGCCTGCTGGACAGGTCTGATCGACGTGTATGTGTCTGAACCTCGTGTAAGGATGCAAGCATTGTACTAGCTAGTCGCTACCTGATGAATCCAGCCGTGTGCGCCTCTGTAGCTAATAAAACCCATTATGCCCATGTTTCGTGATAGGGAAGTGGAACCTCTGCTATGTATGTTCCACGGCGGAAGTTGGCCAAGCAAAAATGGCTGCTGGCTGGCGGGATTTCGCTGTTCGTCAGCTGATGAAGACTGCAGTCTATAGTAAAAGTCGTAATGACTATGATGACCGCCGGCTCGTATGAACAGCAGCCTAAAAAAGAAGAAATCTTTAATATATGTGCCTATTGGGTTAGAAAGCCAAAACACGAAGTCTACCTATGCTACATGCTACATATATTCAGTGCAACGGGGACTGTAGTAGCCGGTACACTGTTCGGTACACATAACAACTACAAATACGCGCTAAGCTTAGCGCGTCTACCAGCATATGCATCTCGAGAGGCCTTTTCAGCGGCCAGCTACTAAAGGGACGAACGTGAATTGGAACTAAATAGGATCCGCCGCCGGGTGGCCACGCCACGCGCACGCATGCCTTCTACACGGGCTTATTACTATACGCACCAGCAGACGTCTGTTCCGACCTGCCGCTGCTGGAAGGCCCACCATCGATAGAGGTGGAAGCATTATTGTCCATCGCAGGACTTCGCGATGGTAAATACCAGCTGGCAGGTTTTGGAGGCGCTGGGAGCAAGGTACTTGATGGTAATGAATTTAAACTTTCATGGCCGCCTCCCGCCTCTTTGATGTCGCCATTTGCGTCAGTGAGAAGTGCTCTGAATGGTCGCTGTGGCGACCCCGGCGACGGCAACGAAAGCTGTGAGGGCGGCAGTCTACCTCTTTGTGGCCACTGCTTATTACTTTGCTGCTGCTGCTGCTGCTGCTGATGATGATGATGATGATGATGATGATCGAGGGGCTTACGGTAGAGCTGCTGAGGTTGGCTGGAAAAGCTACATACTGGATTCTCTGCTGCTGCTGATTCCTCTGCCGCCAGGATGTCATGGCATGCATTTGACCAGATCTTCACTGCTGCTGCTGTGTCACCTTGGCAAGGGCTCCGCGCGTCCAGTGCTGCCACTGCAACTACTTTGCTTGGCCCAGATAATAATGGTTGATCACTCACCACGGAGAGCTGCACCTTCGGTGTTTGAGGTTTGGCATAATGCATCTGTCCCAATTGCAATGCAAAAGCGCTACTTTGCAGTGGGCCCAGCACCGACGACCTCCATCGCCGGACAAATATGGGTGGACCAACATGTGCGTGCCGCCAGTCGGTGCTGTCGTTGCTGCCCTCCTCATGGTTGACACTTAGATTTGAAAGCGTGATGTCCACTTGCAAGTGTGACAGCGGTTGGTTGGGCTCTCCACTATTGTTGGAGCTTCCTTGCCGGTTGAGGGCACCTTGCTGACGTTGCGGCAGCTTTTGGTGGAGGAGCGATTTGCGCACGCACCACTGCTTCATTGTCAGATGCGAGGGGCTTGACTGCAGCTCGGTAAGAGGTGACTGTGGTGAGTCTGTCCTCCGGGGGCTATGCGGCAAGTCCTCATCATGCAGATTGGGTGGGCGGTCTACAAATGGAGCGCCAGGTGTTGCCCCCAGACAAGTCAGCAGCTGCTGGTTGCTGAGGTATATGTATCTCATACTCTTCCATGTTTTGACCTGTTTGACGTGAGTAGGCGGAAGTTGCGACATTTAGGTCGGGTGGGTGCATGCTTGCAGAAGACAGCTAGCCGGACAGACAGAAGTGCTGGCCGCAGCAGTTCATATCATACACAGATAGAGCTGCTGCTGGGTTTACAAGCAGAAAGTAAGTTTGGCCCGGGCCATAGATTCTGTCACTCGGGAAAATATTCACTTCCGCATTGATGCATATCATTCCGTAAAGTGAGGAGTTGAGTCGGTAAATGCTGTTCAAGCAAAGTATAAAAGCTAAAATGGTGTGCACAAAAGATCGTGGAGCCATGGAAGAAACATGGAATTAATGGGGGAGGCGTGCGAAATAATTCTGGAGGTACCGTAGTGCTACTTATAGTTCGTGATCGCTTTGTTCGGGGAGGGGTCAAAAAACTTGCTGAAATTTGTACGTGCTCTTTGAATTTCGGGGAAGGCCGGACCAGATTTTGCGGGCATGATACAAAATTTCGGGGCCCCTTCCAAAGTTTCGGGGCTTTTCAAACTGCAGCTTCCAGTCAGTCTCCCTCCACCGGGAACCCTTAGGCTCATGGTCTCTCACCATTTTCGCACTTTGGAAACGCCCTAGCAAATTCTGGATAATTCTGGAAATCCGTTGCTGCACGCATGGCCTCCACCTTGTCCGCTGGTAGCATGCTGAACTTTGCATCCAGCTCCGTGACGTGCTCATTTGTTGAAGAGGACGTCCAACAGGTCGAATGCCACGCTGCGGCGTGAGCGCAAGCCTCGCCTCGCCGGCTGCCGTAGCATTGACCGCATTGCGCTCGCGCCTAGCAACATCCTCGTGCTCCATTCGCTCACGCTGGGCCTCAACAACAGCATCATCAAGCCTAACTGGTGCAAATCCAGCTCGGTCGCTCACCGGAGCGTTTGGTGCTAGCGATTTCATCCCGCATTGAAGCAGGGTTGCCTGTCTTGCACGTTTTCGAGCGACGTTCATGTCCTACGTTTATGACTACATTTTTTACATTTAAGAGCTGATTTCCGCCTTGAAATCCTAGTTTTTGCGAAGTTTGATCGACCGGCTTCGGAGCGTACAATATTTCGGGGCTGCGGTCCCTTAGGATACCTTAGAATTTGTACGTGCTACATATTCGTGGCGCACCCGAATTATTGTAGCACGAACTATAAGTAGCACTACGGTAATTGCAACATGCTTCCGTCAATCGATGTTATGTTACAGGTTCATACATATAATTACAGCTTCATTTCCGCAAATGTGTTTCCTGATGCCTTCCGTTTGAAAGTATGAACCTTCCGTAAAACATCAGCTCGCGTCCGATATGTGGTTTCCGTAATCCGGTGGCTGACTTACGAACTCCGTAAAATCTACTGAATCCGCAAATGGCTAAATTTTACGGAACTAATTTCACAGAATGGCAGACCCCCCTTTTCTCCCAGAGTGGAACGTGTTACGGTAACCGTGCACATTTTTAATTGTCAAGCATTGGCAGCTTTGAATGGTGAAGGAATGGTTACGAAGCTGCGGTAATAAAATATTTGTTATATTTTAAAGACATTTATTAAAAATGTGTGCAGGCTGGTACCGACCCAACCCTCACGATCAGTTGTTTTAAATTTCCGCTTCATAGTCAACTTAATGATCATGTCGATTGAACGTGTATTTCTCGGCAAATGCAGGGTCACGGCCCATATTATGGCCTCGCAAATCCGGCATGTGGATCTTTCACTCCTATCCGTGTGCTCTATCTGTTGGCTGGAGAGACGGATGCTCCTCACCTTCCATCAGACGAACGTCCTAGATAAAAATGGTGGGATGATAAGCAGTACTAGTTTTGCTTCGTTGGATGAATGGGCTTACCTGCCAACGATGTACACCTCGTTGCCAGCGCGCCATGTACTCCACCGTAGCGTTTAGCGACTCGCAAATGGATAGGTGGATGTCAACCTCTTTGTTGCTGCTCTTCTCTCCACTTGCTGCTCTTCTCTCCACTTCCTGCTCTTCTCTCCATTGCAAAGAGGACCCAATATTACCACCAGAAGACAAGCATCCGCCATCTACACTGTCATTACCCTTCATCACTCCGGATTGCGAATACTGATGAGCTTTCAGGGCCACGATACCACCTCTGTTACTTGGGACGGCAAAAGCCTTCTGTCCTTGCTGTGCTGCTGCTGCTGCTACTGCCTGCTCCTTCTTTACCGCTTCTGCCTCCAGTTTTCGGAACTCCGGTGTCAGAGGACCATACGTACGGCCGACATGTTTCATGACGTTCTGCGCCACCATCTGCACTAAAAATGGCCGATCCTTCATGGTATGCAGCTGCGCTCTGGTGTATTCTCGAGATGCTTCACCACTGCCATTATTGTTGGCATCAACAGCCGTGCTTGATGCTGGAGCTTGGGTTTCTGTTGGCACGTGCACCGTACCTAAACCTGCTGCTGCAGCGGTTGCTCCTGCGGTAGTGGTGCTGGATGCCGCGAAGCGTATAAGCTGGCGCATGGCAGCTTTGTCAATCAGCAGCCGACCACCATGCACTTTTGCAGCGCGCACTCGGCCGTTCCAGGTCTTGGGCAGACCTGCACCGCACAGCAGGTCATGCACACCACCTGCTGCGAGAACCCTCAGGAGCTGCTTGTTGGTGGGCGCAGTCAGGAGTTCAAAACGAGGATGAGCCGGTAGTGTCTGTCCACGTTTCGCAACGTGTTCAGTGATGTTGACGCCACCAGTGTCATCAGTGCCAGCAGCATCACCTTGCTGGGTGACGGCCGACTTGGTGATGCACGCTGCTTTCTGCTGGTGAAAATGACGACTGCGTTTTGCCGTCAGCGAAGATGGCGCCACTCTGCCCACCGGCAGCAACTTCCCCAGGCCCCTCATCAAATCAGGCAGCACAATCATCGCCAGGTCCTGCAGTACAGTTCTGGCACGCGCCCACGTATCGCTGTGCTTTTGTTTCATGAAGATCATGCCCATGGTGGTGAAGAAATAGGTGATCAGCATGTAAAGCAGTAGCAGGACTTTACAAGCGATAGTGAGGCTGATGGCAACGTGTTCAGCCGTTGGCAAGATGTGCCTGTCGTCGCTGTGGAGGAGTTTAAGTTCGTCGATTATCGCAGCTGGATTGCCTAGTATTGATATCGTGTTGCCCATTGATGACCCCATGCTGGATACCGCCGCAACATGGTCACCCATGACGACATTCGCTGCAGCTGCTATCATAGCCGCCACCGCCACAATAATGATGACCAGATGAAAGACGGGAGTGAACATGGTCATGAGGGTGCGACAGATGATGCCCAGACGCGCCTGGAAGGACAGCACCATCACCAGCCTGCAGGGATATATAGAAGGTTACACACACAAGCGTTGCATGCTAATGATCATCAATTCGTGAATCATGAATTCGTGCATTTATCTGATGATGCGCAGCGGGAAGAATCCATGACATTCGTGAAAGCTTCCCTTCAACGGGAAGTTCCCCCATATTGTCATGCAACCTACCAGCCACGCAGAGCGAGGATACTTGCGATCTAGGTGACGGGTGACGACAGGTGATAACAAGCCGTGCTGGGTTGACAATGATGGAGGCTCACATGACACCCAATGCATGCATGCATGTATTTCCGTAACGATGCCCCAGCCTGAGTCAAAGCGCTTGGACTCACTTAGCAATAAGGCCCACAATGGCGACTGCCTGCAACATTCCATACATTGTCCACATGTCTACTAGGCGGCGCGTGTTATGCAGCACCTCGTTCAGCGCCTCCAAGTCAGTGACGTCCTCAGGGAGGAGCCACCTCCCAGGGCCGCCAGCATTCGTCGGCGCATTGATACCTATACCAGCGGCCTGGGTGTACAAGGATGCAGACTCTAAAGGCGAGTCGGTGGCGGGTTCCTTTCGTGCAGCCAGTAGCCAGCGCGCTGCTGCAGAACCTGGCGCATCATACACACGGTACGTCAAACGGGCATCGTATAGTGCAAGATACCTTACCACAAACACTGTCCAAAATGCTGCCAATGTAATTAGCAGTAATGACAGAGGTATATCGTACAAGAGGCCACCATCACGCTGTATGAACTGCCTCAACCAGCTGCGCGAATCAGCAGGAAAGCAGCAAGCACAAGCAGCGGGCAGCTTTGGGATCTGCTGACCATCACCATCACCATCATCATCATCATCATCATCATCATCATCATCACCATCACCATCACCATCACCAGGAACCGCGCCTTCAAAGATGCATTTGTATTTATCAGCGGATATGCCATTCTCTCTTTGGGAGAAGCCGCCAGATGGTTGACTAGCCGGTCGTCTGGTGCTGCCAGCGCTGCCAGCGGGATCTTTGATGGTACCAATATCAAATCGTGAAGGAAAGCCATCAGACACTGGACTCCCATAACGAGCCGTTCCGCCTGCGCCAGCCGTAGGCGCATCCATCAAGAACCCATCGTCAGCAGGCAAGCTGGCCTCAGATCTAGTGATGCCTTCGGCCGTAAGCAGGGGCCTCTCCGTTGCCGTGACGACGGCATCAGCACATGCACGCGCTTGGGTGGGGACTGGTTCTGCTGTTGCTGCTGTTGCTCCTGCTCCTGCTGTTGCTCCTGCTCCTGCTGCTGCTGCTGCTGCTGCTTGTGTCACCGCAATCACTGGTGTTTTTTGACGTACAGCCCGTACAGCCGCCAAGACAGTGGAAATGACAGTGCTGATAGTGGCTGCGGCAAATGTCGCTACTAGGGCCCACAAGGGCAACAACTCCCGAGCCAAAATGCTGGACAGTGCACTTCCCAGTGTCTCGCCCTCCTTGAGATAGGCCATCGCAGGGAAGCCCACAGTTGATAGGTGCCCGATAATGGCTCCCGCCCCAGACCATTCAAATTTAGCCCGAAAGTACGCAAACGCGTGGCGGGCAGGATTGTAGACCTGCCAGCATACACGACAAGGAGGTTTGGCATGCAGCGAGAAGACTGCGTGGTGAAGAACATGTTTGGAAACGGTGTATCATGATCATCCCACCCCACCTCACAAACACAAGGCCACGCACATCACTCCTGTCGAACCCCCTACGTACGAAAGCACGATGCATGCACTTTGACTTCACGGCACACTCATCAATAGTAAGCGTACACATCTTGGTACATATGTTCGACAATTAGATAATAACGACCCGTAGTCAATAGGTTCTTTACCCCCTACTTGCCAGCAGCTCCGCGGTTAAGTCGATTGTTTGCTGGCGGTTCAGATAGTTGCCATCCGCCAGGTAGCGCATCATTTCGGCAGCACGTCTTGCGGACAGCCCACTCTCCAGCAGCACAGGGAAGCCGGGTGTACGACCAGACAGGGGGCGGGCAGCGAAGCCGTAGGGTGTACCGGTGACACTCACTTGCGAGGGGTCCGACGTGTTATAGTACCAGTTGAGCTGTGAGATGAGATCCTCCCGGAACAGCGAGGACGACCTGCAGCAGGAATATGAGGTAAGTGAGGTTCTATTATTGTCCTTCTAACCTTTTTTGTTTGATAGGCGTGAAAAGTCTGTTGTATCCCTCGTCTATACACCGTGCATGCCCTGGTATATACAATAGATAGACAGCCTGCGGATGGATATCCCTATCTTTGAGGGCACTATTTATAGACCAAAACATTTGTAAGAGGGCATGACTTTTGTACGAGGTTATAGACCCCTTAAACATCTTACAGACGATTTCTCCTACCTCAAGAAAACAGGGTCAACACCATAGGGGGCCAGGCTGATACTCGGAGCATCGTCTGCTGCTGAATAGGTTTGCTGCGCATTGCTGCTACAAGCCGCTGTATCGCAACTCTGTCGGTCTGACCTGCCATCATGCAGGTAACACCTATTATTGGAACCCAGGGATGCGGCAAACTTGCTGCCACCACAAGTGCCAACCGGCTGCTGTTGCAGCATACCCGTTGATGCGCTGCTTCTGCTGCTGTGCCACCTTGGCAGCAGAAAGGGCCGGCGCGTTGTATGGAGTAGCAAGCCGCCAATGACACGGTTACTTGAACGTACGCCAGAATAACGTTTCCGAGCAGTCACACCGCCGGCATTGTTGCTACTGCTGTTAATAATAAGAGGTTTTGTAGCCCTGGCCTCATCATTTACAAGGTAGGAATGCGATGACGACAGCTCTATTGATGACGAGAAGCGGGAGAGGTTAAATGCTGTTCGAAATCCCGTCAGCTGAAGTCGGTAGCAATCTGGGTCCATCACGCCCGTGTCGGTGTTCTTGTCCGCCAGCTGCTGAGACGCGGCCACGATGGCCATGTAAAGTGCGCGGTCCGTATGTGCACGTGTCTGTTCGGACAGCTCACGGAGCCGCAAGTCCAGCCTGCCGCTTTCATCTGACAGCTGCTGCTGAGCATCCATTGATAAACGAGTAAGATCCCCAAATCCGTCAAGAACTTGCGCAGCACGCGAAATGGTGCGGTTTCTGGCACTAGCTGCGTCAGCCAGGAGGGCGGCCAAGGCTGTTTCGGTGGCAATACCACCATTCCCCATATCATAAGAAGTGTTTGCAGTCGCTTCGGCCGCTTCATCTGACGAGGGCTTAAATGTGGTAAAGAGCGTTACAGCCTTTGAGTTGATGGCATCTGATTTCTGCAGCAGAGCCTGAAGTAAGCCGACCAGGGATTCCATGTAGCCAGCGGTTAGATCTGGGCTGGGGGGGACTGTGATGTTTGTAAAGGTCGCATTGAGAGCGGAGGCGATGGAGGCTGTTAAGTTGCCTAGTAATGATGTGCTGAGTTCGCTACTGTTCAAGGACGTCTTCTGAAGCAACTGGCGGCTGCTCCGACGATGTTGCAGTTGCTCCCGGAAGCCTGTGGAAGCCCCCTTGGGTGGGTCGGTGGGTCGGCTTGTGGGCGGGTGGGTCGGCTTGCCGCCTTCCAACTTCCGGAGCTCTTGCAACTGCCGCTGCGCTAGACCCCTCCAAAAGTCCTTCACCACCTGCTCCAAGGCCATCTCATCTCCTGATAACCAAAAAACGTTATTCCAAACTCTGCTTCCGCTGTCGTTGGGGAAATAAATGCCGTCGCCCCCCGCTGCTGCAATCAGGCGTTTCGTGGTAGTAGCGTCGTTATTGCTGTTATGGAGCTGGCGCCGCCGTCGTCTGTACTGCGGTTGGAGTTCCTTGTCGCCGGTAAAGGGTGCTGTAAAAGCTAACCCTGCAGCTGAGCGGTGCACACCGCGAGGACTGTAGATGTGTATGGCTGCACTGATGATCACAGTTATCGATGTGCTGTAGTTAATATGCGGCGGGAAGCCTCCAAGAGGATAATCTACCATTGCTGACAAAATATCTACGTCACAGCTCTGCACACCGTACTTCGTCAGACGAGTCGCGATCTCCTCCACAGCGAATTTGTGCTCAGGATGGGAGCTGTTCAGCAGGTCCACCGGTAGGTTTGCGGTTTCGACACCGGTTAGCTGTGGCACCTGCCGCAGCAGCTGCAGGTTCGCGTTGATGGTGGCTTTCTGGTAAACAACAACGGTCCGGTTGGCAGTTGCAGCGGCACCCTGGTCATCCACTACTGAGTACTGGAATGTGTAGACGCCAGGCAAGCAACCACTGCTACCCGCAGCAAGTGCCTCTAAGCTGCAAGACTGGCAGCTGGCGCTGCTAACGGTTGATGTCATATTGCAAGGCGTGACGTTGATTACACTGAGCTGGGCTGTCAGATCCACGACCGTGATGTTACCCGTGGTTGAGGTGGGAAGCAAATAACCCACTGCAGTGGCGCCGCAACTGCGTGTGTCAGATAGTGATGTGCACGGCCCTAGGTAGACGGAAGACACGCTACCATATTCCACAAAAGCCACATCATCAGGTGGTAGCAATGTGATGTTGGGGCCGGGAGCAGCAGTGGGTGACAGCAGGAAGGACGCGGCAGTACAGGTAACTGGAGAGCATACGTATCCGCCGGATTGATCAGGGCAGAAGTATGGTAAAGCCTTGTCAATGCACGGATCGGTAATTATGACAGTGCGGCGGGCCGTCGCATTGTTCGGTGGCTGAGCATCATCCCACACCCAAAAGTCAATGTGATAGACTGTGCCGGTTGGTGCCAGTGTGTTAATGCCACATCCTGCTAGTCCTGTCCTGCCCAGGGTATATTGTCTCATCAGTAGTTCTAATGGACAGCTTATCATAGCAGTAGTACTGTTGCTGTCGCCGTCAGCAGTACTGTGGCGGAGGCAAGATTGTGGCGGGCACACGATCACCCGGTCTGTCAGATTGATGGCTCGAATGGGGTCGACCGCTGTGGCGCCCGGTTCACAAAATGGTGTCGAGGGCGCTGACAGATCCACGCTATCGGGGCAGGGTCCATACATCCAGCCACGAGGCAGCCTTACTAATGCGGGTGCAGCCACATTGATTATGAGATTGATCTGTGGCTTGGTTGTGCCTGGTACTACTTTGGTGATGTCACTAGCACCACTCCTGCTGGCACTACCAGATGTCGACATGTAATCCTCCTGCAGCAACACCCCTGGAGAGGTGCCTACAACATCTACTGCTGCTGCTGCTGCCATGCAGACACCTTCAACAGAGCAGGAGACAGCATCAGAACACAGTGTCTCTCCTTGTGGGCAGATGGGCTGCACGATAAGGGAGCGTGACACACTCGCAGTATGGCCGGCACTGTTGGCTACTGAGAATGTGATCGTGTAGTTGCCAGCTCTGCCAATAGGTACATTGCATGCAATCAGCAGGGGAAGCACCATCTGCTGGCCCACAGCAGCAGCAGCAGCAGCAGCATGTAGTGGGGTGCCACAGACCTGTACCCGCAAATCCAGACGCCCATCCAGAGCATCAAATGCTACTGCACCAGGATCGCAGGGCTGCTGTTGTGGCACTGAAACCACCGTACACCTATCATATGATGTACCTTGCCGAACTCTGATTTCAGAGGGCCCCACGAGGGTGAGGGTGAGGGTGAGGGTGAGGGCAGGTCGTTGTCTAAGATTGTTGGCGGCATTGATGAAGATGGGTGTCGCAAGGGAATGGGCAGATGCAGGGGCTCCTGTCGTGCTGCTGGTTATTGGCAGAGGGGCATTGCAGATACCACTGGAGGTGCAGGCGGGCAGGCCCTCAGCATCAGTACAGTAGGCTTCATTGCTGGGGCATACCAGGCGGATGAAGCGGTAAGCGGGCTGCGCGATGTTGCCCGCCAGGTCTGCAGCCTGGACCAGAAAAGGGTGGTAGGAGGGAACGAATTGACTAACGAGGAAAACGCACGTACATATGCATGGATGTAGTAGCTGGTACACAGTACGGCACACATATCAACTACAAATACGCGCAAAGCGCTTCACCAGCATCTCGGGAGGCCTTTTCAGCGGGAGGCCAGCTACTATACGCGGGTACATGAGCAATGCTTGTGATCACAAGCATTGCTCATGAGCAATGCAAGGTACATGGTGTGTGTGTGCGCATGGTTGCGTGTATGCATGATAGGCATGTTAGGGGATGCATAAATCCCAGATCTGCAACCCTGTCCATAACTTTCAAATAAGCTAGAGTGCTCAACGCAGGGTGGGCTTCCTACCTACATAGGAAGCCCTACACACCAGCTGGCTTAGGCGGTGTATGTTGCGCGTGCGTGGCACACCACACATAACCCTTTCTTAACTTCATAATTTTCTCAATATCGTACGTGCTCGTACGCAGTTGCAACTGGTATTATTATCGGTGACGAGTTGCGGCAAACATGGCGGCGCCCGCCCTATGCAACATCCCCTTCAGTAGTCCGCCCGGCGGGCTGTCCCCATCACACCAAGTCTCTATTTAAATCATTCGTTGCTGGCTGGCTGGGCATACAGAAGGACTGGGCAGGGGAATGCGTGACTCTGATAGTTTACATAGTTTACGTCTGTCTTAACGATCGGTTCTTTTCCGAAAACGTCGTGATACAACACTTGCTTGTACATGGTGTGTATGTGTGGTCTCGCCTTGCTTGCTTGGTACTCTTCGATATAGCTAGTATATGCACAGCAGCAGTGCAAGGGTGCAGGCAGCACTGTTGTACTTGTTTGATCATACATGTGCTGCTGGACTGTGTGGGGCTCCATCGATGGTGTAATTCATGATTTAAATTTGTTTACATAGACAAATATGTATACATCACTACCTACACTTCATCATTCATTCTACCTGACTTACAGGGTATTTCCACTAGGCCGCACACTAACATTAAGTTCAAAAAATCTCACACCTGGCTCAGCAAATCATGCAAGCGATAAGAAACTAGTTAAATACATTAATAGAAAGTAAAAGTTCTTTACAAAAATCGCGTAAAGGGGCTCCGTGCGCGAAAAGCCGAAGGGCCCAGTGGAAACGCCTCGGACACTAAGTCCGCCTTAGTGGCACACTAGTTATCAGGGCCTCAGACCTGCTGATAACTTTCAAAGTGGACATTAACTTCCGAGCGGGAAAATTCATAGTCAGCCATTTTCCTTCTTCATGGCCCTACGTTGGCTTTTGTATTTTCCTTTATCCACAGCCGCAAATAGCCCGCTAACAAGTGGAATTCACAGCAGGACCGGTCGAATTGCCCACATTCCAGCAATCGCCGACCAAACTGTAATGATTTGCGCATGAAATTACACCCACTCTTACTATAACAATGGTTTGGTGCCTTTATAGCAACCTGTCGTATGGTTCCGGGGCGCTTAGTGGAAACACCTGTCCACTAGCCACACACTAAGTCCACGTTAAAGATAATGTCCAAAAGTTAGTGTGCGGCCTAGTGGAAATACCCTGTTAGATATGACGGAGCGAAGGATCGGAGCCTCTAAGTCTGGTTCTGTGTGACTGCCGTACAATCGTGATCGAGTGGCGAGCATGTTAAGCTTCCGCTCTTTCGTCGTCGCTCTCCCACAGCACGTTCTTTCCGGTCAGCTTCAGCCGAACCGAAACGAGATTACAGGTTATGGGAGACAGGAGCACAGAAGTACATAGATACTAACAGCTATATATGTATGTATGTATATTATCAACTACTCACGCACCTGATACTCTATCTTGTACGAGTACGGCAATCCTGGACTCGTGGGCCGACTTGTATCTACTGCAGCTACACCAAACGCGTGTAGCCTTGCTGTCAGGTTGCCATCCACATCATCCCATACAGATGCTCCTGGATCACTCCAGCTCGAACCCACAATAACTACGGTGGTATCATGCATGGCCGCAACACCTCCGCTACTGTTGCTGCTGGCGTCCAGCAGTTCCAATTCTCCTGATCTGGGAAGCGATATGGCCGGGGGCAACGTATCTTTGACATAGCTGTTATTGTAATCTGCTTGTACCTGCGATGATGATAAATCATCACTAACAGCCGTTATCCCTGCTGAACCACTTTTATAAACGCCACGAGCAGAAGGCTGGACCGCCATGATGATGTCACCAAGGATGCCGTACGAACGGCCGATCTCACTATCATCTAAAAACGATGTTGATTGGACGTGCCCTGCGAGTGGATCGATCATTATACTTCCCCCGTCTGGATATACTGCAATAATATCGCCATAAGGAGAATATGATATGGTGGGAATCAGTAAAGCATTTTCGGATTTAGGAGAAGTGGATGCGATAGTAGTGATGGCTCCCATGGTAAGAAGTTGCTGCGTGCTAGCAATGGATCTGCTTAATGAAGTCGTCCATGATGAACCGCTACTACTGGACTCAGATGGGCTCTGAAGGAATGCTTTGATTAGCCGGGTCAGAATACCGCTGCTGCTGCTGCTGCTGAAGGTGCGGTCTTCGGGGGGCAGTAGTGAGTAGTCAGCCGTTGTTAATAATGATGATCGCGACCCCAGCAGCGGAGCACACCAGGCCTCGACCCCAGCTACCCCACGAATACTGCATTGTGACTTGAAGACCACAGCTCGGTACCGCGGCTCTGCGGCTATACCCAGTGAGTTGACTGCACTGTAAGTCAAAAAGTACATCTCAGAAGCGGTATTAATGGCGCTTCGGTTGAGCGTTAGGCCACTGCTGTTGAGAAAAGAGCAGCGCACCCTTGTCAGATTTCGAGTAGTTGAAGGGGAGGTGCTCTCATTATGTAAGGAATTCCCTAAGGTACCGCCGGTAATGATAAGGCTATTGAAAGCAGCCGTGCATTTGGACATTGTTGGCGGAGTCGCCTGTACGGCTGCATTTCCTACTGCTGCTGCTGCTGCTGTTGTACCCTGTACAGCTTCTTCTTCAGTGGACGGCACGGAAGGATTTCCAGTAATGGCGACAGCAGCAGGTGCTACTGAGTTGACGATTGACATCGTAAACGCCAGATCAGGCAACCGCGAACACACATGCACAGTCACGTATGCTTCGCATCGGTCTAATGAGTCGATAAACACATTGAAGCCGGGATCTGTAAACATGTTCGTGAGGTCGGGACTTCCCAGTAGGCTCTCCGAGCA